GCGCTTGCCAGAAGCCGTCTCAAAGTAACTGTCGCGACCTCCATCGTAAAGCCTTTGCGATTTCACAAAACGTTTGGCAAACAAACAATAACTTTCACGAGATCCATCGCGGGCTTCGGGACAACTAAAGCCCACATGGCCTTTTATTATCTTAATAAAAGGACCTTTCAGACGACTCCCATCTTCCCGCCCACCTCATCACGGCTTTGCATGGTTTTGAGCTCTAGCTGCGTTTCTTGCAACTCCACCTCCGGGTTGCTGTCCGTGAACGGGCTTGCTCCTGCGCTCGGCCTCACTGTTTCAATGCCAGTTGCCACGGCTAGGTCTGATCTTTGAAGTCATGGGGCTGTCGTCCAGTCAGGATCCTAAACATTATCACCCTCAGCCCCGTTTGCCTCTCTTTGCGTTCTTCCGGCCTGGATTCTGAACTGCCATTGATCAAAAAGCTCTGCCAGCATTGACATCAACAATCCAAGACAGCCCTCCTGTCGTCTTTTGCGCACGCCGCTCGCGAACCCTCTGCACACATCATTATGCAAAAGTCCGGTGTGTCCCAGCCCTTCATGCAAGCGAAATGTAAGTCCAACAAAGGTTGCGAAACTGGGACGACCAAATCCACGACAGAAGGACAAAAACAAGCAAGTTCAGCTTGTCATTTTAGTCTGGCCCGTGTCCTCGAACATTCACGTCTTCCCCAAGGCCTTTCTCAAGGAACTCCAGAAGATCCTCAAGCAGCATACCTCGGGCAGTGCACCCCTCCGTCACATCACACACACACACACACACGCACACCAGGACTCGGCCATGTGAGCTCATGTTGCCCTTCAAATTCTGACACGCCATCCAAGGGCTGGATTGCAGCTGGATGTTCTCTTCTCATGGCTTTGAGTCTGGCGGCCTCCTGCTCGCCTTGCTCGGCCGGCTCGCGTCTCGGAGGCCTCTGTGGTGCAAAGTTTATGTCACTCCGTTGACAAATACATGAGCCTGTGATGCTCTCTGCAGTGTTGGGAGGGGTTTTCCGGCGTTGCTAGTCTTTGCATGGCAACTTCCTGTTTCCTTTGTCTAGCTGTTTCAGAACAGTATGAATTCCAGGAAGCAGTCGATTCATACAATGAATATAGAGCAAACCGATGAAAAACATAAGAACAATTGCCCGCAGAGCTGCCATGAATCGTGCGAACATGGTTTGGACCGGTGAGCAGCAAAACCAAAACGGCCGCAACGTTATGAGAGTTGAACGGCCGCGAGACTCCGGCGACCAAATTTTGGGAGAATCCGCGAGAAGGCGCACGGGAAGGAATATGTCACGAGCCTTGGTGAGATTTCTTGGGATTGGGGATGCGGATTCACATCCCCTAACTTTGATTGTTTCTTTATTTCATTCTTGCTTTATTTCTTTCGTTTGTTTGTTTGTTTGTTTGTTTGTTTGCCCTGCCTACCTGCTTGCTTGCGTGCTTGGTTGCTTGCTCGCTTGCGCGCTTCAGGCAGGCAGAGAGGCAGGCAGGCAGGCAAACAAACAAACGAAAGAAATAAAGCAAGAAAGAAATAAAGAAAGAAAGAAAGAAAGAAAGAAAGCAAACACACGAAGCAAAGTAACAAAGTATCAAGCTGCAAGCTAATTTGCTTTCTTTTGGGTTGCGTGCAAGTCAGAGGATGCTGCCGGTCCCCCCGCCCCCCCTCCTGCCCCAGGGGCCGGGGGGCGGGGGCCTGCGGCCACGTCCCCTAAGGTCGAAGTTCGCGCAGCCCTTGAGTGAGAGATCTCTAAACCTTCATGGTTGCACCCCACCCCCCATGGGTTGCCCAAATTGGATTGGTGAAGGTCGGGTCTCCTACCCTTCCGTCTCAGCAACTCGTCCCGGGAATCAGCTCGCGAAATCGGGAAGCTCTCTCGCATGGCCAAATCAGGGGGAGCCCCCAAAATGGGATGTTTCCTCCCTAACAACGGTACCCTGAACGAAATACACCCCCTCAATGCATTTGGCTGCGCGGCCATGCTCAAGCAACAGCCGTGCAAAAACACGGCCAGCACGATGCGACTTGGGACTTGGCTAAAAAAAACAAAAACGGAAGCTTGGAAAAGACAAGACACGGATTCTTCCAAGCTCTGGAAGAGATCGCTGAAGATTGCGCTGAAGGAGTCACCTCCTGCATCATACCTCAGCGGCAAAGCCGGACATGCTCCCTGTCCCTTTGATACCCCGTGCGAAGTGGTGCAAGTGTTCTACGTCGAACGATTGCAAAACCAGGGACTACCGACAAAGTTCTTCCTTGCCGTCGAGTTGCTGCTCCTCCATCTCCTGCGTCCTTCTCCATCGCCCGTTATAGCTTCTTGGAGCTCCGGTTGCACCTAGCAGTGTAGGCTGAGGCCAGACATACAATGCCCAAGCACATCATGTAGGAGGGAATGCTGAGACTTGGCAGCTGTTGCAAGGGGCGAAGCATTGGGAGGCCAAAAGGAATCTCGAGTGGAAAAACACGGCTTTTCACTTCAACCGGCAGGGGACTGGAAATGGCGGTGGCATGACTGGTGGCATGTTGGGATCTGGAGAGCAAAAACTGGAAAAGCGCTGATTAGAGGCTAGGAAAAGAAAACCTACGGGCATGTTGTTGATTCTTTTGAGGCTGCGTGATTATCAGCAACACCAATCGGCTACCTTTCGTGACCCGCCTGAGCCAGACGAGCGCCCACTGCCGGCGCCGCTTTTAGCCCGCTCCCAAGCTTTCAACTTCTCCTGACTGTCCAGGTGATTGAGTTGCAACGATGGCTGACCGCAACTTGTGCAAACAGCAGCTCCATATCGCTCCATATTATGAGCAACTTAGCGAGCTGGTTAAGTCCGCCACACGGCCCTGTTTGGGTCTATGTTGGGCAGGACTTGTGCTTGCCAGGTTGCTGGATCATTGAGGACATCGTAGGCTGCAGACAGCTCTTGCCAGCGCTGTTTGGCATCTGGCCGCTTGCTGACATCAGGATGTTCCTTCCTTAGGTGCGAGAGCAGGCGGCAAGCACTTGCCTTGCCTCTATTACACGGGAATCAGTGTGTTCTAGCACTCCGGCCCTCGTCCTCCAAGCAAAGTGCGCCACATTCAGCCATCACTCCTTTCTACCTCTTCCTGCTTCAGCAACTTTTATTCTTTCAGAAGTACTCCCGTGCTGATGCTTCACCGAACATGTGGCTGGACGATCTAAGACCCAACGTCTTACCCGCATCCAAATCCGGCGACCTACCTATACGCAAGAAGGTGCCTGAAAGAGGCATCTTACTGTGCCCTGAGGGGCAAACAATGGCAAACCTCAAAAGGCACCGGTGGGACCGACAAGTCAACAAACATGACGGACTATCAGCCCAAAGAGTTGACATGCATGAAGCCCGCAACTTGCGCCGTCCAAACCTCAGGCGCTCTAGAACAACACCCGCTTTCAAAATCCTATAAGGACAAGCTGGGACATGGGATGCTTGACGACTCTTGCTCGAGCAATGATATCTGTTCCCCGTGTTTAGCTGAGTACTTTTTTGCATGGGCATCCCAATGGGAGGAAATTGAACTAGGGACCGGGATTGTGGACATCGGATGTCCACCAAGCTTTGAGGCTTTCCCTTCAAACTCTTGGGTATCCTGGATTAACTTCCAGAAGACTTTTCCAGGCGCTGCAACATCCGGAGAGCTCTCCGGTGTGAGCCCGACCCGCGCGACGCGCTCGGAGTCAAGTCTCAAGGCCTTCCGCCGGTAGGCGCGCTTCACCTCCACCGAAGAAGCCCCCGGCTGGACGCCCAGGACCTCCCAGGGGCTGCCCAGCGCCCTGCGCGCGCAGAAGGAAATGCCATAACTTGGTCTCAAGACCGGTGGTCGTTCTCACGCAAGACACGAGTTCCGTAAGCAAACCAACGAAAAAACAACCCCTCTATTGTTCTGTTACCCAGAAAGTTTTGTCTCCAAATTGGGGAACTATTTCGGAAAGTGTCGATTCGCTTTGAGGGCAGAGCATAAGAAGCCAGCTTTGTGCAACGCATGGTGGTTGTTCTAAATTCCATTGTCTCGAAACGGCCGTTCTTCGCGAATAAGGCCGTTCTTCGCGAATTGCCAAGTTACTTTCGCGAATCTTTCGCGGATTCATCGCCGTGCACTTTTCATTGCTCAAGTCAGAAAGTCGCAGCTTTTAAGCACCAGGCGAAATAAAGTCGCAACTTTTCATTACGAGGGTAGTACATGACATGCACTTCCGCAGCTCCGGCTGGAAAGTCGCAACTTTCAGCACCAGTACATGAAATGCACTTCCGCAGTTCCAGCAGGAAAGCCGCGCAGCTCCAGTCTGACTAGCGCGGCGCTCAGAAAGTACCTCCCCTCGCAATCGAAGCCAGCGCTTTCACGCGGGCTTTCGCGGAACTTGCGCGGACCTTTCGCGAAACATCACCCACGTTTCTAAAGCCACCGACTAACACCCGCGCACCTGGAGCAATAACCAGAGAAGCAGGGTTTTAAAACTGTAGCGTCACCAGGCTTTATTGGGGGACAAACAACAAGAGGCTTTCATCAGCTTAGAAGGACGATTCAGCAGAAAAGATGAGTGTTTTCACATATCACTGATTTACAAGATGCAGTTACGCAACACTTTTGCGAACAAAAAGTTACTTTCACAACTCCATCGCGAATCTTTCGCGAAGCTACCTCAACCAACACCGATGGTCACAGAATACTAAACTCCTTACAAGGACCTTTAGAACGACTCCCACATAGGCTTTCCATCTGGCTATGGGTCAAAATCCCATACCCCCAGTGAACATCCCAATCCAACCACTAAAATAGGTAGCCTAAAATGGGTGGTGAATTCCCCAATCCCAACCGAAATGGGATCCCGTTTAACGGTGTTGACAACCACGGCCATCTTGCCATGTGGCCTCATGCACATCCGTTGCCCTCGAGCCAGCAGACACAGGGAGAGCGCCCAGTGCGGAAAGCTCTGCACGAGGCATGGGCGGCCTGTCTGCGCAGGATCTGCGGGGTGGGAAAACTCCAGGTGTTGGGAATGAACCCGAAGGGGATTCCTTAAAGGAAACCACTAGGAAAGATAACCACTAGGGGGTTGTTTTTGTTGGGGTGATTCCATTTCTCATTCCCATCGCACTAGTCAGTCTTTCAGAGTCTCAATGAGTTCTCCGTCAATTGAGTCATACTCACCCCTTCACATATCTCCCCACCATGTTTTTTTCAGAATTCCAAGCGGAGAAGCGCCTTTTACGGCCGGATTCTCCCTTTCATCTCCCCGAGCGGCCCGAGGAGTGGCTCAGAAGCCGCCTGGACCGCCCGGTGGGTGGGCAGGGGGCGGCACTTGCGGCACCTGCCTCGGCGCCGCGCCTAGGAAGCGGCAGCGGAAAACGCTGGGGGGAAGGAAGCGACAAAACCGTAGGTGACAACTCACTAAAAGAAGCAAATAAACAAATGGGGAGATGACTTGGGACATTAACCATGATAGGGTTTGAGTTGTTCAATGCAAAGAAGTGATGCTTGTGGTTGGCTTTGAATCCCAAAAAACCGGAGCAACGGAACCACATGGCTTGCAGCTGATCCATATGCAGAAAACGGACTTGGCCAAAATTCGGGGTAATGCTTCAACAAAAGAGGGTGTCCACGCGCTTCGCGCTTCCCTGACCGCCCTGACCGCATCATTCCGTGCATTGGCCGTGCCTAGGCTGTGGCCTTGAGGTGGGATCGATATCATGACGGCATTGCGCACGGAGCCCTTTGGAAGCTTACAGTGCAGCCCGCAGCTCTTGAACTGCTTGCCCGACTATGGCAATCTCTATGGCAATCGCTAGGGCACTAGAAAGGCCATGCAAACAACGATGCCGAGTGTGAATGTGTGCGAAGACGAATTTCTGCATATATACATATATAAATATAAATACATAAATAAATGAATAAATAAATAAATAAATCAACAACTATATATATATATATGTATAATTGAACTCGTCTGCTGGGAGCCAGATACATAAGGCAGGTAGGCACGCGGGCCCTTGGTGCTCCGTGGGCTTTGTCTCCGTCTGTGGATGAAGCCTCAAATGGGGCTTCTGGCAAGTGGACTTCCCTTCAGCCATCCGGGCGTGTCCATGGCTCGGGTTTCCCTTTCCTTTTGGTTTCCCTTTAAAACCACCAAACAGGGGTAGCAAAATTAAACCAGGGACTGCAGGTTTTAGTCCATGTGTCCAGCTGAGGGTCCATTTTGGGTGCCCATGTTTGACCCACAGCCAAATGAGCTCGCAACATAACACCCATTGACTTGCATCGGGCCAGGCAACCCTGAGAAAAAAAAGAAAAAGACAAAAAAAACAAGGAACAAAAAACAGAAATGACAATTTGGGAAAAATCAACCACGGCTAGGACAAAGCTGTGAGAATAGAAGCACCCACCAGGAACATCTGCATCCAAGCAGAATCGTGTATACTGCACGTTTTTTGTCTCGCGGCAGCCACACATCTTTGGGCTAGCCCTCTCAGCTTTCCGGAAGGACGTCAGGTTGCAGTTGTTCAGCACTGCACGGGCATATGATTTCGCTGGCAAACAAGGCACTCGACATGTCAGCTGTACCAAGAATATCCAAGAAGGTCCGACGTAACCGCTGCCTTTCTTGGCTGTTCTCCTCGTCTTCCGGCGGGTTCTTTTGTCGCCTACCAAACAAACAGGGTTTGCTGGCGTTCATGGTGCAAAAGGCATTCACACCACAGCCAGTGCTGGATAACAAGGAGTGGGAGCATCTGAACACGAAGACACATATGCTGAGCATGGTTAATTCTCCTTACTAGCCAGCACCAGCTCCCAATAAAATGAACAAGTAGGCCGGTGGCAAGCTTTTGAAGCCCTTGTTCAAACCTCCTTGGACAGTAATAGCCCAGCGCTGCTTTCAACACGGGTGGTTCCATTTGTGCTTCCTTTTTCACACCGCCCTCCCGAAAAAGGATACCGGGAGAACAACATGGGCGCATACACACGCACACAAAATCACAAGCACACAAACAACCAAAACAAATCAGCACAAATCAAGAAAACAACAAACACACAAAACAAGCCAGCCAGCCAACAAAATCAAAAAAAACAAACACAACACAACAAAACAAGACAAACAAACAAACAAACAAACAAACAAACAAACAAACAAACAAACAAACAAACAAACAAACACACAAACACACAAACAAACAAACAAACCAACAAACAAACAAACAAACAAACAAAGGAACAAACAACAATAACAAAAACACAAACACGCACACACACACAAATAAAAGGCACGCAAGCAAGCAGGCAAGCAGGCAGAGCGAAGCAAGCAGAGCAAAGCGAGGCAAAGAAAATCAAGCAAGCAAGCAGGCAAGCAAGCAAGCAGGCAAGCAAGCAAGCAAGCAAACGAAGGACAACCCAACAAGTAAAGGGCCCGACCAACTCACCAACCACTAAACACATTTCAATACAAAGACCGAATGAACAAACAAACGGACAAACAAGCTGGCAATCAAACAAGCAAGCAAGCATGCAAACCCTCAACCAAAGATCCGACCAGCCAACCAACAACCAAAAAGCAAAAACAACCAAGGAAGCAAACAAACGACAAATAATGCAAGCACGCGAAGCAACGAAGCAACAAAGCAACGAAGAAAGCAGGCAGGCAAGCGAGCAAGCAAGCACGCAAGCAAAGCAACGAAGCAAGCAAGCAAGCAAGCACGCAAGCAAGCAACTCAGCAAAACAGAATTCAACCAACCAGCCAACCAGCCAGGCAACGACAAAGAGGCAAATAAACAAACAACCAGACACAATCTATCACCCGATAATGAGCCATTCATTCAATCAATCGGCCGATCCACCAAGCAATAAAACCACACGTCGCTCGTTGCGCTTCGCGCCTTAGCCTTTCCTCCAGCAGCAGCGCCCGCCTTGAGCGGCGGCTGCGGGGCTTTGGGCTTGGGCTGATAGGCCTGGTCGTCGACCGAGACTTGGCGGAGCAGTCGGGCCGATGAAGGCATTGGACATGGGCGCGCTATCAAATGAGTTATGATTTTTGGTTAGGTCGGCATCATTTAGGTGGAGATTTATGTCCACTGACTACTTTTCAGGGGGTTCCCCATTAAAATTGAGGCCAAATCGAACAAAGGCCACTCGAAAGAGACTGAGATGCATAAAACGAGTGGTTCCTGGAATTGGTTGTAATGATCCATTGCCTCGGTCACGACTGTTGGCCAGGATGATGCAAGCAATAAGCCCTGAAGCTGACACGAAGAGAATCTTCTGTTGGATCTGCTCAAAGGATGTCATACAATTCGCACATCAATACATTACAGCACCTGAAGCTAATGGGAAAGGGCCGAACCGCTTCAAATGAGCGATTCTCAACATAGGTCAAGATTTGGTTACCCTCATAGCGCTCCTTCGCCGAGCTTTGGAGAAGATTTCGCTTTCGCGTGTGTTTTCATTGCGCGGGGGCTTGTTTTGCATCAACCCCTTGCGCGGCACTTTTGCGGCGGCTCCTTGGAATTGGCCCAGGGCAGCTTTTCAGCACAACTTAGTACACCAAGTACGCTTTGCTAGCTAATGCTAACCCCGGATTAATAAACCCCTGGTTGATCAATAGGGGGGTGTCCCCTTTTAGTGGGGATTCATCACTTTTGGAGGGAGCACCCCCCTAATAGTGGGACGGGTTTATTAATCCTGGGTCAACATTAGCTTAGCTCCAGATGGAAATCGCAACTTTTCAGAACAAGAGTAGCACACCAAGCGCGAGCTCCAGCTCAAAGACCACAACTTTTCAGTACAATAGGGGGCCAAAAAGGCCCACGCCGTTCTCCAAGATTTCGTACGGAAATCCCTGCATGCTCGAAACTGGCCGTGAGAGAGCGGTCAACGGCTGCTGTGTTCGCGGGCTGCCTGCCCCAAGCGCCCTCTGAAGATTTTGTCCGAAGGGTTTTCCTTTCGCGGTAGAATATATATATATATATAGAAAACCGTTTAGATACAGATCATCCTCCAACACATGAACCATCTGCAATCATTTCTGCGGGATTTGGGTAGAGTGCAAACACCTGCGGACACGGCATCCTCTGTGCACATGGTCTATGGAATCCACAGCATGTGTGATCTTCGAGGACTGACAAAAGATCTCTCTCTCTCTCTCTCTCTCTGTTGTGTGTGTGTGTGTCTGTTTTGTTGTGAGTTGTGATGTGAGTTGTGTTGTGTATTGTGTTGTGTGCACATGCGTGGTGTGTGTTTGAGTGTCGTCCCAAACAAAGCTCGTTGAAAACTGCTAAGTTGAGTCTGAACCCCTGCCTCTGCTTTGGCGACGCAGCTCTCTTTGGAGATGCAGGTCGGTATTCTTGTCCCAAAGCGATCTGGCCAGGGAAAGATCACATCTAGGGCCCGTGATCCTAGTCCAGCCGTGATCAGCTCGCAACATTCGTGATCCAACTGTGCCTTGATCAACTCCGGGTCAAAGCGAACGGAGATGTCGAGGAAGTCCAGAGCTTGCGGGCAATTTGCCAGTGCCTCTACGCATTCGCCAGGAGGAGTCTCTGCGCGCGACGGCACACCATGAGCGAGGTGGCGCAAAAAAAGGAATCGGCTCCCGCCTTCACCAAGAATGGCTTGTTTGCTTTCAGACTCTCATCAGCGCATTGAAGCGCACGAGGATCCTCGCACTTAAATCCCTGCCTGCAAACCCTATGGGCACGCTGGGCTGTGTTTTGCGGGTTAGGATAGGCCAAAGGCTGCTATACATTTGACTGGTCGATGCACTTCCTGTACCTAGGCAAGCTGCACCAGAATTGCACAACGCACCACGCGACGATGTTTCTGGCACCGCTCCATTGGCATGGATAAGCATTACATGACTGCGGCTGATGGGCAGGAAGCTAGCTGAAAAGTTGAAACATTGAAACAAGAAAAAAAGAGAAGAACAACAAAACGAGGAACCAGAAAACCCCACCTTCCCGCAATCAATCATGCATTTGTGCTTGTGCCGGGCATTCTTTGGCCTGGCACGGAAGAAGGCTCTGTATGCAGCCAGCGCAACCAATCTACTCGCTTCCTCGGCGATGGACTCCGGCGGCGGTTCCGGTCTCACACGGCGTCGAAGGCCTGAAAAGCACCACCCAACTAGACGGCCAAGCAACCCGGCAACCAACAACCAGGCAAACAATGAGCCACAATCCAGCTGCGCTCCAAATTGTTCGAGATGTGGAGTTGTTTTCGGATTGCACTCGTGTGCCGAGGTTTCAAGCATGCGCGGTTTCTGTTCGCGGAGCTTTGTTCTCAAAAAGCCCGTTTGTTGGGTTCTGGTCTAGCCGTGCAGACATACAATTTCAGCAAGGCACGCTTTGGCACCTCCAGCTCAAAACTCGCAACTTCGCAGTGCAAGCGCATGCCCAAACTTTGGCTGCTCGCACATTGGTCGGCATTTTCAGGATTCAGCCTCTCCTTTCCAAACTGAATCTGTACCTCGGGCCTGGCATGCCACCCTTTCGGCCAGGGTTTTTTGTTTTGCCGAATACACATGACCCCCCTCCCCCCCGAGTATTCGTGCTTTGCGCTTCCGCACGCGCGAGCTTTCGCGAAATCGCGAGCTTTCGGCTTTCGCGAGCTTGGGGTTTCTGCTCGCATCAATTCTTGGCTTGAGCTGCTCAAGTCTCGAGGACCTTTAAAAAATGGAACCTGCTCTTGGAAGCTCTGTGCATCCCACGGAGCCATAGCTTCATGGACACAACACCGGCAACCGGCGCTTCTGGGTCTTGTCACGAGTCTTGTCAGTGTGTCGATTGACATGCTGATGCCTAAAACCAGCGATAACTGGTTTCCTCACTCCTACCAGCATCTTGCTGCCAACATCATTTAAGCTTTGAAGATACCACGCAATTGAACAACCAAAACAGCTTTCGCAGAGGCGCCAAAGGATTCCGTAGTGGTGCGGAAACTTCTCGAGTCACCTCTGCACCTACCTCCTCTGGCAGCAAGTAGAGCCTCATGCGGAACAAGTGCATGCGGCCGTGTTTCAGAAACCTTGCCATCCGCGATCAACCAGGGCGTCTCTGAGGAATTCCCCGGCCGCGCCCCGACATAGCGACATGGCAAATGAACTGAGTCCGGCGCAGAGACCAGAAGTTCAAAGGGGCCAAGTACGAGGCGATGAGCACATCCACCGTGTAGTGGTTGTGCCTAGATGGAAACCGAATAAACCTCTTGTTTCCTTTGAAAGGCTCTAAGCACCTCAAAGAACTCCTCATGTTTAATCGTTGCGAGAATCTCAACTGGCTGTGGGTCAAAACCCTGTACCCCTGGTGAACATCAACATAGGTGGCAAATGGATGTTCATCCCCCCAAAAAATGGAGCCATAGGTTATGACCCATGGCCAACTGTCTTGCAGGTCAGGCGCACAGTGACAATGAGGAATACTTGCAAGAGCAGCGTTATCAGCCTCAGCTTTCACACGTTCAAAAGCATCAGCACCCCCCCGCTGCATTCCAAATGCAAAGTCCGAGCTACGGGATATCCTGCTGACTTGCAATGATTCGCGCCCTGTTTCATTCCTGCATCTCACTGACATTCTGAGAACAAATTTCTTGCAATGAGCCACTTTCCAAGACGCAACGGTTGAGACTCGACGCTACCCCAACCGAGCAGCGCTGCCCAATTCACTACCTTGGACATTCTTGCAGGAAGCATCTGTCCAGCATAGTGACACCTGAGATTCTTCCAGCATAAAGGGTCCATAGGAAGCTGTGACATAAAAGAAACCCGTGAGAAAGATAAATCCCAAGGGCACTACTCAACTTTGTGCAAGTGGGTAAGTTGCAAAAGACGGCCCTTAGCCCTCCCATTCTGCTGCTTAGTGTCGAAGCCACCAGGAGAGTGGCTGTCGTCACCTGACCCACCAAAAAGCTGACAAGCTGTCTCAAGCATCTGGCGCATCAGGGGACAGCTTGGAATGACCTCTCCTTTGGTCCGCATGACTCCGCAGCATGACTCATGTAGGGAGGCAAGTGTTGGGTTCTGCCCACCATACACCTGGCTTCATCCGAAGTACTTGGTATGTCAGCCTTTAGTGGGCGTCCACCCCGAAACAGCCTTGACTGTGATCTTGTCATTTGCGTCAAGCTTCAACTTAGGGTGTGCTGAGTACGGGCACTTGCTTGAGACTGTGTTTCTGCAGGGCAAGGTGATTGCATTCCCAGCATCGACCCGGCTTCGTGTTTCATCTGGTGGTCTCAGGCTTTGAGATTTGCCACGCTTCTGCCCATCTGGGCATGCCGCTCACAGAGAAAAAACACGTAGTGCAATCAGGAGCCAGAAATCTGAGTCCTTGATGCCATATTGGTGTCTCGGATGCTTTTGTGTCTGTCCCCTAAAGCAGTCATGGAACCTGAATAAGAAACATAGCTTTGGACTTGCAAATGTGGAGCATCCTCACAGCTGCTCACTTTTGCATAAAATTCAAGAGGAATTATGACTGCCGCTAGGTAGCTGACATACTCCATGTGAGTCTGACCCAGTGCACAAAGATGTGACAATGCTGAACTGAGGAGGGCGCTGCGTGACCACTGAAAATCAGATCTCCGCAGTTGGAGTCATGTGTCCAGTTGTACCTGTGCAGCAAATCGGAATTCCTCAATAAAACTATCCAAAAAGTCCACAACTCAGAGTCCGGCAACCGCCATCCTGCAACACTCATTGCCCTGCTCTTAAGCCCCACCAGCGCTGGCTAAGAAACATCACTACAACAGCCAGCGGCCATGTTGGGTGGAATTTGGTATCCTACCTAATCGATGTCCTAGGTTTCCTACCATGGCCCAACCTATTCAGACACGCTTCATGTGTCTTAAAAAACCAAAAAAATATGGTCTTCCTTTGGTTTCCCCTAAACCAACCCCCAAAAGACTACCCTCAGCAAAAAATCGGCACCCCTTCCGCCTTTCGCGCGGCTCGACATTGCCAAGGGGCGTATCCACCAATAAGTCCCACACCTGACTGCTGGCCAAGACCACCCAGGGGTTTTGGAGTTGGTACCCTTTGTTGTGGGTTAATAGTGGCCACCAACGGAACATCGGCGATTTTATGGGGCAAACATATATGCTGCATTGTCTTCAGGATGCCTTGGCTGAGGGGAGCGATACATACAAGAATGTCTTCGCACGTGAAACAACTACATATGGTATGCCCAAAGGGTGCCTGTCTTGGCACATGAGCCAGTTTGTGTTTCTTGTTGCGGTTGCTTTGTTGTTTGGTTGGTTTGGTTGTTGAGCAGAAAACAACAGTAGAACGTCGGTGCCATCTCAGCCAAAACGCCGTCTGCAGGTGTCTTTGATTCTCCTGGCAAGGTGGAGAAAGCTGAAGGGTGGTCACCCAAATCAATTGATAATCAGATTGCAGCTGAATGAGAATCCTAGACAAGACTTACCCGCCTCTGTCTCGCTTGCTCTCGATCTCTCTCTTGATCTCTCTGTCTCGCTCTCGCCAGTGATGTATCATGCCTAAGCCTCTGCTACGAAGCAAGAAATGGGTAGCAATGTGTACCTGACACCTATCAACACAAAAGCTCGGTTGTTCTCTGCTCCCCTGCTAAAAGCTTTTAACCTTTAGTGGTTTTATAGGAAAACAAAAACACACTAGTTGGCAAACAAAAGTTAAAGTCCTAACATCCCTTGGCAAAATGCACCAAAGACAGGTCCTTTCCTGAAATCAAAAGTTGATGATCACAAGCCCAGCTCTCCTCCCAGCCACCACGGTCTTGGCCACCACTCCAGCGCACGCTCCTTGAGGGAACCCGGGTTCGCGAACCGCCGAACAGCTGAAGGGCGCTTCGGCTCAGGCCTTGCATTTTGTTACCGTGGTAAACAAAAGGCGACAACGGATGCACCGCAATTGAAGATGTTGCGCTTTGAACTTTTGCGAAACGCGGTTTTCCACGAGTCACTTGTGCAACTAGTGTGCGTTCTCGCTCCGTGTCGACAGGCACAGCATCCCTTCATTCCTCCAGCTGTGACATTACCAGTCAAGGCTGTAAATCACAATCGAGGTGATCAACATCCCTTCTTCCCTAAATGGCCATGTCCGTGAAAACAGGAGATGACATGATGACTCGCTTGTAACGCCATCACCACACATTTTTAGAATTGTCTGTCTCGGCTTGGAGCTGCTAACTCTGTCTCAAGAGTTGCAACTGCTTACAACCAAACTAATCCAGCGGCTCTCAAAAAACACTTATGAACAATTCTTTGGCAACAAAGTTACCCCCGTAATTCATTCTTTTGTATTTTTCCCCCAGAAGCTACTAAGCCATAAAAGGTTTGCCAACTGCAAGACTCCTTGCAATGATCACGGACTGACATGGTCCATATTTGAAACCTATACGGAGAAACTAAGCCTGAAACCCGACTTTTTCTCAAGCCTTTGATCGCGGCGATTTTGTCTTACACCCTGGGAATACACCCACTGGGATTGACCCCAATTAGGCACATTTCCGGACACCACCGTGTTATTTTGAACCATTCTGGGTCATTTCCCAAGTGATCTCAAATTGGTGTAATACAACAACCCTCAAATCGCCATGGGTCAAAACCCCGTACCCGTGAACATCCCAATCCCCACCAAAATAGGAAACCTAAAATGGGTGGTGCACCTATCCCAAAATTGTACCATTGGTTTTGACCCACAGATCTGATTTCAAGGACTTGCGCCTAAGACGCCTGCTGACAGTGTGGAGCAGCACCTGGTATGGTGGTAGCCAGGTACGTTGGCACCTCGAGAGGCCGAATCAAATCGATTCAAAGGGGCCAGTTTTTGTCTTACTTAAGTCATCCCCGAAGTGGGTTCAAAGGAACCCGGTCCGACTTTGGATCCCCAGAAGCTGTAAAATGACAACCCCTGTTCCAAATAAGTCTGCCTTTGTCCACATCACTTAGGCAAGTATTCACCCCAAATCTCGGATGGCTAACCGGGCCCATTGGGCCAGTCATTTGGGTGTCTTCTTTGAGGCTATACCCTTTTTCACCCATTTTGGGGTCCCCTAAAAAATACGTACGCATTTTCGGCCTGGAGACTTCATGCAGCTTCTAACCACAAAATCCCCAAAGTCGGCTAAGTCAAGCGCTCGGAGAAAATGGACGAGAAAAAGAGCGCGTACCGTGCCTGGGCAAAGCATCGACTGCGCAGCCCCTCCACGCAAGGGGTTGAAACAGCTCCTGTCTTTGCTACTTGGCCAAATGGCTATGGGTCAAAATCCCAGTACCCCCAGTGAACATCCCAATCTCCACTAAAATAGGTTCTAAAATGGGTGGTGAATTCACCTACCAACCAAAATGGGATCCCGTTTAACGGTTTTGACCAGATGGCTTGACCAATGCACACTCTCCGGCTCGTGGCATCTGATTGCGTGGGAAGTCTCGCAAAGCCATCGCTGCGATGTACGGGCGCTTCTTCCCATGAAAGGAGATGACCAAAGGCAGCACGCAAACAAGCCTTGGAGTGAGCAACTGAACAAAAATGATTTACGCCCATAATAGGTTGCTCTTGCTCTCTTGTGATTCAACCTATTTGACAAAAAGCCGTAGGGGGAGAATCTCTGAGCTCTGTACAGGAAGATGACGATGGCACTGCCTGGCTGGTGATGCCACGTTTACTTCTAGACTCCAACACACAGCCAGCCTGCGACGACGTCACTCAGCACTGCTATGATGTCATTCTGCGAGTAGTCCGGCAGGTTCTCCTGGGGAAGCCGATGTGCTGCAAAGCAGGGATCCTTACATGAAAAACACCTGAACATTGCCTTGTAAATGGTGGTTTTTACCTTTATTTTGGTGTTGAACAAGCCATGTTTCAAATGGTTGCAAAATCTATCTTTTAAGGAGCCCTGCAAAGGTTGATCCTGGTATGATCCCGGAAGAGCCGGATACCACCTCTGCGAGCAATGATTGGCCCCCGCCTGCGACCAATCTCTCAAGTTGAACCTCGGCTGGATTTAGGCTAGGCCTTGGCAAGGACATATCAGCCAATCCAAATGGCTATCACTCAGGAAAGAAGACTGTTCCACATTCTTCGAAAACCCCGAACATTCTCGAAGCCAAAGGGGGCAGCGCAAAGCAACCCTTGTAGCTGACTTGAAAGCTCGCGTGGCTCATGATGCTCCTTTGGCAAAGCGCGCTAATCTCGCCCCAGCAGCGGCATTCCTCCCAAGGCGGACAGGTTCGTGCGCGGCGCCTGGCCACGAGGCAAGCCCGCTGTCACACGCTGAAACGCACGCACGTGTCACCGGTCTTTCCGGATTTGGGATTCGCACCGCGCCTTTGGGGGCCACTTGGTACGTCATTTGATTATTGCTCTGGCCGACTATGACAACATATCTACTCGTGCTGCGCGCCGCGAGCCTACAGGGCTTAGAATACATTACTCGTCATGGATGCTTGAATAGCTTTGCTCTGTTCTACCTATGTTGACACACTCACTGTCCATTCAACCACGCCAAAGAAACATGAAGTGCTTGGGATTCAGCCGGAATTTATCTATGTTGAAGAACATGTTCGGATGGTCGTCAGCTCTTGCATTTCAATACACAGTGCGGCAAGGTCCACTGCTGCCTCGATTGGCACTGACACGTTCCAGCCGTGGGAATAGGCCGTGTCCTTCAAGACCTGGCCATGCACAGCCAGGTTGGTCAAGTGGGTCGGTCAGTCCCCAATCTTCGATGGTCCTTTCCGCAATGCGCGTGAAGGGGCGCCTTTGGCCGCACTTCGTTCCCCTCGCTCAGCTAAACCGCGCGGTGCCGTTAGCGGGAAGCCGCAGTCTCTTTGCTGCAGCCTCCATCTTCAAAGTGGCCTGCCAAGTCTCAAAAAGTAATCCAGTCCGCATACGCATGCCTTCAGAAAAACTGAAGCCAAGGCACACGTTATGATGCTTCACTGAATTACTTGAATCAAGTTCTAAAAGAAAAGTACGCCCCAGGGCCGAAACGCGGTCAGATCCCGTCCTGTTCCATAGGGATCCTAACCCCCTCCAAAAACCGCTCCAAATTTGGTGAGCCTATCTCAGCTTTGCCCAAGGTGTAGCCGCGAAGTCAAGATGTCCCTGCGAAACCTTCTAGACAGTGTGAAAGCTCGCATCAGCGCGCCCTCTTGTCGTGCAAGGGACCTCTTTCTGACAAAAGCTGTGCCACTGAGTCATAGCGAACCAAAGTCATTCTTGCACCAAGCGGCGACTCGGCACACCCCCGCCTTTGACCAAACGCAAATGTGACATCGAGGGCAAGCCTCCTTGCAAACAGAGCCGCGCACCGTAGGCTCGAAGGAAATGAGAATGGAGCAACACAGCATCTGTGCCCTTCGTCCATGATGACCTATCTTTGCTCGGCCTTTGCCAACCCTTTTGGCCATGGGTGAAAACCCAAATCGTACCCCAGTGAACATCCCGATTCCCACTAAAATAGAATACAAGTGGGTGGCGAATTCACCTACCCCAAAATGGTCCCATTGGTTTTGACCCACGGCCATTTCACGTCTGGCATGCCTGTGATTGGCTCCTTGTGGTGGCAGCCTGCCTCGCGCTTCATGAAGCGACACGCCCAGGCACAAGTCTGCGGGTGCCCTGCGCGACTTGTGCGGCTTCTCGTCGCAATGTGTGTGCATTGAAGAGGGCCGGCTTTCAATCCGTCCTCTTGGGCAGGGATCCGGATGCATTATACACCTGAACATTGTAAATGGTGGTGTCCCTGTATTTTGGTGGAACAAGCAACATGTTTCAAATGGTTGCAAAATCTATCTTTTGAGGAGCCCTCTTAGGCACTCAGAACAATTGCGCTACCTTTGCCACCTGGACCTGCGGAACACGAACAAGAATCATGGTTCGGGGACTGGTCGATCGCACCATTGCACCAGTAGAACACAGTGAGAATGTGTTCAAATACCATTTGTGATATTCTCAAATCAAGCGACGCCTCTGAAAAACAATATCTTATGACAGTCATGGCTGCATGACCAATCTGCTGGCAAATGATGACTTCGACTAAACACAATGACTGATAATCATGCTTGAACATCGTTCAATGTGCTCTTTGATTTGGTATTAGAGAAACCAAACCAAATGGACACCAACCCATTCTAGGGGATTCCCCAATGCATGTTGAGAAACAGTCTCTCTCGCTCTCTCTCTCTCTCTCTCTCTCTCAAAGCTTGGCAGATCGTGGCGCACCGATGGAGCCCAAAGAGGCTGGCCGCTCAGACTCAGCCTGGCTACCATGTCGCAACTGATTGTTGCGGATAAAGGAATGGTTGAGAAAGCCTAGGGCACGAGTTCCTGCAAGTGAGTCCATGCTTAAACCTTCAGGCGGCATGGGTGTCCCGCCTGCTTGAACCGCGCCTCCGCTTTCAAGGAAGCCTTGCACCGCGAATCAGCCGCAACACGTCACGAATTGTACGGCAGTAGAATAGTACTTCCTCAAACAAAGTAGAGTGGTGAGCACTACATCCGAAGAACCTTTCAGCAAATGGCCCTCACATCTGGAAATTCAGATCTCCTCCATTGGCAAATCTTGTGACTATAACAAATACGCATGAAGACCAAGCCATCATCTTTCGATTCTTCTGACCTTCGGCCGCAACGCTGGCTCCAAACCTGGCACCCAAGACTCGCGCGTCGCGAGAAAGACCAACCTCCGGCCCGGGAAAAAGAAAAGCACACACGTCTGCACCAAGACTGACCAGTCTCCGCTCGGAAGGTCACCTTGGCTTTCGCTTCTCCTTGCCTTCGCCAGAAAGAGACCAAAGAGGCGCCCCCCAAATTCCAACTTGAAGCCAGCCGAGCCAATTTGGCTCCGCAACAAAGCGAAAACAACTACCCTCTCCAGCCTTGGACCAGGTGCAAAGGTGACAGCGTGTGCAGGAGGCTCCATGAAGGCAACCAGCTGATCTCTTCCTGATGCTTTTCCAATGTCGGCTGATTGATCACAACCATCTGAATCAGAAAGGGGTCCTGATGGGCCAATCCCCTGCGAGAATTTTACCCTACTGCCTTTGACGGTTGTTGATCCGAAGCGTTGACATCTACCTGGCAAGGAGGCAATGACAAGCAACATGTGTAAGCCATGACAGCCTTCGACGAAGTGGAGACGGAGATCTAGTTGTCCTTCTGCATTGGTGCGAGGATATGGAAGGCCAAAGCTACTAAAACCGGCAACAGCTACAAAAGCAGGCAAAAAGTCGCGAAAGCCAAAAAAAAGCACCGACCGGGGACTCTGCTATGACCCAGCCTGCCAAACCTAGGAAAAAAAAGCACAACCATTTTGAAACAAATGGATGCAAATGCTGCAAAGCTCTTCCCGTGTCATATCCCCACTGGGGGTACCCCTTGTAGTGCCACTCTCTGACCCGTCGATTCGCATCAACTCAGCTGCGCGTCATGAAGCGGCAAGGCCAAGCGCAGCCCTCTGGATGGCCAATTGACCCAAGTGAGATGCAGCGTCCAGGGTGCCTGCCAAGTGAGAATGCTCTTTCAGAATGCGTGCAACACCATGTTTCCCGCATCAATGGACTGATTCCACTTTGGCAGCCAAGCGGGCACATGGTTGCCCTATAAGCCACATGTCTAAAACTGTCATTTGCTACATAGCCAGCTAAAGTGCCAAAGCAAATGCCTGCAACCCATGAATCACAGTCGAGTTGCTCCTCTTGCAGCTGCTTGATGCTGGAAAAAGCATGGTCGGCCGCGTCTTGGCACTGCTGCTTGTACATCAGACTTGGCTGAACAACATGTTTACTGACATGTGTGTGAAGCGTAGGTCAAGGTCCCTAGGTATTTCAGAAAGCGCATTCAAGAGCGCTGCAGGCGCCCACATCGATTGAACTTCAAAAGCCGTCGGTTCAGCCAAGAGTCCACATCTCATGGGATTCCACAATGCTCCCGATTGGCAGCAACAGCACTTCCTTCCAGCTTGGTGAGAAAGCGCTTCCACAACTGCCAAAGCAAGCCTTGACACGTTTGACAAACGCAGTGTCCTGCAACGTTGACATTGGCATGTACGCCACATCAACCATGACCTGACGCTGCAAGGCATTTCTCTTTTGAGGAAGCTTGCAAGAAACATGTCTCTCCAAATGTGAGCACACGTCTCAGGGCTCCAGTGCTGCCTATTCGTCAATGCCAAATGCCTGCGATGCCCGTCACATGGTGCCTGTTCTCACGTGTCTGATTGAATTCAAGAAGCCAAAGAGGGCTCTGCCCTCAAGCGCTGCTGCTCCTGAGCACAACGCATGGATCAAGCGACACAATTCAATCCGCAACATAGTTGGTTCAATTGCGACATTTGATTCTAGTGGGAGCCCGCCAAACAAAAGGGGACTTCCAGGGGGCTGCTGAACTGTTCAACTTGCTAACAGATAGAGGTGACACCATCGGAGCCAGTCCTTCCCCTCCATAGTCAGCTGTAGGCCATGCGCGACGGCTGTGCGCGCATACGCGACATCTTTGTTGACTGAACATGAAGGCCTATGCGGATTGCCATCTGATTTGAGAGTCCCGATCTGTTTTTGTCGGGGTGTTTGAAGGGAAACCAAAAAGAATGCAACTGTTTGGGGACACCCGTACTATGTGCGAGCCATCACCCATACTATGTGCGCGCCATCATCGGCCTTCCCAAACACGATTCCTCTCAATATCTCTCATCAATAACTAGGACAAGGGCTCAGCTGAAGTATATGTCGTCAGAACCAGCTAAGGACTTGCATGTGAAAGATCAAATGGCAAGGTTTGTCCAGTGCACCTCACGAATCGCCTTGAACTAAACTCAGCTAATAGCTGGTGGTCAATGGTTAGCAGGTAATGCGGCAGGTGGTGGATGCCGATTTGAGCATGGCGTTAAATGTTTTGGCCAGCTTCAGGCGCAAGTTTGCAAGCTTCAGTGAACAATATTTTCGCGGAGACCTCTTGTCGTCCTTTCCTCACAAACTCGAGCCGTAAAGAGTTGTCCGTGCAAGGTCCACCCATTTGTTGCCACAGACTAGAGCTGCAAATGGTAACCACAGCCGAAAGCTCTGCTTCAGCCAATCCATCGCCATTGATGCGACTTTGCACAACTCTGCTTTGATTGCTTCAACTTTTTTTCCAGCCCTCAGGACATGGCCACTCCCAGCCCGTCCACAAAAACATGCCAGCTTCCGGCCTCTGCAAGCGGCAAGGCCTGGCTTCCATTCACCAGCTGCACCTTCCCATGCTCCACCAGGGCAGAGGCGTAGTGGGGAGCTACCTCAGCTGAGCTGACAGTAAACCTGCGCAAAACCGACCCCCGTCAGCCTGCAAACCCGATAGTGGCCCCTCACAACTGGCACCCATGTTGCCGGTTGCTGCATGGGGAAGTGCCATGACTTTTCAACAAACCGCGCTTTGTGGAAAAAAAACATAGGCTGCATGCACTTGCCATGGGAAAAGTCCGGATAACAACTGCACTTTCTAGAGCGGATGCTTCCTTGCTTCACAGCTTGCCGCTGGGTCTGGAATTGCATAACTCAAGCACATTATCCAATCCGATTCAGTGATTGCCACCTAAGACAGCTGCATCTGCAGGCAAAAACAATCAGGCAAAGGTCATGATATGTGCAGCTTTGTCACCTGTTCGGCATACACCTGCCATGTTTCTTTGCAAAAGCAGGCGATTGCGCACTTGCTGTGCGTTGCTTCGTCGCAATGACAGATCGCGCAAGGCTCACTGTGCAGACTTGCTGTCGCATGGACGCACCTCTCTTTGTCATCTCATCGGCTCAGATCCCAAACAATCGCACTGGCTCGAGCCGGGGTCAGAGCATGAGGAAGGGAGGCGCAATCTCCGAAGTCTCCCAGGGTGAAGCAAAAGGCTCTACCTTGTCCCTGTACAAGGCCGTGTCATGGCTGGCCAGGACCACAGGTCTGATGTCCATCTCCCAGGACGTGCGCCACGGCTCTGACGCCTGGAACCCATTGGCCATGTAAACGAAAGCGATCGGTCTGTGGTTTGTGTCGCCCTGAAATTCTGAAAAGGCGAATAATCAAAAATTGAGCCATAAGATGCCCAAGCAAAGTTCAAATATTAACATCTATACTATCGTTCTGGCAGTCGCATCGGGTCGCATCGCATCAACAAACTCAATACAATCCCAAGGCAGTCACAGCTCAATACGTCTAAACCACAACAGCGACTGGCAGCAGTCACGATCACTGTCTTGATCCGTATCAGATGTTTGACGCTCAAGAGCATCTTTCTAGGCACCAGCCCAAACAATCAGAGAGACCAACACAGAACATGCAGATTCTTTCTTGTTCCACAACCAGAATTCCACACCTGCCTGAAATCGAGGAAGCCCGAATCCAACATGAACCAACCAGAAAAAAAAAAAGACATTCATCACATCCTCTCGCTGCCAGTCCCACCTCTCGCTGCCAGTCCCAAGGCTGCAAACAGAGCCGTCCCCTGGAGTCTCGCAGTAGCTCACCGCAGAGCACCACTTCTGCCCCCACTTGGAGCAGGTCCTCGCTCGCCTAAAAAACGGCGCTCGACTTTACCAGTGAAAAAGACGCCACAGGACTGATCCAAACGGATCAAAGCGCTGCGATCCCGGGGAACATGCGCCTGGTGTCACATTGTGAGACAATTGTTCAGTCATATTCACGGATTGTCTGACGCGTCTGACAGCAAGCTGTGAGCAATGTCACATGATGTCTTGTCTTCTCGTCAGCCGCACGTCAACCGCCAACCGCCTCGACCCGCCTTGGGATTGCTCTCCAACTGCAGCTCACAGCCTGAGACGTCCACCAGCACCGAGGGCGCACCGACCAAGGACACCTTGCGACCCCGCCAAAACCAGGTGAGTCTCGTGCTTGGAGCCCAACAAAATACGGCCCTCAGTACATTCAACCGCCAGAAACATATTGTGTGATCCTGCATTTAAACGAATTTGATCGTGTGACATTGATGAAACTCAAGCAGCCACATTCGCAAATTGGTTTGCCCTCTCTCTTCTGCCTGCGGTACCCGTCACATGTGCTGCTCAATTTCACAGGTCGCTTCATTTTGAGGGGAAGGTCTTATTTCGAAATAACCTGGTTGATACACCATGGGCGTCAAAATAAGGGCTACCCAAAAATCGCTTTCGGCTCGAGTTTCCCTCGGCTTCCGAATGCAGGGGTACCTTTCGCCTCACGAGCGAGCCTGAAAGTCCAGGCCCTCTGTGCGACGCCCATTCCGTTCGTCCGCCGAGAAGAAGACGCAGCTCTGTTTGCTCACCGGAGCCCGCAGCAGGCCCAAAGGTGGCGGACCACCTTCGCGAAGAAAAGCGGGGGTTGCTCGAAATAAGACCCCAGAATGGCAACGGATTGCTTGGGATTCCCTTCAAATACCAACCAAAGGGGTCCAGCATTGTGAAAAGCACACAAATGGGGTCACGGAACGTGCTTCGCGAGTCTTGGACAGCTCTTTTTGAATGCACAGCACTCTTTTCGGCAACACTCACTCATTCAGGAATAAGCACACTCTTGTGTAAACTGGACAAACAGGCTCACTGGCTTTTGAGCTTCAGCAAACAAAAGCCAGGCTTGGACAGCCTCATAAGCAGCTCTAGGCTTGCCCTTGGCAACATCCATCCCGCATTTCATCCACAACTTGGTGCCATGCTTCGCGGCCATGGGCCCACGGAATTAATTGCACTCCCGGGCTCAAAAGCTTACCATGCCTCAACCAAACAAACTCCAAATCTCATCAGCCAGCGATCTGGGATCTGGGCTCAAGCCTTGTTACACTCTCCCAAACAACTTGCCAAACGACGTCTCATTGCGCAAGCCGCCTGGCAAGGGCCCCTCGATGCGAGCCAGCAGTCGCACTGCCCTGCCGCTGCTGGCGGGCTTGGACAGGGCGCAGTCATAGCCGCCGCACCTCCCCACCAAAAAAAACCGAACCCAAGATTGCGTGCCCTATTTGGTTGCATCGTAACATGGACTCAAATTGATGGGACTGACTGACTTGCTCACATAATGGTCTCTCTTTTTAGGGGACCCCACCATGCGTGTTCTTTTTGGTTTCCCTTGGAAATAACCAAAAAGGGGCGCCCTCAAACAGGGATCCTTACATGAAAAACACCTGAACATTGCCTTGCAAATCGTGGTTTCCCTTTATTTTGGTGGAAAAAGCCATGTTTCAAATGTACAGCTTCACCCAAACAACCCCAAAGCTGCTTTACCACGGCAATGCAGACAGAATTGTCTCACAGCAGTCATGGATTTGTATTGAGCTTGCAGGGATACTTAAAGCTCTGGTTGCAACATGAATTTCTTTTAAGGAGCTTTGTCAAAGACAGACCCGCGGCATATCGCGAACTTCCGAGTCGCTCCAGGGTCCGACGTCCGGCCTCGGCAGCAGGGCCTCCAAGTCGTCCGAGCCACAGCGCAGAGAGTCCTCGCGGAACTGAGATGCAAGTCACATGGAGCCCTTCGAGGCTCGGGACCCGGTCCCAAGTCCCGAAGAAGGAACATGGACTTGGACCCATTTTAAACGTCAGTCATGTGAAGTGGGAGGGTAATTGAAGGAACATGGACTTGGAGCCCATTTTAAACGTCAGTTGTCTTCATGTGAAGTGGGAGGGTAATTGAAGGAACATGGACTTGGACCCATTTTAAACGTCAGTTGTCTTCATGTGAAGTGGGAGGGTAATTATATGCTAAAACCCATGCGCTTTTCAGGCGAGAGCAGCCGCAAATGAGAATTCCAACACTGCTCAACGAACTGAGATGTCCTCCATCCCATAGGCCGAAGAAAATGTCCTCATGGGACCTTCTGGCGTGTTCATGTAAGTGGCTTTCCCGGGGTGTGCTCCAGAAGGTATTGCCAGCAAGGTCAGATTCTGTGGAAGATGGCAGCTCCTGCCCCCCTTCAGGAAAAAGCATCCAAAGGATTTTCCACAGTTCCGCGTAAGTGCGAAGCAAACCATTTTCCACAGTTCCGCGTAACCATCTCTTGGTGGGACTCACTGGATTTCGGGCGATCAAGTACGAGTCTCTCAGGAATCATGGACCATCAGGGTGGCCTAACTGCAGCGCAAACTCTTGCAGCCTGCACTCCGCCCTGAGTTTGTTTGGCCATGGGTCAAAATCCCGTACCCCCAGTGAGCATCCCAATTCCCACTAAAACAGACTGAAATGTTTAAAATGGGTGGTGCACCTACCCCAAAATGGTACCATTGGTTTTGACCCACCGCCGTTTTCTGCTGTCAAACTTCACAAATGGACGGCAGGTTTCTGGCAGTGGGCCCCCTGTCCTGAATAAGATCGCGCAAGCAGCTGCTAAGGGGCTGCTCCGACCCAGTCATGGTCTGCTGCTCGACAGTCTGGATGGTCTGGGCCTTTTCTGTCTCTGGCTGCCCCAAAGTTACGTCCTGCGCATTTTGTCTCTAGACATGTCGGAGCCAAGAAAAGTTTTTTGGGCCTTTCCAGCGGCCTTTTGCTGGAAAGGAAGTAGCTCTTGCTGTCTTGACGGATTGATGGGATCGAACCGCAAGTCACTTTTGACCCCTTGTGGAAAGAATGTTGTGGAACAACCAAGGCAGCCCTGACCGTGACTCCTCCTCCTTTGATGCCGCTGGCTCTAGCCATGTTGACACAGTCGAGACGCAAAGCAAACCAGCCACGACCACAATCAGCAGGAGTGCCAGCCAGAGCCCGGGCGTGTCCAAGCCAGGCCTTACAGCAAAGGCCGCAAACATCAAGCAGTACCATGAGTGCAAGCATGGTGAGAATATTCTGCACCCAGAAAGTCTGACACCACCTAATTTCTCTAAACCCAATGCGGTTGATTGCTATCCCTGGATGCCGTGGGAGCTATCAGTTTCAAGGCCCGACTTTCTAAGCCCAAACATACCATCTCTCTGAGGCGGTTCTCCCGCAGGAGCAAACAGAAACTGCTTGCTCCGAGGCACGCGCGTCCCGAGCTCTCCAATCGCAGTGCCTTGGCTGCCGCTGCCTTGGCTGCCTTGGCTGCCTTGCCCTCGTGCAGCGCATAGATCTGCACTGCATCCTCCTCTCGGGGTCAAGTGCTTTGCTACTCACTTGAAACCAGTTCATTGCCTGCGAGCCTGTGCCAATTGCAGAGTTCTTAGAGGCTTCCACGTTCAATGTGGGCCACATTCTGCCCTGACCGCTCCTGCCACTGCAGCATCTGCTGCTTCTGGGAGTGATCTGCATGCACTTCGCCCACTTTTGGCACATCCTCAACAGCGGCAGAGCTGCCGCTCGTATGCACTTCACCCACATTTGTCACCTGAGCCGGCTCCAAAATGCAACGAGAATCAATCTGCGTGGCTTGCCGCGCCCCATCTTTTGTAGCAATCAAGCTGCTCAAGGCTCCCGCATGTCAAGAGAAAGCCATGCCAGCGGTGGCAATTACGCTCGCACATGCCGCCGTTGACGCGGTGCATTCTGGAGGGGGGAGGCCGCTAAACCGTTTGAACGGAATTGTACAAAAAAACATCCCCCAAGGTAGCGGTTTTCCGCGCTCGTCTGCTTTTAGCGGGCATCCGCACACGTTCTCCACGATCAGTCACACTAAGCCTATAGCTCCGCGTTGCTAAGGCCGATGTAAGGCAGTTTCAGTTACCTTGGTCTGGCTTTGGGGTGGCAAAATGCGCACCTATTGTCGAACTACCAAATTGTTGACAGTCAGGTGTGCGATCTCTTTGAGCAACATGGTTGAAGTACGCGGGATGGTGCTGGCTAGGCGTTCGACTTACTAAGCAATTTGATGCCAAGAATGTTTCCATATGTTTCCTCTCCCCACGTGACCCCGCCCTTTCTTTCTCAACCAACGAAGCATTCAAGCAAACCACCCATCAGCACAACGAATCAATCACCAGGAACCGATCGAACAAACACCAGCCAAGAACCTTCCATGCGATGCCAAAAAGGCGCATGCCACTTGCCCGGAGTTCAACCATCAGATCCCTCCTGCCATAGGCGTCCTTTTCGGGGAAATAGCTGGCCCTGGTAGATGATTAAAACCAAAACAACCAAAAAGGACACCTATGCCTCCTGCCCGCTGCCCGGCCTCCTCCATCTGCAAGAAGCTGGGCTCCATCTCTGTCTTTAGGTCCCAGCGATAGGCCGCCGCGGTTTGCAGCAGCGCCGCTGCATCACAGCTCCGGCCTTGAAGCAGTGAGCAGTCCTCGCGGTTGAGACTCACATGCGACTTCTGCAGGTTTGAGGATACCCAACCGTTCATCTTGGCTCAAAAGGAAAAACAAAAAACACATTTTGGAGGGTGGGACCCGCTCCTTTTGCGCCAGATCAATTTGATTTTGGCTTCTTACATGCACTCAACAAAAGCACTCAAATGCTCCTTCGCCTCAATGTTCGTCTCACATCAGTCCGGTACGCTTCAGGGAACCAAAAGAACATGCGCCAAACCACTTTTTGGTTTGACACGGCGTCTTTTTGGTTTGACACGGCGCTTGCAGCTTGAACACCTCTTTGCAGGCCTCACAGCATCTATCTCTTGATTCCCAAAGGCAGCCAGGACAAGACCCTGACTATTGTGTGTGTGTGCTCGACATCGAAGTGGGCAAAATGGACTATGCCCAAGGGCAACCACGAGTGATTGCTCACCTAGAGTCTAGTTGCCAACAGCTTGACAAGAACAAAAAGAGGGGATGAATCTTCATGAAGTCAAGTCTGGCCAGTGGACAGTGAATTGCTGGAACTTCCGGACAAAGATTGGCTCCCACAAGACCTGTTCCCCTCTCCTCACTCTCAAGTTCCTGCCCCAGTGCCGCCAGAATGTCATCCTCTTCCGCAGACTCTGCAAAGGTGAGGAGCCATAAGCACCCAATGCTCAGTATGTACATGAAGGGCCGCAATGGGAATGGTTTCCGCGGCCAAAGCTTCTGACTAGATCATAGTATCTTGACTGGACACGGGTCCAAACAGCTGCGACGTGGCCGGCACTTGTGGTCAGAATGAGCCACAGTCAGCTTTCGGGTGTGTCGTTGTTCTATGAGAACCCCCCCCCCTGCAGAACCAAAATGAATCGCGGCAGTCCTCTTGGTCTCCCTTTAAGGCCCACCGAAAAAGGGGTCGCCTCGCAAAAAGGGACACACCTTTGGCCGAAATTTTGGCGGCTTTGGCCCGCAGGCCCGGCCGATCGGGAAGTTCTTCATTTCTTCCCCCGGCCTCCAGGCCGCGGTAGCGCTGAAAGCCCAGGTTCCGGAAGAAGATCGAGCAGCAGTACTCCATGACCACAAAGTATACCCTTGCAATGACGAGAAGGCGCACTTTTGTTGGCATAAGTTGCAGTTCAAGGACGAAAAGGCGCGTTCTTGTCGGCATAAGCAAAGTCCATCTACACAAGGCTCTCTTGCCCCAACCCGTCATGTCTACTGAGTTGACATAAACCTGTGCGACAAAGACGTGGCAACATCTGGGCAGGCGGCACGATCCACACCCAGACCTGTCATGCAACCCAACGCAAATAAGCAGGGTCTGAATTTGTTACTCGAGGCTTTAAAGAATCCATGTTGAATCTTCTTCAATGTGCGCCCCGTTCTCCCAATTCAGCCAGCCTGGCGGCACACCTGCGCGAACTCAACATCTGCAAAAGTGGGGGTGGGCCCTGCAATTTGAAGCTCACTAGCTGTTGCCCAATGCATCCTTTGCTTTTCCCGCGGCATTCTGCGGCCAAAGTCGTTCTGTTGAACGGTTCAACGCCATGCGATGCAACAAGGCCGACCCCGCCTGCAGCTCTTGCTTGGCAGTCGGCAACAGCTCGCGCCAGTGCCAGGTGTAAGCGGCCAGGTCCTGGCACCATATCAGTACCGGGATGAAAAAAAAACGGACGTACATGATACAAAATACGGGTGTGTCAAAATAGGGGACCCCCGAAAATGGCGGTGTCCCCTTGGGTTCCACTTGAAAAAAGAGACAAACAGCCAACCATAGTCCTCCCATTCACCCCCCCCTTTCAGGGGTTGTGTTGAGTGTCAGAAAAGAACTAAAGCCTCGGGTTGACAGGCTCAAGGCGCCAGAAAAATAGCAGCGAAGCGCAGTCTGGCAAATTGGATGACGTCCAAAGGTCACTTTAGGCAAAGGCTCAGCCTTTGAATGGACCTCTAAACAAGCATGGCTAGCCTTGGTCCAGACTGCAAAGCGCCAATTGTGACACGTGCACAGTTCGACAAATGCTAGTCGGCATTGGGCGCAGGTATTTTGAGAGTGTCGATCTCTCCACAGGTCTGCAAGGGTTTATTTTGGAATCGCATGCGGATGCAAAGTGAGACCCCTCGCAGCACGGCAAGGATAGAAGCAGAGTGCGCGCGTGATCAGCAATATGTTGGCTCCCCAAAATCAATTCTACGACTGGCAACTAAGAGTTGTATCTTCCTGCCGGCCCGATCGGGCCATCGTTCCAAGGACGCTTACACATACGTCGATCTGGATACTTTCCAACAAATGAAACCAGTCAAGCGGAAGCCACCAACACGCTGGCTCCTCTCACGCAGGTGACTGAAGAAACTAACCCAGCCTTGCGCTGGTCGATTTGGGAACCCATGCAGGACAAACACAAATTGGTCACTCCAAATTGGTGACTCATCTGACCAAAGCATGCTGCCTCAATAAACCCCACTGAGGCGTTTTGTGGTACCTTTCGAAAAGCTGTTGCAGGATAAGTCTATGACAAGACCATTGCCAAACAGAATACAAACATGTTAAGCATGCACAGTTGACCATGGCGCCAATGCTGCGCTTGTGCAATTCAAATGCCTGGCTGTGCGACCCGCAGAGTCCTCCATGGCCACCTCCATGGAGACGCACCAGGCTTCACGCCTGCGTTTGCACTTGTGCGTAAAGCAGGGGACACGAATCCGCCTCAGCTGGAAGCCATTGCCGCGCAAACTCAGCTGAGTAACTACTTACCATACCATGACAAACATCGCTTCAGCAAAATGGGAACTATGAGACTGCAAGTCAACTTCTTCATTCATAACCCGCTGTTCGCGCCCGTACACCGCGGAGAATGCATGGCTTGAGCATGCCTCTCCGACCTCCGACACCGCGGCTCGCGTGACTCAATCCGCTGAGCCGAGAGGTGCGGCAAGTTGAAAATCCATCGGGCGGCGCAAAGCCGACGCGAAAAAAAGCGGCTAGCCGACGCGCACAGTCCTTCTGCATGGCAGCGTAGACAATGGCTTGATCTTTCTTGAGGTCCTGGGGTCTATGGGGTAGGGAAAAAAACAGTTGAAACAGTTCAAGGTGCTGAAGAAAAACAAGCCGCAGTCAAGTCTACTGAAGGCTAGGCACATGTGCCATTGAAATATGAGGGGTGCACTATGCGGGTGTGTCTTTTTGCTGGACCCCAAAATGGGTTGTCCTTTTGGGTACCCTCAAAACAAGACAACCCATATGCCAAATCACACAACTCACCACAACTCAAAGCTCCGGGTGGGCAAACTCCAAGGCCAGGCCAGAGTTCTGGATTGCCTATTGGCCAGGTCTGGAATGACTCCAAGAATCGTAAACGCTTGGCGGCCGTAGGGAGTGACAGAGGGTGCTACGGGCGATGGGTCTCAAAGCTTGTCCCGAACAGCAGCCGCCATGAAACAACGCGACTCCACTCCAAGTGTGGGAAGGGCAGAGTGCTATCAATGTGAGGAGCGTATACCGGAGTGGCTACACAAATAGGAACAAACTCTTGAGGAAGAGATGCGCGAGATGGCGAGGCAACAGCAGTTGCAGTTCCAGCCCCGCATACTGAACGAGAAGGCCACACGACATGGGCTGCGGTCAAGAATCAAGCATGCATGAGCGAATCTGAAGGTGGCTTGTGGCTTTCAAGGTTCCATGACGCAGGAGCTGAGTTGACAGGTCTCTTTTGCACCTGACATGGCTGCACATGGCATGCGCTGCTGTTGCTGCGCTGCGGGGTCACCACAGTGTGCTCTGTACGGGCATCAGTTTCATGTCAGCAAAGTCAGCAGCAGCAGCAGCAGCAGCAGCAGCAGCAGCAGCAGCAGCAGCAGAAAAGACGAACTCAACGACACAAAAAGCGCTGTGCGCAGACCAGTTGGCCATGTCGAGTGGCCGTGATTTGGTCAATGTGCATGCAAACACTGGGAAGTTCATGGCTCGCAACATGCAAACAACAATTCAGAAGTCCATGAACTATGGCGAGTGAATGGATTTCTTCACTTTGGGGGGTCTTTCTGGATTCTTCATGACATGGGTGTGGGTCAAAATTAAACCACCAGGGGACCGCCTGTTTTAGTCATGGGTTCCATTTACCAGGGCTCCTTTTTGGGTACCCATTTTTGACCCACAGCCACACTCGCCCACCTTCATGACCACGTCCCGGCGTCTCCGGAGCTCTGCTGGGGCCTCACTTCAAAAGGCGGTTGCGATCTGGTGCACAGGAAGTCGTTTCCTAAGAATGATGTATCGACCACAGGTGTCCTTTTTGGAAAAATAGATGGCCCTGGTAGTTGATTGAAACCAGGTAAACCCGGGCCCTCTATTTTTAAACCAAATCAACCAAAAAGGACGCCTATGGTATCAACTCGCCTAGAGCTGAGGCAAATGTCAATTTCGGGAGAGGTTCGCACAGAATTCACCGTGCAAACTTGGACTATACGAGACTCCAAGAAACAAACCAAAAATACCTGCCTGGCACTGAGCAAACATGAAAGGTCTGTCTTAAAGGCTCGGACATCTGTAGGTATCTGACAAAGCCCCTGACAAACAGCAGTGCCATGCCACACTGCGTCACCGCGGTCTTCACGACCTCTTGAAACAGTCGGCTGGTTACAAGGAATGCAGCTCAAGGCTTTAGCACGGAATCCAAGATCTGGGCAAGCTCCAAGTTTCAACTCAAGACATTTGCAGAATCTGTTTCGGTTCAATGCCCAAAAACAAGCCATACGCAACTCCATGCGACTGCAAGTCAAATAGCCGGCAAAGCTGCTCCCTCTTTACAAGCTGAACCTTTGCACCGCGACCTCTGCGCCATCCCCAAGCCACTTCTCTTGGGCTGTCGCTTGCTTTACCCCCCAAAAAAAAGGGTGCGGATGTATTTTGAGAATTTGTTTCGTTTGTTTTTTCCTTTTTTCGTCCGGGCCAGTAAAATGTCGTATTTTACAGCATTTTCTTGTGAAATTGACGGCATCTTACACTAGCCCGCCAACATCCCCAGCATCGTTTTCAACATCCCCCGCATGTCCGACCAACATCCCTAGCATCACCAATAATTCGGTAACATAATCAGAATAGTAGCTGGCAGGTTGACGGGGTCCAAAAAATGATGATTCAAATAGGAGGGCATTTCAATTCCTGTATTAAACAAAAACAAGTAGCGGGGGGGTTGGGGGGAGCCCCCCCATGATGTTCGCAGAAGTGATGATTCGAATAGCTCTGCAAAAAGTCTAAAAAGTAGCGGGGAGGTTGGGGGGGCGGCAGCCCCCGCCATGAAGTTCGAAGAAGTGATGATTCAAGTAGGGGTGCAATGATTCAAGAACGGGTGCGATAGAATTTAAAAGGCAGCGGGAGGGTTGGCGGGGGTGGCTTCCCCTATGATGATGTTTGAAGAAGTGTTGATTCAAATAGGGGTGCAATTACTCTGCAAACAATCTAAAAAGTAGCAGGTGGGTGGGGGGGAGCCGCCCCATGATGTTCGACGAAGTGATGATTCAAATAGGGAGAACACTGGTGATGCTGATGATGCGGAAAGCCAAATCCAAAAACCGAAAAGCCAAAGCCGCCAAAAGCCGCATAAACCAGCGAAAAGCCGCAAACCCTGCTGAAGATGAACTGGGAATGCAGAGGCTGCGAAAAGCCAAAGCCAAAAAGCCACCAAAAGCCGCATAAACCAACAAGAAGCCGAAAAGCCAAGACGCCGAGAAGCCAAAAAGCCAAGAAGCCGAGAAGCCAAAAGCGGAAAAAACATCAAACAAATCCTAAAATAAATATCCCTCCGAAAAAAGAAAAAAATCCAAAGGTCACAACTGCCTCGTGGCGTTGCTAGGAACCCGTCCAATCCCTCGCTTGGTCCTGCGGATGCTGCGCCTGCACGTTGCCGCGCATTTGCGGGGAGACGTGCTCCAAGGCCAGGCCGTAGGTCTTCATGGCTTCCACCTCAGGCCGTGGGTTCTTCCCTCATGGTCGAAGCGCTCGGTGAGGCGCTTGGCTTTCCTTTTGGCTGTCCTTTTCAACGTGCAAAAAGGGGACCCCTACTTTGAGAAACATGATACATTAGCACCGCCTGAGTTTCCAGAGTTGCATAGGGAGCTGTTCTGATAGGTTTTCATGTGTCTCACAAGGAGTTGTTTGTTTGTAACATGGGCGTCCCCAACTGCTTGCCGAAACAGAAAGAACAAACACATATCCTGGGCATATATGGCTGTGGCTCAAAAAACCGGAATTCCAAAATGGAACCCTGGTAATTGGAAAAATGGACCAACACCCGAGTCATTGATTATGAAAACCTGGTACTAAAATGGTCTACCCAGTAAAGAATTAAGAAGGCGGCCGCAACTATTTCTGGCTGGGACTGCACCTTACTAACCTTAATCTACCCGGGTTTGGATTGTGGCTCACCTGCGTAACCCCTCCTGTTACATTTTGAGCCACGCCCAATATGTGGGCAAATTCCTACTCCCCCGAGGCTCTGTAAGGTTCGGAACATGATCTCGTCTCTCTGGGCTCCCAGCGCAAACCTCCTCCGTGCACTTGAAGAGAGGTGGCGCGTACCGGATGGCCCAGCCATATTCCTGGCACGCCTTCCATGCGAACATATGGGAGTGCTTTTTTTTTTGGAGGGCACCCTTTTTGGTAGTGGGCAAACAAAAAGGATAACCACTCTCTTTCTGTGTGTTTTCTTCTTTTCTTTTGGGGGGGGGTCCTGTTAAAAAAGACACACACCCATGTTAGCGAACTGCGCTAATCAACTCATCAGAGTTGTTTTTGCATCCCCAATGAGAATACCTGGAAAAAGCAGCAAGCTTGAAGCTGCATGCCTTGATGATCCTCAGGACCTCCTCCTGGTCCCTCTTGTCGTTCCGGTAGAGAGATATCCTCTCAACTATGCGCTGATCCACCCTCGGATGTGGCAATGAGCCAGGACGCTCATGGACGCTCAAGAGCAGCCCTGTAGCTTGGACTTACAGTCTATAAGAGTTGAGATCCCGGCTCTTCCATCTCGTTCCTCGCATGGCTGAAGCATCATCCAACTTCAATTGCCAATGGGGTGCAATTTAGGCGTGAACATGGCCGCTGAAAACTTTTACACGTCTCAAGCAACGCCTCGCTAGCGGCCAAGGCACGATCCGCCATCCGATTTCTTTCGGCCAAAGCGCTGTGGAAAAGTTGGGCCGATGTCTCGATGCGCGAAATTGATATGTGCGCACTGAATTTACAAGCAATGGGCGTCATGGGCTCTCGTCACGAAACTGTTGGGGCTCGGCTCTTGACTAGATAATATGCTTTCACAGTCCTCTGTGATCCAAGGCAGTTGCGCAAGACAATCATGGACATGCAGCGCTATTGCCATAAATACAAAGCAACGATTTGCAAAACTTGCAATCCAACAGCTCCGGCATGTACAATGCTGGCGGCTTGTTTAACCTCCCACTGCCTCGCTGTCGTTGACTGGCCGCTCACACGTCACAAATCAGGAAGCTGGCAGGATTTGGTGCAGTCGCAACCTGACATATGGGTGTCTGAAAATAGGGGACCCCCATTTAAAAAAAAAAAAAGAAAAAGAAAAACAGAAAAAACAGTAGCTGTCCTTTTTGGCTTCCCTTCAAAACCACCAAAAAACGGTACCCTCAAAAAATGCCACTCCCATGTCAAGTCTGTGTTATTCTCGCATTGAACAAAATCCAGAGTCGCGCCTTGAGAAGTTGTCTAATTGGGTATCCTTGCTGCATCCACGGAGGTCTCGATGAGATCGACTGCGGGCTCAGGCCAGGTTCTGGACTTCAACTGCCAACTTTTGCAACCCTATGCAGCCCTAGCAGTGGCGATGCACATGTGTATGCAAAAGTTAGCTTGAGACCCCGCAAACTATATCACTCAACAAATAGCCTAGGCAAACTATAAAAATGGGGGCCAAACGATGTTAACAAGTGCCAGGAGGGCAGGCAAAAGAGTGCTTGCAACGCTGTGCAAGCAAGACTTCATCTGAGCCATCTACTCCTCGGACATCTGACCGGAGTTCAAGCCGTGCGCACAGGCCTGATGATGCCAGCCATCAAAAACAACATCCATGACAATGTCATACGATACTCATTGGTCAACATCAATGCTCTTCTCCGACATAACATCTTAAGACCTTTGGCTTGTGAGGCTTGACACACAGGCTCCAGGCATTCTTACTCGAATGCCACCTGCCACGTCAACGTGCAAGAGAACTTGGCATCTGACGCGAGCCCAGCTTGGCACACGCCAACTGGATGAAATATGAACTTCAGACAGCTGCAGCAATACACTTTCAAACAAGTGTCTTTTTTTCAGGGGACCACCCAAAATTGTGGATATTCTGCAAAACCAAAGAAACGGGGGTACCAACTCCAGGAAAAAGGAATCACAACTCTGGTAGTGCCTTGGTGAGAAGGTTTCCTCAATCGCAAAACACCCCTTCAGTTTCAGGTGCGGGCGGAATGGCGGTTTTAGCGCCCATCAGGGTCAGACTCCTCTCACCTGACGCTGAGCCACTGTAAGTTGACACCTGGAGAAGGGTCGATATCATCCTAAGTAATCCTCATGCTGTCCATTCCTATCAAAGCCATCAACATTACATTTCTATTTGGGTCTGTCTTTGCTGGGCTAGACCCGCAAAATGGGTGGGTGGTCCCTTTGGCTTCCCTCTAAAACCACCTCCACAAAAAGGACAGACCCGTTTCGACCACGGGACTGAGACAAGTTCAGCTGTAGGCCTGCGCCAGTGCCCCAGGCGATGAGGCTTCCCATGTAGTTGAAGTCGACAGTGGTCATGACCTCAAACGGAGCCCCCGTCTTTTGAGGGAACCGTTTCCTGGCGTACTCTTAAACCAACTCAAAAAAGGCTGCCCTCAAAACAGACACCCCAAACTGTCACAAGTGAAGCATTGTGAAACTCCGCTCACACTTAGTGCGAAACGTGCCCCGGATGCAGCAAGCATCGTAAGCACATGGGCTGATGTGGCTCCTCACGAGATTGCAAAGGCAGTGATGGATCCATGTGTTCAAAAGCGGAGCAAGGCTGCAATTCACACAGTGATGGGACCGTAGCACCGCCACTGCAAATGCATTTGTCTGAGAAAAATAAGCTGCACTGAAGGCACGCGTTCTATCATCACTCTCTCAGATGATGTAGGGCATTGGCAAAGGGATCAAAAGTCACAGGCTGCTATAGCTCCCCCAACCATGACTCTGGGAGAGCAATCCTGAACACAGGTGGGTCATGCTTGGCCGCATCATACATGGCCGTATGAGACCGTGAGTGTCATCTTCCACTTGCAAATCACTCCCCGCGCAGGTGGCCCAAAATGCAAATCCCACCATGCCTGTGGGATCACATGCCAGGGAGATCGCTGCCTCAGCGCGGTGATCAGCAAAATGAGCTGAACCCTCAAGTTTAAAGCAACCAAAAACAGCGCATGTCTGAACACCCCAAGTGTCATCCGCAAAGTCGCGCAACAAATACATTGGTATTTCATTGGGCTTGGGTAAAACCAAGCAGCCCAAATGTGCCCAGGCACCTTGGCACGTACAATCTTGCCTTGTGAGCAAATGGCCCTCCTTCCGCCGATTGTTGGAAAGAGGGTCTCTTGACATGACGTATGGCTGAAAGTTGAGACTCTCCATCCAAAGTCCATCGGAGGTGGGAAAGATAGGCATGCGGGTTTGTCTTATGCCAAAAGAGTATTCAATCAACAAAACATACCCTTCCTTTGGCTGGGTTAAAAGGCAAACCAAGAGGAAAACAGTCACTGGGTTCCTCACGCTCTGCCCCGGGTGTTGCAAGGACTTGGAATAGATCTGCAACTTCCCTTGCGCAAGGCATGCGACGGCACCAAGCGAGGCTTGCCAAAGCCACACTTGCTCAGCTTCCCACGGGCCAATCTCCAGTTCTGGTCGAGGCCTCTGCCGAGCCAATAGGGCTCGAGAAATCTCGCGCCAGACGCTGACGCTGTGCGGCCAAGCCGCGTACTTCGCGAAGAGAACCTCCTTGCCGTGGCTGTGAACGAGAAACCGCGCCAGAACCTCACCCTCCAGCGCCCAGGTTCTCAACCTGCAGGGAAAGATCATGAGGGAATGGTCGGGTCTGACTTTTGAGTTTGGGGACAATCACTGCAGGCACCTGAAAACCAACATTTAGGGCACAGGCTGAAATGACATCAAAACAACCGAGCCCCGCTGGCGACCTTGAAGACAGTGAGAGCCAAGTCTCGACAGTAAGCCCAAGCGGCCGATCGCAGAATCCAAAACATGAAGTGTCAGCACAAAATGAGCCGAAAAGAGGAAACGCAACGCATGTAGCTACACGCAAACAAACAAGCTCAAAGTAACCCGAGTGAATCAAGCCAAGGTTGCAAGAGGGCCACGAGGTTTTCAAAAACACAAACATCATCAACCTGGGCTCAGAGCCCAAGGCAAACGTCATGACACTTGTGGGAAGCACAGCCCTCCACCCTGTGGCTCCAGGCGCGCGGAGCCTCCTGTTGCCGGAGATCACCCAGGTCCCTTGCTCGTCCTCCACGCCTGACAGCTGCAAGCACAGCCTCTGCTCTCATGCGCAAGAAACCTCGCGCCTAACGGCGTGCTTTCCAGCGAGTCCAGGCCGTTGCGCGGGTCCGCCGCGCTTGCGACGGGTCGTCCATGCTCTCCATGCCTGCCATCTTTGCTCCCCCAATCACACCGCCCAAGGCGCGCAGAGATCCGCTCGTGCGCCCAGAGCAGAGTCCGCGCATCCCGAAGCTCGAGGTGCACCCAGCTTTCCAAGACTTGGTCAACGTCTGAGTGAGATGTGCCCAGGCCCCGCTCCTGCGCAACGCGCTTTGGCGCAAGCGAACGTTGCCGATATGGGTACGAATAATGTGGGACCCTTCCGGGGGCATGATTTGGGTGTTCATGTACAGAACTGGTTGCTCCGTCCTTCACGTCCTGCTGCGCTCGCCGCAAGATGAAAGTTTGCTGCGGCTTATAAACGTAGCTCTTGCCCAAGGACCTGCGCGCGCAACTCGCTAAGCTGGAAACAGGCTCTCATTTTTTGAGGCAAAGAACTGTTTCCCGCGCTGTGAGCACATCCCATCAAATGAACCGACATTCCCCCTCGCAAAACACTTGAAGGAAGCAAGCCCGCAAGCCTTCCAGTGTCAAGCTCGTCGTCCGAGCTGCCCTCCTCCTTGATTGATTTTCTGAGCCTGTCGCCGCAACAGTAGGCAACAGGGATGCGAACGGGTCGCGATCGCCAGGCTCTGGCTGTCTCTTTTTCGCGGCCCATCTGGCGGGTTTTTCAAAAACACCCCCTTGTCCGCTTGATAGTTGAAAGAGGGGGGGCATTGGTCTTCTGAGGTTATCCTTTGATTTCGGGGAGGGGAAAGTGAATAGCTTGAAGGTACCTCATTTTAAAACACAACATGTCCCCAGCGCGCAAATGCTCTGGGCCACAGGGTTCGCGTGAAACGAGAAGCCCAGCAAATCCCCGCAATGTTGGCCCGCGTAGATTAGGTCGGCAGTATCGCCATGGTTCTAATCACTTGCCCAACGCGAATCCACCAGGCCTTCTTTTGCTTCAGTCAGCTTCAAATTGTTTGGGACTAAAAGGAATGGTCTTTTATTTGCAGTTGAGACATCTAGCAGGACAAGATGCGCGCCATTGTGCGCTGAGCTCGACCCCCTTCTATCAGCGTGGCCCTCGCCTCCTCCTCGCCGCCTGAACCATCTTCCATAGGAAGCTCCATCGGCGGCTGTAGCTACTGAAGGCAACGCCTCCAAACCGCACCATCCTGCGCACGGATCGGATTCTGGACGTTGCCCCTTGAGCGAGCCTTGGAAAAAGGCTGTTGGGGGCACGAACGGCAGTCGTCGCTGTCCTCTTCAGCGGGCAGTCTGAAGCTGCTTCGCTCCTGCGCAAAGCGACAGAAAAGGACACGACGTTCAGGCCATCTCATCGATGGTGGCTTCTGCGAGGGGATGTGTCCAGCACATGTGTTGCGCTTCCAGCGTGATTTCAGCTTGTCTTGAAGCATGCGCCAACCGAGCAAATATCCAGCAACCATAGCATCGCCTGCGTGTTCCCAGCGCAAATGCGAGCAAAATTCGCCTCGGCCCCAAAGGGGCCAAGGGCGCTCAGATCTCTTCTCCAAAGAGAATCTTCGCTTTTCCCCTCCCCCAACCCCCTCCCCAACAAAAATTTTGCCGGGCCGCCCCCCCCCCCCCCCCCCCCCCGGCGTGGACCCAAAATCCTGTCCGGCGGGCCTTGAAATTTTCGGGGTTCGTCGGCGTCCAGCTCCATGGGTCCATTTTTGTCGAAAATGTGCTGACAATTGCGAAAATCACTAAAAAATTGCTTTTTTGTCCTGAAAAGCATGACCTCCTGGTGGCCAGGCCTGCCTGACGTGTCTGAGACTAGGCTCAGGCCCAGCCCAACCAGCAGCCCGCCTGCTGGCCAGGCCTGTCAGCCCCACCCAGCCTCAGGCCCAAGCTTGTCTGAAACAGGCCTACCCCAAGTCATCCAGCAAGCCCAGCCCAGCGCCCAGCCCAGGCCCTAGGCCGGCCCCAAGGTCAGGTTTGTCTAACGCCAACGACCCAGTCTCACGTGTCTGAAACTGGTCTCAAGCTATGCCAGCCACCAAGCCCGTCTGACGTGCCCCAGCCCCCTCAGTCCGGCTGCCCAAGCAACTCAGCCCCTCCTGCTTGCGTCCCCCCAAGCCATCCAGCAGGCCCAGCCCCGTCTCAAAGTACGCCAGCCTGAGACTGGCCTCAGGCCCAGCCCAGCCAACTCGCCACCCAGCCTCGGGCCCAAGTGTGTATGAAACAGGCCTTGCCCATCCAGCAACCCGCCCAAGCACAGCTCAGCCCAGCCCGCCCAGCCCAAGTTCCAGGCACAACCAGCGTCCGGCTGCCCGGCAGCCAGCAACCCACCCATGGCTTCGCAGCCTCGTGGCTGAGACTAGCTTCAGGCCCAGCCCAAAGCCTGCCCAGCCCAGGCCCCAGCGCATCTCAGGGCATGCCAGCCACTACCGGCCCCCAGCTCCCAGCCCACCAGCAGGCTCAGCCCAGTGTGCCAAGGTCAGGTTTGTCTAACATGTCTGAGACTGGCCTCTGAGACTGGTCTCAAGCTATGCCAGCTACTCAGCAGCCCAGGCTGACCAGGCCCCTTCGGCGCAGTCTGAGACTGGTCTCAAGGTATGCCAGCCTGAGACTAGCCTCAGGCCCAGTCCCTCAGCCCGCCTGCTGGCGTGTCTTACGTGTCTAGCCAGCAACTCGCTACCCAGCCTCAGCCCATCCAGCAACCCGCCCAAGCACAGCTCAGCCCAGCCAGCCGAAGTTCCAGGCGCAACCAACACCATAATCCAGCTGCCCAGCACCACCCATGGCTTCGCAGCCTCGTGGCTGAGACTAGCTTCAGGCCCAGCCCAACCAGCAACCCGCCTAAGCCAACCCCACCCAAGCCCACCCGGTTTGAGACTCGCAGGCCTCAGCCTATCTAGCGCCGAGACTGGGCCTCACCAGCCTGGGCTCAACTAGCGTCTAGCCCAGCCCAGTCCGCCTGCTGGCCAGGCCTGTCTGACGTGTCTGAAACTGGCCTCAGGCCCAGCCCAGCCATAGCCCAGCCCCCTCAGTGCGGCTGCCCAGCCCGCCGTAAACTAGCTTCAGCTCAACCAACAACCCACGCAAGCAAGGTCCAGCCAAGCTGCCCGAGACTAGCTTCAGGCCCAGCGCAGGCTTATCTGATGTGTCTGAGACTAGCCTGTGGCCCAGCCCAACCAGGCGAGGCCGGCTTGTCTGACTTGTCTGGAGCCAGCTTCAGGTATTCGGACCTTCCCAACACTGGATTTCGGTGTTCCTGACCCTTCCCTCAAACTAGGCTGGGCCGAGGCGGGCAACGCGAAGCGTTTACAATAAACATAAGCTACAATGACCCTCTCTTGCGAAAGTGGCAAGGCATATGTCAGGGGTGCGCATTATCAAACAGCTAGCCCGTAACACAGTTCACACCGCGATCCCCAACAACTTCCGTCTTGTGAGTGGGCACGCCTGCCTGAATTTGGTCTTTTCAACGGGCTTGCAGCTGAGGGCTGACGGACAGATAGAGGTTCTTTCGCATCCTTTGTTCTGTGGGTTTGCAACCAGTCAAACAGCCAGGCAGGCAGTCTGGTTTCTGGTATATGTTTGGGTGTTTTGCTCGGCGCTTTTCAAGCTTCAATCGCGCGCGCTTGCGTCTTCTTCTTTACCAGTAGAGCCCTGAAGGGAAGGCGTTTCTCTGCTGTCGTTGCAGGCGATTGGTCTGCTCTTCAATCGCTTTGCCATGTCTTTCATCTGCTACGCTTTTGTTGCGCTGTCTTTGCTTGGCTATGTCATTGGTCTGCTGCGTCCTTGCTTTGCATGTCGCCCCCAGCTCGCAAGTGTCTCGTCTAAACTTCCTCTGATCGTTCTATACCTATATCTAGATTGTTCCAAGTGAAAACCGGCCAGCGGGCAAACGCAACCCCCGCCTCGAGTCCTCGCTATCCAGCTCTTCCTGCACGCGCCGCGCTGCCATGCAGCAGAATCACAGCCAAACTTTTCGCAACTCTTGACCTTGGACAAATGAACCCAAAAGGCCTGATGTTCATACCCCTCTCCCCAAAAAGGGGTATATAACCCTTATAAAAATGGGTTGGAAACCACGGAAGCACTAAACATCACCGTTGATCGGCGGCTCGGGGTCCTTCTCCGGCGCCGCGCGCGTGGAAAGCGGTCGGCTTGGCCGTGGAACTGGGCCCTGGCGCGCAGCCGTAACGCGGCGGACTTGGAACCGAGAATGTTTCGGCGGAGAGCCTCAAAAGACTTCCAAAAAGAATGAAGCCGAGAAGCCCGCCAAAGACTTCCATGATTCAAGGGGCGGTGATTGGACGCAGTTGGTTCACTGCGGCAGTTTGGCGTTTGAGGGAACACACATGCCCAGCGCCATGGAGAACAAACAACTGCCTCCGCAGGCAAAAAGAAGGGCACGCAATGCAGCCCACATACAATGTCAAGCTTGCAGGGTTGTCAATTTTTGGCTCGGATCGGTGCTTGAAGTAGTCCAGCTTGGCCTTCGGAGCCATCGCCAGCGCTGTCTGGTGCACTGGGCAGTCCTCGCAGCGCAAGGAAAGTGGTGCAGGGTTTCGTCCATCCGCAGCATTGAGGCTATTGAGGAGATGGGTCCTGCCGCTCCGCTGCTTGATCCTCGCCCCTCGAGTTCGCCTGCTCCCACGCCTGACCCAGGGGGGAACAATTCAGCAACACAAGCCACAGTTGCGAAAACGCAGCCCGCCTTCATGGCCTCCCCCACACGCTCCTGAAGTTGCATAGGTGAGCTTGGTTTGCCACTGTTGCGGTTCTTGTTGGTGGTGGTGGTTGTTGCTGTTATTATTGTTGTTGCTGTTGGCTCCCACGTGCTGTTCACGCGCGTTTCAGCGACATTTGCAAGGTCCTTTTCGTATGGCCTGCGTGGGAGATTCAGCAACGACCTATCAAAAAAACATTTTGACAGTGCAGGCGCGTCGTTTCGCGAAACCGTGCGATCGCCCGTTTTCGTGAAGCTCGCAAGGTCATTTTCGTGTGGCCTGCGTGGGGGATTCAGCAACGGCCGATCAACAAAATGCATTTTGACTGCGCAGGCGCGTCGTTTCGCGAAACCATGCCTGCCAAATGGTAAGAACACCCGCTCACGCGCACCCGCTCAGCATTGCACACATGCCTGCCCAATGGAAAGAACGCCCTCACGTGCGCCCGCTCAGCACTGCACGCATGCCTGCCAAGTTGTAAGAATACCCACCCATTCAGCACTGCACACATGCCTGCCCGTGCACCCACACAGCACTCCACACATGCCTTTAAGAACACCCTCACGTTCACCCGCTCAGCACTACGCGCACGCCTGCCAAATGGTAGGAACACCCGCTCACGCGCACCCGCTCAGCACTGCACACATGCCTCCCACATGGTAAGAACACCCGGTCGGTTGTTTGGTTGGTGGGTTGGTGGTTTGTTTGTTTGTTTGTTTTCTTGCCCGTCTATCCATTTGTCTGTTGGCCTGAGTGTGTTTGTGCGTGTGTTTTTGCTTCTTCTTTTGATTGTTCCCCCAGATAGCTGAAAGCTTTAGGGGTTCTAACTTCTAATAAGGAAGAGAAAGTGATTTGCGAGATTGAGGGCCGGGTGCTAGGGGGTGTGCAGTTTGGGGTGCTGGTGGAGGTGCTGTGTTGCAAGATTGACAGCCGAGTGCTGGGGGGCATGTAGTTTCGGGTGCTGGTGGAGGCATGTGGTCCTGGTGGAGGTCCTGTTTTGCGAGATTGACGGCCGGGCGCTAGGCGGCATGCAGTTTGGTTTGCCGCCTGTTCTGTTTAAGGCGCTGGACAGCGGGCGCTAGAGGGCATTCAGTTTGTGGTGCTGCTCTGGGGCGCTGTTTGATTGAGGTGCTGGTGCGTGTGCTGATGCAGGTGCTGTTTTGGGGCACTGTTTGGGGTGCTGTTTGCGGCGCTGGTGACGTTGCGCAAAGTGCAAGCGCTGACCAATTTCCCAGACAACTGAAAGCCATAAAGGTTCTAACTTCTGATGAAGAAGGGGAATTGTTTTGCAAGATCGACGGCTGGGAGCTAGGGGGCATGCACTTTGGGGTACTGGTGCAGGTGCGGTTTTGGGGTGCTGTTCGGGCTGGTGACAGTACGTGATGGCAGGGTGCTAGGGGACATGTCCGGCGCTGGCGCTGGTGCTGCGTTGGGGCGCTGTTGGGGCTGCTGTCTTGAGGTGTTGGTGACGGTGCGGGCGCATATGGACAGCAGGGTATCGTGGTTGTGGCATCATCATTATCTTGTCCGCAGCACCATGATGCTGTTGAACCGATTCGGACGTTGTTGCAGCTCTACATGTCGTGAGTAACGGTTCGTGGTTCGTGGCTGGTGCATCATCATGATGTTGTCAACCACGTCATGGCGCTGCTGTCACTGCGATGCTGCATTTTGCTTCGTGGGTGTGGTGGCGCCATGATGCTGTCAACATTAGGATGATGCTGAACCTCATTATGCTGTCGCAAGATGATTCGCGGCTGTGGTATCATCATGATGCTGGCTTTACCATCACCATGATGCTGTTCGCATCATCATCATCATCATCATCATCATCATCATCATCATCATCATCAGGCTGTCGCACTTATGAGGACGTCGTCTCTGCCTTTTGTCTGCTAGATATGTCGCGCGGAATCGTTCGTGGCTGGTGCATCAGCGTGATGCTGTCAACATCACCATTATGCTGCTGAACTCATTAAGACGTTGTCTGCGCATCTATTTCGCGCACCATGCTGAGTGGTTGTGGTATCATCATGATGCTGTCAGCATCATCATGATGTCGTGGAACCATTATGATGCTGCGTCATGGGTCGTAGCCGTGGTGTGCTATCTGGGGTCTGTGCTTGTGTAGTTTGTTTGTTCGCCTGCTCCGCAGCGGCCGCCCTGACTCCCTTTTTTGGTCTTTGCGAGCATGCCAGAAACATTGGCCCTGCCAACGAGTCGGTCAAGGACAGCTGCGTCGAGAGGCTCTTCGTCTGCACCAGAGCCTCGTCGTTGATCATGATGAGCTCGCACTGGTGCGTCCCACCGTCCCGCTCCAGGAAGACCCTGGCGCTCTGGTTGCCCAGCAGCCGCAGCTCCGGGCCGCTGTCGGAGGCGAAGAGCTGCGGCGCGGAGACCGTGCCCGAGCTCGTCACGTCGCCGCAGACCACGCTGCCCGTCGACACTCCGCCGCTCGTGGCCGTGAAGGTGCAGTCCAGGCTCTCGCAGTCCAGCGGGCCCGCGGAGGCCGCCCCGGTGATGGTCAGCGTGGCGCCCGTGAGCGCCCCGGTGGCTGCGAAGCTCGCCGCGGTTGCTGCGCCTGATGCCGTCAGCGTGCCCGTGGACACGTCGCCCACCGTGGTGAAGTTCCCGGCGTTGGCCGTGTTGTTGATGGTGAGTGTGCTGCCCGTGATTCCTGTGGCTGAGCTCAGCAGGCCCACGCTGGCCGCCCCCGTGATGCTCAGCGAGCTGCCTGACACGGCGCCTGTGGACGACAGCGTGGCTCCGGCGACGGTGCCTGTGGCTGTGAGCGCTGCGCAGGAAATGGCGCCCGAGGCGTCCACGCCCGTCGTGAACACGTCAGTGCAGTTCACGTCGTTGCACAGCAGCTGGTCGCAGCCCACGTTGCCCTGCGCGGTGAGTCCGTCCAGCGTGGCCGAGCCCGTGAGGGCCAGCGAGTCCGCCAGCAGGTCCGTCACGGAGACCGACTCTCCCTCGAAGGCCGAGGCCCTGATCTGCATGCTGTACAGGTCCAGCGTGCCCGCCGACTGCTGCACCAGCCCGGGGATCGAGCCTCCGAAGGCTCCGACCCTCCAGCTGGAAGCCTCCCACCGTGAAGCTGGCCGAGGCCACGGAGCTCTGGCTGTTGGAGCGCACCAGAAAATTGCCTAGCGTGGTGAGCGTGGGCTCCAGCAGCACCTCTCCCAGGGTGGCCAGCGTGACGTCGTCGGCCCCTCCGTCGAGGAACTCGTGCTTCAGCAGCAGTGCCGAAGCCGCCGTGTCCTCCTCCACCTCCGCCGTGTTGCCGGTCTCCAGGGTTGCGTCCAGGATCTGGAGGCCGTAAACGTCCACCGTTCCAGCCGTCTGGTTGGGCAGGCCCGGCGCCTGGAAGTGCGCCCCAAAGTGCAGCTTCGCAACTCCGTTCGGAGGCACTGTGAAGTACATCTTGGCCGTGCTCCAGGCGCCCTGGTCGCCCACGAAGCTGCCGTACAGGGGGTCGTAGACGTTGTCTGCCTCGGACATGTACACCACGAAGTTGGAGGCCGTGCCGAGCCGGTACCGGCAGGCGAAGAGGAGCTCTCGGCCCGGGGTCAAGTTGTAGGTGCGCACGATGTTCCACGGGTTCACCGCCAGGGTCAGGGTGTAGCCGTCCACGCTCACTCCCGCGGTGTGCGTGGCCAGGACCACGCTGCAGCCGCTGCTGGGGCGAACCGTCCAGTTTGACAGCGAGACGTCCGTGGGGCCCAGGATCTGCTCTCCTATGGCGGCCACCACCTCGTCGGCCCCTCCGTCGTCCGGAAAGCGCACTGCTATTTGCTGCCTCCGTGACTCCGAGCTTGCCGGCAAGGAGGCCGTCTACTTGTGCGATGGTGTAGTAGCTGAGCAGCGCGGCTGCTCGAGGCCGTTGCCGTGTCCTGGTCTGCGGCTGAACGGTACGCCACCAGCGCCGAGGTGATTTGGTTGGTTGTGAACACGTCCTGGTCCGGGCCCGTCCGGTAGGCCAGCAGCGCGCCTGCGATGGCGGCCTGCGTCTGCGTGTCCTGCGCGCTTGCCGTGCGGTAATCTCCCAACAGCGCGTCTACCTGCACCGAGGTGTAGTAGGCCAGCAGTGCGCCTGTGATGGCGCTGGTCGTCTCCGCGTCCTGCGCTGCCCCTGTGCGGTAGTCTCCCAACAGCGCGTCTACCTGCGCCGAGGTGTAGTAGGCCAGCAAGGCTGCTGTTATAGCAGCGTCAGTGCCCGCCGTGGAGTAGCAGTCTGCCGTGATGCTCAGCGTGTCGTCGCCGTTGGCCAGCGCAGCAGAGAGAGGAGCCCCCAGATGCAGGTTGCGAACGACGTTGCTTCCGCGAACGAGCTCCCAAGTCGTGAAGCCCGCCCAGGCCGGCGCGTTAACAACTCCGCCGCTGCCGGAAAGCTGCAGGGCGGCGAGCTCCGCGAGGATTGCGTCGAGGGCGCTCTGGAGCGTGGTCTCGCTGGCCGAGAGCGCGGCGTTCGTGGCGTATGAGGCCAGCAGCGTCGCGTCGGCCTTGGCCCCCTGGAGCGCCGTGATGCTGGCGTCCCGGCTAGCAAGCTGCGCTGCGACGAAGGCCTCGGTGGCGAGACCCAGCAGGGCATTTGCTATCTTGGTGTCTACCTCCAGCGGCGTGTCCACATTTGCCGAACTGCTGGCCCTGCCAACACACGTGCACGTTCACTGCCCTGCGCAGTTCAAAACCACGTTCGAAGCCCCCGACAAGAGGTAGTCTTAAAATGGCGTTGTGGAGGCTCTTTGTGCGCAGAACCATTGGCCCTGCCAGTGAAAAAGCAATTTCATGACCACGATTTCTCGGCGCGCGTGAACAGAACGTCCGGCCGCTGTTGTTGTTGCTGCTGCTGTTGTTGTTGTTGTTGTTGTTGTTGTTGTTGTTGTTGTTGTTGTTGTTGTTGTTGCTGTTGCTGTTGCAGTTGCTGTTGTTGCTGTTGCTGTTGCTGTTGCTGCTGCTGCTGTTGTTGCTTTTGCTGCTGCTGCTGCTCCCGTTGTTGTTGTTGTTGTTGTTGTTGTTGTTGTTGTTGTTGTTGTTGTTGTTGTTGTTGTTGTTGTTGTTGTTGTTGTTGTGGTCGTCGTCGTCGTCGTCGTCGTTGGTGTTGCTGTTTGTCGTCGTCGTTCTTGCTGCTGCTGCTGCTGCTGCTGGTGCTGCTGCCGTGGTCAGCGTTGGCATCGCTGCTGCTGCTTCTCCTGCTTCTGCAGCGTTAGTTGCACGGGTTGTCGGCGGCTGTTTTGTGGGTCTCTACTCTGCTATGGGTGCTGCCACAGGCGAGCTCATTTTCGTCGCTGCTGTTGCGCGGCAACCCCGAGCCATCCTGTCACGACAAATGCATTTCGTCTCCGGCAGTCCTCTGGCCTCTTACCCTGACAATCAGCTTGCCCATCTGCGTGTTGCCCTGCACTGTTTGGAATGCTCAAAGAAACGTTCCGGCCTTTGGCACAGGCAAGGCCTGCGCACCGAAAGTTCCTTCCTCCTGAAGTGGCTGGCAATTGGACATGTGCGTCTGCGCTTGGAACTATTAATTTAAGCGCCAAACAACCGCCACAGCATTGTGGGCTGGGACTAGTAGCCCTGCATCACGCGCAGGCTTGCCTCAAACCTGTAGAGAACTTCAAACAAATGAAACAGCGGTCAGACCCCTCTGTATCTTCCAAACCACTCCTAACATCCCCTCTGACCCCATGTCGCGCGGTCAAAACCCTTGCTCCAGCTGCCTCCAGTCCGCTTCAGTCCGCTTGAGGCAAGCCAGGAACCGGTCGGCCCGGGAAGCGGTCGGACCGGAGTTCAATTCTCTCAGCAAATTCCCCTTAATCAAATCCCAGTCAGAATGCCTCTAAAGACCGGTCAAGTCGCTAGACCGGCAAAATGCTCCCCTCTCTTTCTTTTCTTTTCTTTTCTTTATTGTTGTACAACAATAAAGAAAAGAAAAGAAAGAAAAGAGCTTATTTATTTGTATTTATATGTATATGTATTTATTGTTTTGCGGGTTTAGTTTGTTTGGTCTATTCATTAAGTATTCAATCGATTCAACGTTGTATAACGCTATATCTTAATTCGTAAAGTTGGTCCAATTCCCGCCAAATCCCCAAAACAACCAATCAAATCCCCTCAAAAAACCGTAGAGCCTGGTCAAACTCCCCGCTGGAGACCTGTCAAATCCCCTCTAATTAAAACAGGTCAGATCCTACCAAAAACCATCAATTTTTCCCCCCAAACCAGCCATAGACATTTGCGCCTTCGCTTGGCCCAAGCCCACTTCCATCCTGTAGCTCTCTGCACTCTCGTTCTGGCCCTTGAAGCTATGTGGAAACGTGAGGACATGCACCCACCCTCTACCTTGGAAACCAGCTCACGCATGTTCCAATAAACCAAGCCAGCCAAAAGCCGACTGGCCGAGGCGGGCAACGGGAAGCGTTTACAATTATGTTGATGTTGAACAAATTTGTTGGTTCTGTGTTGCACCAGGATCTGCACGAAACCCAGCGAGTCCAATGAGCAACTCGAGCGCGCAAGCGAACATTTAAGCAACCAACCAACCAACTAACCAATCAACCACGCAACAATCAAACGAACGAAGGAACCAACCAACGAACCAATGCACAAACACGCACAAACACACAAGCACATCAAACACACCAAACACCAAAGCACGCCAAACACTCCAAACATTGTAAGATGTGTTGAGCATCCAAACTGCTGGCCCAACTGCATATGTTGAGCATCCGTCACATCTACTCCCGAACCTCCGGGTGCGGAAAGGCGCATGGACCCCACCTCGCCTTGGTTCCCAGCGCAAGACCTCCCTGAAGAGAGGCGGCCATGTTCCTGGCAACCACACGCCTTCTGTGCCAACACGTGGGGGTTTTGTTTTTGAGGGTACGCTTTGTTTGGGAGTTATCAAAAAACACCACAAAGGACAACCACCACGTAAAAAACCGTCGAGAAAAAAAAAGAAAAGAAAAACAAAAAAAACACCCGTATGAGCGAAATGCTCTGGCTCAACTCATCAGAGTTGCTGTTGCACCCCCAATGAGAATATCTGGAAAGCGGCAAGCTTGACGGTGGGATTTGCTCGCTGCATGCTGCCTTGATGATCCTCAGGACCTCCTGGTCCCTCTTGTCGTTCCAGTGGAGAGATATCCTCCCCACTATGCGCTGATCCGCCCTCGGATGTGCCAGGACGCTCAAGAACACCCCTGTTTCACCACAGGTAATGAACCTTGAGATCCTGGCTTTTCCATCTCATTCCTCGCCTGGCAGCTGAAGAATCATCCAACTTCAAAGGAGTAAATTTACGCGTGAACATGTCCCACATTGAAGAAACATACAGAGACTCACACACCACTGGGGCCGCTGTAAACTTCTCAAGCAAACGCTGGCAGCCAAGGCACGATCCGCCATCTGATTTCTTCGCGCTGCGTAAAAGTTGGGCTGAATTCTCTATGCGCAAAGTATATGCACACTGCATTACAAGCCATGAGTGTCGTGGGCTCTCAACACGAAACTGTTGGGGCTCGGCTCTTGACTAGATATGCTTGCACAATCCTCAGTGATCCAGGGCAGTCAGGCAGTTGCGCAAAATACTCATGGACATGCACCGCCATTGCCAAATGCAATGCAGAACTTGCAATCCAACAGGTGCGGCGTGTTCAATGCTGGCTTGTTTAATCTCTCTCACTGCCGAGCTGTCGTTAACTGGCCGCTCACACGTCACAGATCATCAGGAAGCTGACAGAACATTCGGCACGAACATCAGGCACAATTCGGTGCAGTCGCAACGTGACATATGGGTGTCTTAAAATAGGGGACCAACCGTGGTTGTCCGTTTGGTTTCCCTTTAAAACCAGCAAAAAGGGGCACCCTCAAAAACGCGACCCCCCTTGTTATTCTTGCATGAAACAAAATCCACAGTCGCGCCTTGAGAAGTTGGATAATTGGGGTGTCCTTGCTGTATCCGCGGCGGTCTCGATGAGGTCGACTGCGGCTCAGGCCAGGTTTCTGGACTTCAACTGCCGACTTTTGCAACCCTATGCAGCTCTAGCTACTCACCTTGGACGGCAATGCCGATGCAAACGTATATGTGAAAGTTAGCTGAGACCCCGCAAGCAATAGGATAGGCAAAGCAGAAAATTGGCCAAGCGACCGGAAGGGCAGGCAAGAGAGTGCTTGCAAGGCTGTGCAAGCAAGACTTCATCTGAGCCATCTACTCCTCGGACATCTGACCGGCGTTCAAGCTGTACGCAAGGACCTCATCATAGCTGCCATCAAAAACAACATCCATGCACCCACAATGTCATATACATGCCGATACTCACTGCTCTTCTCCAACGTCACATCTTAGAACCTTTGGCTGGCTTGACACACAGGCTCCAGGCATTCTTACTCGAATGCCACCTGCCATGTCAACATGCACGAGAACTTGTCATCTGACGCGAGCCCTGCTTGGCACACGCCACCTGGATGAAACATGAAATTCAAGCATCTTCAGCAAAGCACTTTCAACTTGGTGTGTCTTTTTCAGGGGACCACCCAAAATGGTGGATTTCCAGTAAAACAAAAACAAAGGGTACCAACTCCAAAAAATGACACACCCATCTGCTCTTGGCCTCAACTGAGTTACGGTTGCGGGTGTCAGGTCCTGGTAGTACCTCGGTGAGAAGCTTTCCTCAATCGAAAAACAGCCCTTCAGTTTCAGGTGCGGGCGGAATGGCGGTGTTGGCGCCCATCAGGGTCAGACTCCTCTCGCCTGACGTCGAGCCAATATAAGTTGCCACCTGGAGAAGGATCGCTATCATCCTAAGTAATCCTCATGCTGACCATTCCTATCAAAGCCATCAACATTACATTTCTACTTGGGTCTGTCTTTTGTGGGCTAGACCCGCAAAATGGGCGGGAGTTCCCTTTCGCTTCCCGCAAAAACCACCTCCACAAAAAGGACTGACAAACCCATTTTGACCATGGGACAGAGACATGTTCAGCTGTAGGCCTGCGCCAGTACCCCAGGCGATGAGGCTACCCGTGTAGTTGAAGTCAACATTGGTGATGACCTCAAACGGCACACCGTCTGTTGAGGGAACCAACGCCTAACATGGGCTTCCGTTTCCTGGTGAGCCCTTAAATCTACCCAACAAAACGATGACGCTCGAAGCAGACACCCCCAAGTCGCAAGTGACACTTTGTGAAAAGCATTGCTCTGAGGGTTGTGAAACTCCGCTCTTAGACTTAGTGCGCCACCTGCCCCGGATGCAGGAAGCATCTTAAGCACATGGGCTGATGTGGCTCCTCACCAGAGCGCAAAGGCAGTGATGGATGTATTCAAAAGCGGAGCTGAGGCTGCAACCCACACAGTGATGAGACCGTCAGCACCGCCACTGCAAATGTACTTGCCTGTGAGGAAAAATAGGCTGCACTGAAGGCATGAGTTATATCATCACTCTCTCAGATGATGTAGGGCATTGGCAAAGGAGTCAAAAGTCACTAGGCTGCTATAGCTCCCCCAACCATGACTGTGGGAGAGCAATCCTGAACACAGGTGGGTCATGCTTGGCCGCATCATACATGGCCGTATGAGACCGTGAGTGTCATCTTCCACTTGCAAATCACTCCCCGCACGGGTGGCTCAAAATGCAGATCCGGCCATGCCTGTGGGATCACATGCCAGGGAGATCGCTGTCTCAGTGCGGTGATCAGCAAAATGGGTTCAGTTCAAGTTTAAAGCAACCGAAAACAGCACTTGACTGAACATCCCATGTGTCATCCGCAAAGTCGCGCACAAAACACATGGTATTTCATTCGGCTTGGGTAAAGCCAAGCAGCCCAATTGTGCCCAGGCACCTTGGTGCGTATGATGTATGCTTTTGCCTTGTGAGCAAATACAACGGCCCAACTTGCGCTACCCTCCCTCCAATCACAGAAACTGGCAGAAGGGTCTTGGAAGACGAGTTTCCTGTTCAGGAAGCCCCCTGACCACTTCCATTGCTGGAGAGAGGGTCTCTTGATATGAAACTCTCCACTTCCGATGGTCATAGCCTTCCAAAGGTGGTTTCCGTTTGCCCTCGAAAAAAGACTGCCAAAAGAGTACCCTCAAAAAAAAAAAACTCCTTCTTGGGGTTTGGTTTTAAAAGGCAAAACCAAGAGGCGGACGCCGCCTCCCGCGTGGTTTTTTGAGGCAAGCGATGGGAGCAGTCGCTGGGCTCCTCACGCTCTGCTCCGGGTGTTGCAAGGACTTGGAGGAGAAGATCTGGAGCTTGCCTCGCGCCAGGCGAGGGCGCGAGGCACGGACGGGATCGCATGCGATCGATAACCAAGCTTCTCACTTGCTCGGTTTTTCCCTCTCATTCTCTCGTTGGTGGTCAATATTGATGGCTTGGAGGTGCTTCTTTCTTTCTTTCTTTCTTTCTTTCTTTCTTTCTTTCTTTACTTTTTTTAATTTTGTTCTTTCTTTCTTTCCTTTTTTTGGGGGGCGGTCCCATTTACCCAACAGGCAAGGAGTTCGAATCCAAATCCAGACCTGGGTGTCTTTTCTTGGAGCTGGTACTCCTATTTTTTGTGTCTTTGAAGGGAACACAAAGGGACAATCGTCATTTTGCGGGTCCGACCTCAGCAAAAAGACATACCGGGTTAGCTTCCGTGAGGAGTGCCTGGATTGCCGCCGGAGGCAACCCAAAGGCTTTCGCCGTTGGGGCTGTAGACCATTTGGTTCACCTGCCCATTCCGACTTCGTGGCGAGAACGTTCCCATGTCTTTGTCGCCACCTCTGAAAAACCTGGATTGGGTTCGGCTACCCTTCTTCCCAACATGCCACCTTTAAATCTGGGAGGGGTCATGACACCGCTGAAAAAAACCTGCTCATCAGCTTCCTCTTGAAAGGACCCCCTCAGGTGGCAATCGAGGGAGGCAAGCCAATGAGCACCTCCGTGGTCATGTTCTTCGAGGAACCTGGCGCTGGCTGGCGAGCGAGCGGAGGAACCTGTCCCTCTCAAATCGCCTGCATGAAGACAGCTTCTATTCAACGGACGTACAGACCTATTTGACTCTGGGTCAAAAAAGTGTACCCAAAACGGAACCCTGGTAAGTGGAAACATGGACTAAACCCTGCTGTCCCCTGGTGGTTTTATTTGACCCATACCCATTTGAGCTGTTCTGTGGGAGGCGACAGCTCAAGTGGAGCAAGCAACTTGGCTGCCTCTTACGAGGCCAATGTGCATAAGCATCTTGCAAAGCCTCTGCAAGGGCTCTGGAGGGCAAAACCTTGGTATTCGGGAGGTCCTAGCAGGGAAACCATAATAACAAATAATAATAACAATAATAATAATAATAAATAAATTATTACTACGACTACTACCACTACTAATAATAATAATAGTAATAGGAACAATAATTAATATTAATAATACTAGTAATAATAATCCATATATGTCTATATACATTGCTAAGATCAATTACAAAATCCCGGTTAATTCCAAAATAATGGACACCCAGAAAGGCAAAAGATACGATTCAGTGGCAGTTCATTCAGGGCAATAACGCCTGGTGAATTGCCAGCATTTAATCCGTTCTAAGTCAACAAAGGCGGTTGTTATTATTCATTTCGGCGGGTGAGAGGCGGGTGCGTATACAGCAGGTAAAATGGTGCATTGTTCCGTGACATGTTTATCCCTCTGCTGTTGCTACCCCCATGATATGTATACTATACATACACACTAAATCTGGGAAGCATGGAAGCTGAAAGGCGGATTCGCTTGGATCAAATCAGTGTGTGCCACAAGCAATTTGGCAAGAATGGACCATCTGGGCTTTGCTTTGCACAGCTTGCAGGCGCCGCCTAGTCGCAGGCAGTTCTCACCTTTCGCTGTCTTCAAGCTCAGCATGTAGATCTGGTCGTTGCCTGAGAATCTCGGGATACAACAATGTTCTCGTCTAGGATTCTTTTTGCAGGCTTCAGACCCCTTTGACAGGCTAGATGCCGAAATCAAATTTGGCAACTGACAAAACAGGTTTGCAAAATGGGCAACTTGGTCTTGTGTTGATATCATTTTTTGCGTGCAGCTCTGGCATGGTGTTGATTCCTCAAGGCCACGGCGATTGCTGAGGGCAATGTTCTTGGAATCTGGGGACCAGCACAAGTAGAGGAAGTCCTGCGCTACGTTTGCATTGGCACCCTGCCTGAAGAAGCGAAGCGGTTGACTCCATCTCCAGAGAAACTCTCAGTGTCTTGACGCAAAGAGACCAACTTTGCCCAAGGTCCCGCATTGCGTTGGACGTCTTCTTCAAGTCAACATCAAATACGGACTGACCTGAATCAGCTGCCAGGGTGCCGGTACACTTGTCAAAGTTGCTGCTCAGCAAGAGGAAATCACAGCTTTCTACATGCTGAGCAGCCAGCCTGCTTGCCTGGTGTCAAACAGCTTGAACCTGAGCAAGCTCAAGTGACACAAGCTGGAAGAGCTGTCACACGGTCTTGCTATGAGTTCCCATTCTCACAAACTCCGCTGACCTTGCTTGCCCGCGAATTCCGCTGATCTCAGGCGTGGTCTTGCCATTCCAAGCGACAGCCGCCGCAACAAAGGGGTTGTTTGGATCCGTTCGGATGCTCATCCACCTGAGACGCAGTCGTTGACTCTCAGTCCACCGCAGCTCTGGGAACATGGAGCCCACATGAGCCCTTTCGGGCTCATTCATAGCACCGTAGCACCCAAGCAAACCTGGGCATTCAACACCCCTAAGACACAGGAAATGAAATAAGAGGACACACTATTCATTCGTGTTTTTCCCCCAACAGCTGAAAGCTTTGGGGTCTCAGCCCAGATAGGCTTCGGGGTGGTCCGGGGCGGCCCGGAGGTAAGGTTCCACGAGGGTTCCACCAAGGTTCCACGAGGGTTCCACCAAGGTTCCACCGGGTTTCACCAGGGTTCCACGAGGTTCTGCGAGACCGCGTGCTGTTGGGGATATCACCTGAGCTTTTTTTTTTCCCCCCGGAGTTGGCACCTTTCTGGATGGACTTGTGCAAGGAAAACGGTTGCTGGATGGTTTTGGTTCTCCAGCGAAGAAACAAAACCGCTTCCCAAGGCCACCTGAGCTCACCAACAGCGAGCTGGGCTCAAAGTGAGCTCTCGGCTCGCCGGACCAGCTACGCTCCTCCTCGCCTGAAAGAAGCCGCTTTGGGAAGATGGGCCGCCAACCATTGGCTTTGTTGGTTTACTTGGCTGGCTCTCTCCGTTCGGCTTGCTGAGGGTTTGCTTGGGGTTTAAGGGTTGACAGGTTCCGGGTAGGTGTTGTTCCCGGGATGTTCGTCAGGCGCGCCGGAAAGAAGGGGAAACGAGCCCAATGACGCAGGTCCAGGTGAGGGCCCCAGTCCGCGTCTAACTCAGATATGGCCTTGTCTGAACTCCCAAAATGGGGTTTCCTCCGGCTTCCATCTTCACCAAACCAAACAACAGCTCGAAAAAGACACACTCACCATGTGATGTTCGCTGAGGGTGAGCTGCCTTCTCATGTTTTAGACTTCAACTGCCTGACATCCGGACTGTGGACAACATTTCCAAAGAGCAGAAAAAACAAAAACAAAAAAGAAGCTTTGCACAAGTGTTCCTCTGGAGAGCAAATTCTGTTCTGCCGCATTCTGTGTTAGTTTCCTTGGAACTATGCGAATGGCAGGCGGATGCAAATCCGTGGCTCCGGCCTCTCTCCACATCTTGCAGGCGGATGCCTGGACCTTAGCTGGCAAGCCATACATACTCAAAACCCCCTACAAGTCAAGACATGGAACTCAAGAAAGGGGGGCTCCCAAAAAAAGGAGGTTCCATTCTCTAAAACTGCTATATAAAAATAACAATAAATAAATAATGTTGGTTTTATGGGAGTTGTCTGAGTTCCATGTTCATCAGCGAAGTGCCAACTCAAACGCATTGACAAGATCTGGAGATGAGCGAGAGACTGTCCTTGGCGGCTACCAGCAGCTTGTCGCCTGCATGTTTTCCCAGAATTCTGCTCTGCGCCTATCCTTCGAACAAGTCCAAGAAAACCCGGGAAGGTTGAAGACGGCACTCGGTTCTGGATTCTTTTAGCGGCAAATCCGACCCTTGCGGATTTCTCCTTGTGGCCATACCAACTTTGCTTGGTCGACGTTGGAAGGGGAGCAAAAATAATAAGTTTAGCAGTTAAGTGGGGATTTCCCACTAAACCACAATGAGCAAAAATGTAAAATGTTTCCCAACAACAACCATGTTTGGGCCCTCGGAGCATCCAACTCGAGGCAGACGTCAGGCAGTCAGGCACCTGCCCAGTCCATGGCATAGAGGCTAGAGCGCTTGAAGCCACGGACATAGTCCTTCTTCACCTCATGCGAGAGATGCCAGAGGCGTATTTTTTTCCATGAGCCGGAAAAGGGAAAAGGTTGCACACAAAGCGGGCCAAACCGGGCAAAACACAACTTGAGTTGGCCCTGCTGATTGAGCATTCAGAATGCCCATGACACGCAATACATGGTCCAAGCACCCACAGCATGCCTTAGTTCCTTTTGAGTGAGAGAACAATCTACCCATTCAATGAGACTAGTGCAACGCTGGCAGCATCAGCTCGCATTGCTGGCACTGAGGGTTGAACTTCAGACTCTGCCTGCGCCATAAATGCAATGACTCGTAACGGTGTATATACAAATCTCATCTCTGCAGCGCTGCGCCCCTGCAACTCTTTTTCATTTAGATCTATGGACGCGTCCTTTCCTCTGCCTCACTCGCATCCGTCATCTCGCAGCCGTGGAACAGTGCGACACAAGGCCCCGCGTCCATACCGTTAGAACCAAAGTGAGGACTGCCTCAGGGATATGCAGGGCCAACCACCTGCAAACTAGGCGCTAGGCTGCCCTGAATGTGTACGGTGTGTCAAAATAGGGGACGCAACAATGCGGCGGTCCGTGTCGTTTCGTTTAAATCTGCCCCAAAACGGATACCCTCAGAAACAAAAAGACACACACACACACGTACAAACGTCTTGTCCACGTAACTCGTCTTCTCTATTGCCGTGTTTTCCCTTCGCATTCCTTTCCTCATGTCTCAGCTTGCCAAAGATGCCTCCCCAAAAGAGCATGATGTCACCAGCTCGGCACATAGCAATGCTCGTACTGGGGCTGGCAAGCCAGGCAGCATGCTCCTGCAATGAAATTATGAGGACCTTGCAGAAATATAGATGCTTGATGAACTCATTTGACACTCGTGACCCAGCGAAACATGTTCAAATGGTTGTTCACATTTTTCTGCTGAGTATTCGTCTGACCCTACATTTGCGCAAAACGTTCAAGCGCTTTAAAGCATTCTACATTTTGGAACCTGAGCTGGCAAAGCTCCAAATGTTCAGAACTCTGGTGTTGATTTGTTCAGACCCTAGGCCCACCAGAGTTCAAGCAGCTTTAAATCCCTTTTGCATTCAAGATTCTTAGGACTCCATTTTGAAAGCAAGGATCCATTGGGACGCCCTACAGCCACCAAAGAAATTGCAAACAGAGTATAGAGCTGTATGAAATTCCCCGGCGAACGAATGGGCAAAACATTGGTGGCACGCGGGGTGCCAAATAGAACGGGCATGGATCCGGAAATGAATCTTGGCAGCCACACACTCCTCCAAAATTCCATTGCTACAATGAACACCCGTGGGCAAGCGGTCTCTACGCTTGGAGTTAAGCAGTAAGAAAGTTGCTGCTCGCGACTGTTTCTGTTCACTTTGTTACACAAAACAAAAACCAAAACAACTACAATTGATCAGCCGCGGCATGCAAGTCACTCGCCGAGCAAACATGCCGTCAAATTGCCCTTTGTCATCCCAAAGAAGTGTGGCAGTAACAGCAAAAGCAGCAGCAATAGCGATAGTTGCAGTAGAAGTAGCGGCAGCAGCAACAGCAGTAGTCGTGGTAGCAGTAGCAGCAGCAGTAGTGGAAGCAAGAACTTCGTCGCTGCCAGTCCAGTACCAGTGGCCGCGGCGATATAAGCGGTACGTAGTAGAAATAGTAAAGTAAACACAGTTGTAGCATTGGTAGTTGAGCACTGTAATAGACGCAATAGATCCCTTGAAATTTAGGGGGTGGGATTGGCACACCCATTCTATAGAATAAAGCCGGCAATTTGCGAAAAAACGCCTACACAATAATGGCGGTTGCCAAAACAATCTACAAAAAGGGTCCCTGAAATGTGCGAGGTGCTTTTGGATGTTTCAAAGCGGTCACTACAAAATGGAGGGGCTTCAAGTAGGGATCTACGTCACGGTGGCCACCTCTAAATCCAAGTGTCATTTTGTAGAGGGCCAGTCGGCTCTCAATCCATACAAACGCAAACAAATCCATAAGCAGCAAACCCATGTTGATCCATTTTTCCATCATCTCTCCAAAATCTTCTAGAAACTCCTGGAGGCCGAGTCTGCCAACTGAAACTGACACGTGCGCCCCAGCACACACATTCGAAAACTCGTCATTTTGTAGCGTGTGTGACGGGCTCTTATCATTTTGTAGTCCAACAGTGGCCTGTTGACTCCACATAACCTCAATGTGCTTGAAACCTTCATTTGCTCAAGCCCTCTGGGAAAAAGTCCAGTAGTCATAGATTCAGCAAAACCAACAGGGGCAAATAAAACATATTCTTAAAAGCATGGAAGAATAAAGCAGGGATGTTGCTGGGTGGCGCCACAGGAGCCAAACAGCTTCAGCCAAACCCAAGCACTACAAATGACAAAGTCACCAAACCAGTTTTCTACAAAATGACCTACCCAAGCACAACCCCTCAACATGGGCCGCCAAGAAAACAAGACACATGCAGCCTCTACAACATGAACGAATTGTGTGGCAACTCATTTGTGGAAACACAATACAAAATGGGACTTCTAGAGAATGTGTGCACCCGACGTGAGGTGTGACCCCCCTTTCACTATTAAAACAACACACACACACACACACTTTTGTAGGGAGGTCAACCCCTCCCATTCTGTAGGAGAAATTTCAAGGGGGATTGTAATAGTAGTAGTCGTTGTAGTTCAAGTAATACCAGTGGTAGTAGCAGGTTTTGAGTTTTGACCGAGTCTCCTTATGAGTTCAACAAATGCTCATGTCTTTTAAGTCCCCATCGGCTCCGTTGCTCAAGATTTTCCACAAAATCAAGGGGACACCCAATGCTAGCTACATCAACAATCATTGCGAGACTGCCAGCACCAAAACTTGGACGCAAATGAACAAGGTACGGATCCTTAATGTGGACAACGCGCGCCTCAAAGCGCATGGGTCGCACGTATGGGTTGAGACATGGATCGCTGGATCGCGTGCCATTTGGCCCACACCTTGTTATTTCGAGCTGCAGCAATGTCTGCGCCCGATCCAACCCCGCTGAACAGGTAGAGTAGCAATTCTTTCACATGCTGATTCCCGCGCAAAGCGCATGCACACAGCAAAACATACCTGTCCTGGTCCAACTCTCGGTCAACAGGAAGGGCGACCTGACAAACATTGCCTTCTGGCAATGTGACTCAGACTGATTGCAAACAGGTCCAACATGTCGGCGCGAGCTTCACTTTCATGTATCTGTACGCCTTTCGCGAGTCAAAGCTTGCAGCAATAATCCCAGCACCCGCAGCCTCTGCCGGAGCCTCCAGTCCTGACCAACGCATTAGGTGTTCTTTTCTCAAAATGCAATGCAAAGTCCTTCGCCAGTGACCCATGGTTTCGGATCTGTGACGCTGTCCACCCCGAAGATCTCGGCAAACATGCGGCGGCGGGGTGGGTGCACAACTCATCAATGACAAAGGAGAAGCAAGTGCACTGCAAAAAGGCTGCAAAACACCCGCAGGCAACCACACATGCGCCTACACACAGTTACAGTCACAATCCCAACAGTAAAGGCACACACCAATTAATTATTGAGCAGTGTTTGTTTAGGTGTTCAGACTTTTACGCTGCTGGGGAAACTACCCCAGGTCTTTGTGGGGAAGGGTTGCCTTTGCGAGGCTTCCCGACAAAACGGTTGCTTCGCAAAGTGGCTTCGCCTTTGTCAAACCGCAGGGCCTTCGCAACAGGCTTCGCGAGCCCTCGCGGCACGCAATGTAGCAAGTGCCTTCGCGCACTTTTTGGCATTTAACCAAGAGACGCTTGCGCGAGGCGCGTACGCGAAGGGTGAAACAACAGCTTCAACTAGGATTGCCTCCGCAAGCTGTACGGAGTTGCCTTTTCGTAAAAGGCTAAGCCTAAACCTACACACACCACACACACACACACACGCAAACACACCACGCAAACAAGTTCGCACGCACCCACGCACCCACGCACCCACGCGCCCACGCGCCCACGCGCTCACACGCCCACGCGCTCACGCGCCCGCCCGCCCGCCCACCCACCCACCCACTCACCCACCCACCCACCCACCCGCCGGCCCGCCCGCCCACACCGACACACCGACGCAGGCACGCAGGCACGCAGGCACGCAGGCACGCAGGCACGCAGGCACGCAGGCACGCAAGCACGCAGGCACGCAGGCACGCAGGCACGCAGGCACGCAGGCATGCAGGCACGCACACGCGTGTGCACACACACACACAGGCTTGAGAGAGGTGTATTCTGCTGCAAAGGTATTCCAGCACCCTTTTCGGAGTGGGTTTAAAGGGAAACCAAAAGAGCAACCACCATTCTTGGGGTCACCCGAATTTGGCACATACCCAGTAAGAATTGAGCATGTCTAACTTCAAAGGACTCGTGCTGGTTTGCAACACAGCGTACGCATGCCATCCACGCAAGCCCGGCCTTAACGCCATGTACGACGTGGCACATTTGCACCATTGGCACGGAGTCCTCAACATGACCATGGTGGGTTTGGATTGGTGGGGAGGACTTGTGGGTCTGGATTGGTGGGTGTGGATTGGGGCTTTGACTTCAAGCAAGGCCTCCGCAGGACGTTTTGCATGACATCCTCCAGAAGTGTGTCTGTTTTGGAGCGGGTACCCTTTGGAGGTTGGTTCCAAGGAACAAAAAAACAGAAACCAAGCAGAGGTTTTCCAATTCCTAAATTTTCCTGGAGCCCCAAGTCTAGCTTGCATCCGTGCACTGCACCGGTCCACGTGCACGTGCGACGCGGAGCCGCCGTCGCCCGCAAAGACCTCTGGACCGCTCGCTCGAGACACCGAGCGCTCGAGACACCGAGAGACTCGGAGCCTGGGGAAGCGGATCGTTCATGGTCACCTGGTTCTCCAGCAGCCTCAAGTCTGAAAGCCAAGAGATAACGCAAAAATCACCCTGGGCCGCGGGAAAGCGGAAAAGGGAAAAAAAGAATGGCTTGCTACAAATCCATAGAAGGGAAGAGGAAAAAAACATGGCGTGCTACAAATCCATCAGTAGACACTGGCGGGGAAAAAAATAGAAGCTTTGCTACAATCAATCCCGAGTAGAATCAGCGGCAATGGATCTCTAACACCTTTGGTGGGCCACTTCTGGGCGATTTGCAACGGGAAGAGAATGAGCGACGGTCACCCACTGGCGAGCCAAAAGACCGAGCTATCCACAGCTGCGAGCCCAAATCAACCAGTCCGCTGCCCAAGTCGGACACGGGTTTGCCCCCAAAATCGTCGGAACCCAAAATGGGCTAGGGGGTCCTCTTGGCGAAGCCCTTCAACCAAAAAGGGGTTAAAACCAATCCCAAAGCTGGAACCACGCCCTGAGTCACAATCAAAACCTGGAATTTAAAAAATGGCCCAACCGGAACCAACCATGCCTCAAGAACTAAAAAGGCGGAGGCACCTATGGGTTGGGACTATCCCTACCTTCCACCCGGCTTTGACTCAGATGCCCAGTGGATTCCCATGGGAAAAAAAAACACGAAAGATCGGCACCCTTCTTGGGTTGGTTGAGGTTGCAGGGTGCCCTGGGCAACAAACTCAAACCCAAAAACCCAAAAACTTTGGGTAAGTGGATTCCCCAAGGGAAAAACCAAAAACTTGGTTGGTTGGCGACCCTTACCCAAAAAAAAGAGAAAAAAAAGGGGCGCCACTGGGCCACAAAGCCTTGACCTTTGCCCAAGAGCTTCGCCACCTGCGCCAAGAGATCCTCAACGGCCTCCTCCGCCTCCTCATCCGCCAGCTTCGCCAAGAGCGACGTGGAGGCCTCAAAAAACGCAGCTCGGGGAACAAAAGGTGGGGCTTCGCCAGGTGGGGGGTTTAAAAAACAAGAGCCTGAAAAACAGATGGTTCTGAGCTGCTTCTCACATCCTGAGTTTGAGGCCGAAAAGCTGATTATGAAGGGCAAGCTGATCAAGTTGAAAGTGCGAAACAAGGTCCATGATGGTGAAGACATGAGAAAGGCTGTCAAAGAAAGGCCCACACCAACCATGCCCCAGGCGGATTCCTTTTCAAGGAGCAGGGGCAGTGGCTCGCCATACCCCCATGGCCTCCGCGCCTCACGGATGTACAGTGGCTCCTCCAGAACTGGCCTTGCAAGGCAGGAGAAAGTGGTTGTCGACTCCTTAGAAGCTGTACATGCATTCTTCGCCCAAGCCTACGATGTTCAAACAGAAAGGGACATACCTCCTCAGTCCTCAACATCCTCATGCAGGCGGAACCAAGCCGGATGTCAATCTTCAGACGTGCTTCAAGGGCCTAAGGGTCCCTAGCTTGGGTATGTGTTGTGTTTGTTTGTTTGTTTGCTTGCTTGCGTGCTTGTTTGCTTGCTTGCGTGCTTGTTTGTTTGTTTGTTTGTTTGTTTGCTTGCTTGCTTGTTTGTTTGTTTGTTTGTTTGTTTGTTTGGTTGTTTGTTTGTTTGTTTGTTTGTTTGTTTGTGTGTGTTGTGTGTGTGTGTGTTGTGTGTGTGGGTTTGCGTGTGTGTGTGTGTGTATGTTGTGTGTGTGTGTGTTTGCGCGCGTGTGTGTGTGTGTGTGTGTTGGTGTGTGTGTGTGGTGTGTGTGTGTGTGTGTGTGTGTGTGTGTGTGTGTGTGTGTGTGTGTGTTTGTGTGTGTGTGTGTGTGCGTGTCTGTGTGTGTGCTTTTGTGTGTGTGTGTGTGTGTGTGTGTGTGTCTGTGTGTGTGTGTGTCTGTGTGTGCGTGTTTGTGTGTGTGTGGTTGTCTGCGTTTGTGTGTGCGCGCTTGTGTGTTGTATGTTTGTGTGTGTGCGCTTGTGTGTGTTGTATGTTTGTGTGTGGTTGTTTGTGTGATTGTTTGTGTTTGTTTGTGTGTGTGTGTGTGTGTGTGTTTGTGTGTGTGTGTGTGTGTTTGTGTGTGTGTGGGGTGTGTGTGTGTGTGTGTGTGTCTGTGTGTGTGTGTGTTTGTGTGTGTGTGTGTGTGCTTGTGTGTGTTTTGCTTTTTTGCGTGTGTGTGCGTGTGTGTGTGTGTGTGTGTGTGTGTGTGTGTGTGTGTGTGTGTGTGTGTGTGTGTGTGTGTGTGTGTGTGTGTGTGTGTGTGTGTGTGTTTGTGTGTGTGTGTATGTGGTGTGTGTGTGCGTGTGATTGTTTGTTTGTGTGTCTGTGAGTGTCTGTGTGTGTGGTGTGTGTATGTGTGTGTTTGTCTGTCTGTGTGTGTCTGTGTTTGTTTGTGTGTCCTTGCGTTTCTTTGTGTGTTTGTGTGTGTGTGTCTGTGTGTGTGTGTGTATTTGTGTGTGTGTGTGTGTGTGTGTTCGCGTGTCTTTGTGTGATTTTGTGTCTTTGTGTTTTTTGGGGTGCGTTGCGTGTTTGTGTGTGTGTGCTTGTGTGTGTGTGTGTTTGTGTGGGTTTGTTTGTGTGTGTGTTTGTGTGTGTGTGTGTGTGTTTGTGTGTTTGTGTGTGTGCGTGCTTTTGTGTGGGTGTGTGGGTGTGTGTCTGTCTGTGTGTGTGTGTGTCTGTGTGTGCGTGTTTGTGTGTGGTTGTCTGCGTTTGTGTGTGTGCGCTTGTGTGTGTTGTATGTTTGTGTGTGTGATTGTTTGTGTTTGTTTGTGTGTGTTTGTGTGTTTGTGTGTTTGTGTGTGTGTGCGTGTCTGTGTGTGTGCTTTTTTGTTTTGTGTGTGTGTGTGTGCGTCTGTGTGTGTGTGTGTGTCTGTGTGTGCGCGCTTGTGTGTGTTGTATGTTTGTGTGTGTGTGTGCGCTTGTGTGTGTTGTATGTTTGTGTGTGTGGTTGTTTGTGTGTGTGTGTGTTTGTGTGTGTGTGTGTGTGTGTGTGTTTGTGGCCATGTTTGTGGTTGTGGTTGTGTTTGTAGTTGTGGTTGTGGTTGTGTTTGGGGTTGTGTTTGTGTTTGTGGCTGTGTTTGTGTTTGTGGTTGTGTTTGTGTTTGTGGTTGTGCTTGTGCGTGTGCGCGCGCGTGCGTGTCTGTGTCTCTCTGTGTGTGTGTGTGTGTTTCTATGTGTGTTTTTGTGCAGCGTGCCGGCAGAGCGCGCAAGCAAGTGTGTGTTGGGTGCGGTTGCGTTTGAAAATACCTACCAAACGCAAGGGTTTCCTGTAGAATTCCTGTAGCTTGTTTCTTGGAAAGTGTGTGTTGTGTGTGCGGTTGCGTTTGAAATCGTTCGGAACCTCCGCCGAATTTGCCACCGAACTCAGGACCAGACTGAGCAACCTCCACCATGATGGGCAGCTCCCCGTCCAGAAGCTCTTGAACGTGCTGCAGTGTTGCGTTCACCACTGGCTCCCCATTGATGCAAACCTCCACTTTCAGAAGGCAACAAACACGTGTACATACATATATGTATGTATCATGTATATATATATATATCCATATATAAATACATATGTGATATATGTATGTATATGCATTCCCACAGTTTCAAAAGGTGTGTTGTTTCTTTTGTTTACGATATATATATATACATATACATATATCATTATATACTATATTCCTACATTACATATCATATTATATTATAATATATATATATATATGGCCATGGGTCAAAAGACTGTACCCCCGGTGAACATCGCAATCCCCACTGTGGTGCACCTACCCGCAAAATGATCATTGGTTTTGACCCACAGCCATATATTTCTTAGATTGTGCGGAAACCCCGTTTTGGGGAAGGCCCTTCTCATGCCCCGGAACTGCAACGGCAATCTTGCCCTGTAGGGGAGGCTAGAGCGGCTAAAGACCAAGGCGCTATGATGTCGCCTGGTTTGCAGCCAGACCTGTCTGCCACTCCATTCTTGCCCACAGACCGGATTACCACGCCCCGGGACCAGCGCCGGGGCATGTACTGCATGTTGAACGGCCTGGCAAACATGAAATCAATTTGTCGTGGCCTGGATTCCCTTTCAGCATGGGCTAAAGAAATGGTATGCCCTTGAACGGGCCGTGAAGCGGCGACAAGCATCTCGTGGGCAAGTGGGGCAGTGGGGCAGGCAAACATCCCTGAGCAATGGCACTTGGGGTTGAACAAATAGTATTGTTGATCAAAAGGTTGCGTGGGATGATAGAGAAACCAAAAAGAGGACTCCGGACTACGTCTCTGCCCTTTTCTTTTCGCGAACCGTTTTTCTTTGGGGGGTTCAAAGGGAAACCAAAAGGAAAACCACTATATTCATAGAGGCCCCCCAAAAAGAAGACACACCGCGACCCCTCAGCCATTTGTCCCAGGCGGGCAACTCTGCGCCGAATCCGCGCCGACTCCGCGCGCCTCGACTCCAGCGTCAAGGCGCGGCCATCCGCCAAGCGCTCGGCGCGCGTGAGGTCCACCGCGCCCACATCACCCAAGGGGCAGAACTTCAGCAGCTCCTGCGGAGCTTCTCATTGGAAAAACAAAACACCGTGGATCCTGGAAAGGATGGGGAACATAGGTGGCCTTTTGGAAAAATAGATGAGTTCCCCTGCTAAATAGGACAAAACCCATCAGTGCCATCTATCTTGAACCAGGCTCACCTAAAAAGCGTTGATCCGAGGGTGTCTTATGGAAGGGGGGGGACCTGGCCGTTGCAGTTCCAAGCAGTCCAGGGAGGGCTTTGGCCATACCATGCGTTCCCTGGAAAGTTCATGGGGAAGCGTCCCCTCAAAACCCATGAGCCCTGAGTTGGAGAATTTGAACCTGGATGCGAATTAAAACACGGAGAGACAAGCGATGTCTCATCGAATTCCTGAGGAAAACCTTTTTGCCCAACTCCAAGATATGGGATATTGGCGAGGGCTAGGGATGAACCGGGCGAGTTTGAGCAGCTGGGCATGTTCAGTTGGATACCAAGATCTTAAGCATGCCTGACCGAATGCAATTTGGTCATCTGAAACAAATGCCCCGCAGGCACCAGCCAGCCAGGGGAAAGGCAGGCCAGCCAGACGGCGACAAGCGCCTTCATTGCCTCCCACTTCACAAGACCCCCCGAGTCCTGGTAGGTCAATCGATCTGCTGTACTCTCCGCACACAGCACTTCCGCCAGGGACGAGCCCATCAAGCACGGAAACCTCAGCTGGTCACGTTGCTGTACTCTGCACTGGCCCAACCACCTCGGGCAGCCAATCCAAATGTCACGTTCTGATATGGAAAGTGAAACAACATGATCTTCCAACGATTAGTTTCAGCAAGGCAGTCTGTAGAGCTGTATGTGCTCGCATTCGGACCCAGAGTCAGGTGTCTTGAAACATCCTTCCTGTCCTATGACTTTGCCAAGAATCAACAGCTGCACCACATCGGTGGTGGGCAGTTTGAGCATCTCAGCACCGCCAGGAATGACAACCTGGAGGTGAAAAAGGGCAATGCTTGGGCCCCTTATCACGCTCTCCTTAGGTTCTAGCTGCAAGGAGCTGGTGTAAGCTGTCCGTTCTCTGGGGCCCATCTGCTTCTGATGCGCCCTGTAGGTACCACAATTGGCCAACACAGCCAACCATGTTACACACATATGTCGGCTTAATAAATGGCCAACACATCATCATTCAAAACGATAACGAAAACCAACCAGTTGCCAAGTGACTGTCCTGCTTGTCGGTATGTCGCTGAAGCTTCGTGTATGAGCCACTTTCCATATGAAATCCCCTTCATTGGGCTCGATTTTGGTGAGGTTTTCCACCACCCCATGGGCCCCATGTCATCCCCTCACCTGTACATGATGAAGTATTGCCGGATTTAGCCGTATTGCTCATCTGGCCTTCAATCCGGCATGGTGATCTACCCGCTGTTCGTATGTCTCGCCCGCAAGAATGAGACTCATCTTGCTCGGTCTTCCCTCCGACAGTCCCACATATCCCAAGTTTCCCTGCATTTCCACCCAAAACATCACCCCTAGGACAACTCGCTTTACAAGGGGCCCAAAGATGATGCTTAAAGCCAGCAAAAGCGAAATCTGGGTATGTGTCACAAAACATCGACCCCCAAACACATGTTGTAGCGTGTCTTCTGCTTTCATGTTTTCCCCAACCTCAAAAATGGATACCTTCAAAACCCATAAATTACACCCTGTATCCGTTGGTGCAAGGCTTGTCAGCCAGGACACTGGGCCTCTTGTTCCAAGATGATGGGTCATGTCCAGCAGCTTCTCGGTGTCAAAGAGCACCGTGCCAGGCCCTTGCACCCGATTCTCGAACGCCATCCATGCATGCGAAGGCCAATCGCTCCAAACAACTTGTATCATTTTCTTGCGGTCGTACAACCAGTTCCACCATGTTTGTTGCGGTCGAACAGCCAGTTGCGCCATTTTTGTTGCGGTCGAACAGCTTTGTAGAGTGTAGTGGGGCTTCGTCCACCCCGCGCATGTCTCTTTCGCGGGCCTGACGATCTTTTGGCGGGCCTACTGTGGATGGATGAAACTGAACGGTATCAGAAACCCTGGAATGATGATTGCCCTGTAAATACCAACAAACAATGGCTTCCCACAGCTTGAAAGTGCAGTCTGTGTCCTAAAACATCCCAGAACTAAAAAGCCCCACTCCCCACCAGTTCCGAGGGTCGGGAAATCCGCATGCCTTTCACGAAAGGCCTTTCGCCTCCGCACATGTTCCTTTGTCATGTTGCACCCAAAGGCGACCCCTTCCGCCTGTTGCGCGGATGTTTCTTTGCCAGAACCTGCTTTTGGCTTCTTCGCGGCTTCATGGACCAGATGTTCGAAACTTTGCGGACGTAGACCTGACATTCTGCTGGTGGTTGCAAAGCGAAGCCTCAGCTAAGCCTGCGTGGCTAAGTCGGCCTCTCCCTTGCGCTCTCATTTAGTTGCGAGCGTGTTTGTTTAAAGACCTTTTGCGAGGCCTCGTAGCTTTCTCCCTGAAAGTTCTTCGACTGCTTTTGAACGCTGCTGTGATCCCAGCTTGTCTCTCTTGAGTCTCCTGTGCAAAGCGACCACGAGGGCTAAATGACTTTCTATCCCCACATCCCCACGATCAGATACTCACGCGGGCCGGCGGTCCAGTTTCCAAGAACCACACTTCACAGTTGGACTAAGGCATCCCCTATCCGCACAAGGCGCAGAGCAGCACCGAACCAGGTCCGAAAAGAAACCATACTGTGGATGGACGAAATCCATTTTGCACCACTTGGAAACCATGGGACACCATTTTTTGTCGGTATTTTCAGGGCAATCATATCATTCTATAGGCTTTCCATGGTTTCCCAGGTGGTGCGAAATGGATTTCGTCCATCCAGAGCAGTTTTGACCACTCCCCACTTCTTTTTTAGCCGGACGCCAGGCGAAGCGGCCTTTCAAAGGCCAGATCCCCATGTCCTGGGAAACCACCTGGGGCCAGCAGGGCGCCGAGGCTCCTGAGCAAAATGGTGTCAAATGGCGGTGTCTTCTTTTGGTACCCGTTTTGGTTGGGGGTTCTACTGGAAACCAAAAGGAAACCACCCTTGGTTGGGGGGTCCCCGAAAAAAAGGCCACCCAAAGGTCAAGTTTGACCCTTTGGAAAAGGATGTGTCGGTCTGCACTTGGAGAACCCTGGGTAAATCTACTCCCGTTTCGACCTGAGGGGAAGGTCAATTCCATGTCGGGGCAGGTGAAAAGTCTTGGGACCCCTTGGTCAGCTTGGCTGCAAGAAAAACATACCGAGTGCTCAGCGCGCTTCGTGCTCACCGCGCTGAGCGCTCACCTGCCCAAGGCCTTAAGGAAGCAACAAGAACACAGCGAAACAAAAAGCCGCAGCAGAGTAGCGGGGGCAACAATGGAGACAGCGACAGCAACCACTGCACATCCGATATGTGGGTAAGAACATCTGACATGCTGGAGCATCTGATGCGGGGTAAGAAACTGTCGTGAATCTTCCAAATGGATTTTGCACTGCCCGCCCAGCTTTCGGTGTGGAAAGGCGCCTGGTTGCATCTGCATAGCTTGAAATCCAGTTCTTACAACCACAACTCGTCTTGATCCAGAGCTGGTTTTACTGTCAGCAGGACGTGCTGCTTTGGCCAATCGACACTGGTTTCTTGGTCAATGGGTGCAACGCTCCGGATCTTACGCGCCAAGCATCGAAAGCCTGGGGATGTTTCTCGCCCCGGGCAGAGCGCAGCCAGAAGCTCGGCATCTGACGCTGTCAAGGACAGCGCGGCCTCTGCATCTTCCCACCTCAGAAAACCAGAGGCCATCACCTTTAACTCACATGGGGCGGTCCTTTTTTATGCGGGAGCCCGCTTTTTAGGGCATTAAAAGGAAACCAAAAGGCAAACCACTATTCTGGTGAGGTCCCCTAAAAAAACACACACACACACACACACACACCCATATGAAAGAGTGGATTCAATCCTCCCTTTTTGTTTGATACAAACATAGAGATTATGCACCACAACTTCGAATCATTGTCGTTTCAAAAAGAAAAACAGTGGATCCAGTAGCGGCACTGCCAGCTTGCTGGATACCCGCGAGGAACATTATTGCTGCCTTGCCCAGGGCGAAACTCACGACAACCATAGGACGCAGTATACAAGCTCGCAACTACTGACCGATGTTTTTGTCTCTTACAAACACCACGGCTTTTTTAGAATCCGACTGACACCAGGTATTAGAACCATCTGCTAAAATTCCAGGGGTTGATTCCCCATTCTTTTCAACCATCGTTCTTTCCAAACTCCGGCCGTTTTCCCTGGGTTTCCGGAGGTTTTCTAGAAAGAAGGATCCTTGGAAAGAATGGGAAAGGCATCCCTAGAAAAAAAGGGCAATCGGGTTTGGGGCGCTGCGACTGAAATTCTTGGGTCGAATCCAAGCGGCTTGTCGCCCTCTGTCCGCTTCAGCCTCACGGACTTGCACGTCGCCGGATCGTCTGCATGTACCTGCTCCAATACATGGGCGTTGGTCGACTGCGTGTTTTCGTGAACGAATTCCTCCCACCAACTAACATGGAAGTGCACTGCACAAAGGCCTAGAGGAAAGTAGTCTTTCTACAGAAATCTGTGCACTTCCATGTTAGCTGGTGGGTATCTCCATGCCATCAACTAATATTGTGGAAGCCGTCGCTTCCACTTGTGTTTACAATGCGCTTCCCCACAGACCAGTGATTGTCTTGGTGTGATCAAAACAACTGCAATTGCTTAAAACTACACATTTTATCACTGGTGAAGTTCAATGGGTGGTTTGCATGAGCTGTCAATAGTGTCATTGATTGCCTCTTGACCGGTCCATGTGCTTCGGGGCAAATGTTCTGGAGTCAAGCAAGCAAGACAAGCACATAAAAAAGCATGCTGCACGGATTGGCAGTGGAATAAGCTACGCAGCTACGCATTGTCGCATCTAATCTGCCAGTGGGTTGTTGACTGCTGATGCATCAGTGTGCGTACTGTTGACTGTGTTGTGGCTATGCGCCACATCTGCAGGCCGTTTTGGGTCCTACTATCAAAGGGAAGCCAACCTTGAAATCAACCAGTCTGAGGGGTCAGCGACATGCCTTCACCGTGTCCTGTTCTGAAACCGTCTTCCTGATGCCTGCGGCACTGTTACAAAAAGCGGTAACACAGCAAGTGGGCGAAAGAGAAGCCCAACAACGCATCCCGAGCATTTTTTTGCAAAAGCTGGTCTTTTCTGACTATTTGCATGCCTCTTTGCAACTGCTACCCAAATGTCGCGAAGTCTCGCTTTGCTGGTGGTATCCGAACTGTCAATCCACATCCAAGCCATCTGTCGCCATGTGTCAAAATGATCGATTTTTGGTCTGGCTTCTCAGCTTCCCGCTAAAACCACCAAGAAAGGGTACCAACACTACCCCTCAAAAGCAAAAACAAGAAAAAGGAAGAAACGCCCAGCTGGGAGGAGCAAAAACGAAACACCCAACAAGGCATCCCGACCTTCCCCCTTCACCCCCGCCTCCCCCACCAGCACGTCGCAGGCGTTGCCGCCTTCGCCCCGCTCCAGCATCGCCACCTTCACAGGCGACGCCTCGGCACCCACGACCAATTCATTGGTCTTCTGTGTATTCCCGCGCAAAAATAAAATGCAACCAAGCAACCGAACAACCCACATGACAATCAATTTCTCTGCCGTGAGACTCACTCACACCTAGTTGTTTTTGTAGGGGAGCGCCACCCCACCACCCCTTCAAAAGAACTGTTTTCCTTGTGGTGTCCCTTTAAAGCCAACCAACGAGAGTACCCTCAAAAAAAGACGCACCCACATGTATGCTTCGCATTGCTGCCAAGCAACCTGATCCAGTGTCAGGACGGGAGCCGCCGGCCGCGCCAGACGTGGCCGTGGCCACCGCTTGAAGGTGAGCACCAAGCCAGCAGCCGCAGAAGCGCCCAGCACGTGGCCCTTTCTCGGCGCGGGCCGCGGTGTCCGATCCTCGGGCAAGTGGCTTGTTTTTGGCTATCCTTGGCACCTTGGTTTACAGGTGAACCCAAGTAAAAGCCACAATTTTGGGGTCCCCCAAATTCGCCTCGCGGCATTTTTTGAATTCACATTCTCGAGCCCTAGTGGCTTTGGTTTGGATTCTCGCCCCGCAACAAATCGAGGGCCTGTTTCCTGCTTGGGGCCGGGAAACCAGGCTTCCAAAAGGGCCTTGAGCAGTGCTCAAAACGGATCGAGATTTAGTTACCCTCATAGTGCTCCTTTGCGGGGCTTTCGCGGAGCTTTCGCGCGTGCACGTTTTCCTTTCGCGGCGGCTTGTTTTTTGCATCAACACTTACGCCCTTGAAATAATTTGAAAAAGGCAGGGCAACCTTTCAGTACAAGAATAATACACCAAGTACACTTGGCAACGCCAGCTTGAAAGTCGCAACTTTCGGAACAAGCGTAGCACACCAAGTGCACTTTGGAAGCTAAAACTGCGACGTTTCAGTACAAGAATAGTGTGAATCCCTTGGATCCTGGACCCATGCCTTTTGAGGAGCTTTCGCGGAGCTCCGCGAAACGCCAATCCCCCGCATTGTCGAAACTGGCAAACAGCCTGTGCACGCTGATGAGCAAATGTATACTCCCGCACGGTCAACGCCTGCTCTGCCCCAAGCGCTGCCTGCCCCAAGCGCCGTCAAGTAGCCCTTTCGCGGAGCCTTCGCGGACCCAGCTTTCGGAATACGCTTGCGCGAACTTTCGCGATGCAGGGTCTTCCATTGGCGGAAGCTACTTAGGAAACCGCTTACATCGCGTGGGTTTTGGGCGCTGCTCTCAGGTTTTTTGGGATTCACCGCAGCCGAGGACAAGGCTTTCTTGACGGCCTGGGCGAGGAAGCCTTGTTTCCGGCCCCAGCAGAAAACCCACACCACCAGCAGGCCCTCGAGTGAGCCCTGGTTGCCCGGAGCGAGGATCCGAACCAAACATCCAGGCCTACGAGAAAGGCTAGTTTCCGACCTGAATCCAGAAAGAACACGAGGACCCGAGAATGTGAATTCAAGCGGTGTGAACTCAACCGGGTTGTTTTGCTTGGAATCACCAGCCGCTCACTTGATAGAAAGTCCAACATCAGGAAATCAAAATACAAACAGCTACGTAATGTCATTTCCAACCAAAAAACACCGTTTCCAATAGTGCCTTGAAGAAGCTTCAATAATGGTAACACAGGCTTCCAGCCAACCCGTGACTAGGCCTGGTTGAAACAACATGAACGCATGATAAACGAGTTAGATGTGCGATTCCACAAATAGAAGATTTAACGAAAGAAATACTATGCATACCTTCCTCCACACCAAAACACGTTCAGAGCTGGTCGTCTCTGCCCTCCGCTGCCGAGATGCCACAGCATGGTATGCCCTCACCTCCCCCAGTACGGCAGTGGGCACAGGGCGCAATTGCATCATGGCAAGTGGACGGTAAAATGTACCTTGTGTTTGCATCTGCCTGTAGATTGAGATGTGTGGGTGTCTGGAAACCAGATTTCCTGTTTCAGAGTCCATCCATCCTCGAACTGCATACTGCATTGCTCTGTCAGCGCAAGAAAGGAAACACTCATTTCAGCGTATACGGCTTAATCGTGGAGTGCCTTGAAACATCACACATATTTGTGGTGAGCACTTTCGGCATGTTATGCTGAAAGCCAAAACGGCTGGTCCAACAGGGTCTGCAACTGCGTCTGTGATCAGAATGCTGGAGGCTGGGATCTCAAGTCTCAGCATGCCAAATATTGGCATCTGGCTTTGCTACGGGTCTATCCATGACACATCAGAATCATTGAAGTGGCGCTGGCGACTTGCTGGCCCTTGTAAGATCCAATGAAGATATGTAAATCCCACATCTGTGCACTCGCGAGCTGCCGCTTGATCATGCCCGCCTCCCGATGTTCCCTCTCGCCATCGCCTCAGCCACATGTCAGCTTTTGAACCTCATGCAATACACAGCTCGCGCATCAAAAAAGCCGTCATATTACTTTTGCTGACTGATATTCTTGGAATGGAGACTGAGATGTGTACAGGCTGTCTAAAGTCAGTAGAGCGGTTGCTCCTTCAATTTCTCCGAAGCCAACTTCTAAATCAGAGCATCTTTGTGGATTCAAAGCTGAGAAGCTTGCGTGAATGCACCTGACAAAGCCCGAGTGGCCCGTTTTGGATGTCGAAAAACGCGTGCGGTTCGACTTACTCTCCTCTATGCTGCCCAGTGTTTGAAATAAAAACACTTGTAGATCTTCAAGATCGATGTGGCTTCAGAGGTTCAAACTTCAATCAACAACCCCGTGCATCATCTGTGGCAATCGCTGGCCAAACCGGGGCGCAGGCCGTCGGAGATACCGAAGGCCTTTTCCATCCGAGCATCCTGGCAACACAGTCGTTAACACAATGGGTGAGCTAGCGCCCCCATGATAAATCTTCATCTCGGTCTGATTTCACCCTTCCCTTTTCGGTTCACTCTGCCCCCGAGAAAAAAAAAAAGAAGAAGAAAAAAAACGCAAGGCGAGATGATGCAACAGTCCTTTTCTAATGATGCTGGTGCTGGTGCTGCTGGGTGCCGGTGGTGCTGGTGGTATGGGTGCTGCTGCATTCCCGGCATGCAAGCTGTGAGGACAAGCCGAGGCCTGGCTGGCATAGTCAGGATCGATCCAGGGATCGTTCAGCTCGCCTTCCAAAACAGCTCTGCACGAAGCCGTGAACCAGATCTGGACGGCAAATCACCAAGGGTGAAATCAACTTCAGAAACACCAACTCACTTTTGCCACAAACCCGGCGAGTTGCTCTCTGTAGAATACAACCACACTCTTTTTTTCTTCTTCTTCTTTTTTTTTTCCGACTCCATAGCCCAACTGGCCTATCTGCAAGACTTCATCGTCGTAGTCTATTTCCATAGGCTCCTGTGCGATGGTGTCTTCCGGCTCCACCACCAGCAGCGCCATCTGCGTCTCTTCCGCCATCTCCACCCTCAGCTCGGAGACGGCGTGCAAGCCGTGGGACCCATCCAGGGCCATGTCCTTCTCGGGGGCAACATGGGCAACTGCCGGAACTGGCTCATCCTCGGAGTCGAGGTCCACATTCCCCATGGCAAATGGCTGAGTTGGACTCTTTGAACTCAGGGATTGGTTTTGGATTTGCTCTCAAGTGTTGCTCAACCTCTTGGTACCTTGAGCTGCTCACAAACTCAGCAAGTTGTCCGCTCTTGCTTCCTGCCTCCACGGCATGTGAGCTTAAGTGGAATTCGATTGCCAGAGCGATACATAATCATGGAACAGCAGCTAAGCACTATAAGCCTACAAGGCGGGCAGTTCGCATTTCCCGCGTGCCCATGCACGAGCAACATACATCTCATGCAGTGTTTAGTTTGGAGGCATTGACTGAAAGCTTTTTGCTCTGCCGGGCACGCATTACAAGTTTGACAAAGGAATTGATCAGACAGCCAGGCTGTTCCAAGTCAACTTCTTTTGTACGGTACCCTAAAAGTACAAAGCAAAGAATGTGAGTCTTAACTCTTTGAGATGGCACACAAGTGAAATAGCCTTTCAAGCAAGGGGCACTGTCGACAGTTGACGCGCTGCAAAGCAAATCTACTCCAAAAGGTGCTCGTGCGCCAGCAACGCATGGGTTTACACTGCGAGTCGGTTCCAACTGCTTGCGGGGTAGGCATGATTAACTCACTCCGGCATGGTTGAACTGGTCGATGCCGGCCAGTATCAACCCAGTACAAGTAAGCTGCAGGTCGCGTCTTTCGATCCGAGCGGCAAATCGCAAAGAACACTTTGGTTCGGAAAGTGGACAACTCTGATCCTTAGACCTCAGCTTGCAAGTGGGTGGCATGCACGGAGATCTTCAAACTTAAGCCAAATTTAACCATCATGCCCACACTTGAAACAAGTTGTGGCTGTGCCTTAAATCTCAGCGGTTGCCAAATTTGCAGAAGAAGCTATCATGTATCATGCCAAGGGGCTTCGTCCTTCCAAGTTTCGAAGAACTGCTTTGACAGCGACTCGGTTTCCTACGCGAGCGGGGAATATTGGCCTGGGCTGGCTTGTCAGAATCCTTCAATCTCCTTCACTGCAATGCCCAACATGTGTGACGTCAGCGGTTGAAAAAAAAGCCGTCCGTCCTTCTGAGGCACGACTCTGAGATTCTTGGCACCAGTGACCATGCCAGTGTTGGTGAGGGTATCCTGGCAAGGGACCTACGGCCCGACCTCTGAATCGCAGCAAACTGACCTCTGAATCGCTGCTTCTTTCTGAGGAAACTGTTTCTTGTGTTGTAGCAGGAAAAACAATTGGAAAGCCACAATTTGGGGTCTCCTAAAAATAGACACACACCCTTAAAAACTGCTTTCCCGTGCGTCTTCAGCACCAAATATCCCGAGCCAAAGCAGTGTGCGTCAGAGCTGTCCTGCACTTCTTTGAACACGTTGTTGCCACAGACCTGCACAGCAAGATCACTATGCTGATTGCAAACCCACAGTGCACTGAAAGAAAATATTTGCCGCGCTCTTAGAGGGCACACTGCAAACACTTGGCTTCATGCGCAAATGGCCCCACAAAAAGCACGGCTTTCGTCACAAGCTAGGCCGGTCACGACTGGCATCTGCTGAAAACACAGCATCTAAAATTTGATCTGGAGATCCCCTGCGCTGAATGTAGCATGCTCACATGGGTCAAAAACCAAATCGTACCCCCAGTGAACATCCGATTCACTCCAAACACTAAAATAGGAAACCTAAACGGGCGGTGAATTCACCAATCCCAACTATGGGATCCACCAAAACGGTTTTGACAACCACAGCCACATATCTCGAAAAACTTGAGGCTCCCATCCCTTCGGGGATGGCACGTGCGCGGACCGCGCCTGAATGCCAGTGATCTCCCCCCTGCACTTGGCCAGCCTGGGCTCTTTGGCCCAGGCGAACAACGTCTTGAGCTGATCCTCCTGGCGCTTTTTCCCGGATGCGGGGGGTGGTCTTTTGCGGCGGGTCAAAAATGGAGGAGTGCCTGGGAGTGTGTCCCCAGCAAACCTCACACAAACCAGTTGGTCCGTGGTCAAGGGAAACCACATGGTTGTGGGTCAAAAACATGTTACCCAAAATGGGTTGCCCTGGCAAATGGACACATGGACTAAAACCTGCGGTTTTTCGTGGGGTTTAATTTTGACGCATACCCATTTCTTTCCTGTGGTACCCCTGGTTTGGTGGATTCAAAGGGAAACCAAAAGACAAAGGAAACCCAAGCCATGGTGGGGTCCCCCTCTTGAAAAAGACACGCCCCGGATGGCTGAAGGGAAGTCCACTTGCCAGAATGCGCAGTCCTTGAGCTGCACTGCGCGCGTGCGACACAGTGTCCAGGAGGACACAGCTCTAGACATGAAGGCCTGAGCAGATGCCAAATTCAATGCGGTTTCTCAGGATGGCGTTTTCGTGGCAACCAAAAGGAAGCCACCTACAGAAATCGGTCCCAAGTTTGAGCAACGCTCAAATGGGTGTGGGTCAGAATTAAACCACCAGGGGACAGGTTTTAGTCCTTGGTTCCATTTACCAGGGTTCGATTTTGGGTACCCATTTTTGACCCACAGCCAAATCAATGATCAAGGAGTGAGGGCAAAGGCTTTGGGCCGTGGGGGGGCCACTGGCGACTGCGGCGCCTCGATCAAATGTTCTGAATCTGGCAGGAACACCACGAAGCAAGTCTCCTGGCAAGAGAAGAAAGATCAATTCGACTACCTTGATCATGTCGAGTTGACATACCAAAGCTAGCACCAAAAGAGTTGCAACTCATGGCATGCCCCCTTGTGCAGAAGGGAACATCATTGGTTCATTCAAACAGCCTACCCAGGCATCTCTGCGGCACCCTTCGACAACCATGAAAGCTGACAGAAGAGCTAACAAAGATTACCATCCTTTTGGGGAAGCCCCTTGTCCACTTCCATTCTTGGAAGGAGGGCAGAGTACACATGGTCTTTTTGAGCACGCCCCCCCAAAAAAATATATATATAATGATAATAAAAACAAAATGGCGGCTTCCCTGTTGTGTTGGCTTCCCTTGAACACCTACCTTCTTGGATTTTTTTACGGTCGTCCACTTCGGCGTCGCTCCAAACCAACAATCTCCGCGCCTGTGAAGGCCAAGGCCGGCTTCCGAGTGTCACGGGAACCACGCCTGGGAAAGCACCAAGGGGAACATGGCCGTGTCGATAAATTCTCCTCCACTCTATGGGCCAAGGCTCTTGAGGAAAGGCCAGGAATTGGTATAATATGTATATTCCCCCCCCCCTTTGTATTGTGTTTCCCTGTCATGGATCGACCAACCTGGCAACCATGAGGCCTTACAAGCCCACTTTCTCGGATCGATCTGAGTGTGGCAGTATGCTTTTGTAACTTGTGCTGAATGCCGCGTGTGGCTCAGCTTTGCCAATGCCCCAACCCCAAAAAGGAAGAAGTGAAAAGAACATGGTCGGGGTTGGAAGTGGCTGGTATACTTTTGGCTGTGGGTGGGATTAGTGTTACTTTGCGGGTTGTTTAGGGGTGGTTAGGGTTGGTTTGGGCCAAGTTTTCGGGTGGGGCACGGGGTCTGGGTGTGTACTGCAGGTTCTTCGGGGGCTTGTGGGATTGGAGATACCGCTAGCGGGGAACCTCAACACGGCACAAGGAGACACCACAAGATCTCTGACACAACACACCAAATGGATGTCCCATTAACCATCCAAAAAGGGGCTCCCCAATTTGAGACATCCCCACGTCCGTGACATATTGGTGAGAGCGCTGCGGACTGATGGATCTCGTTTTGGCCAGAGGAAAAATTGCTCAGTGAAACGGGCGTCTCAGGGTACCCTTTTCGGGATCTGTTGTCAAGGAAAACCAAAGCGAAACCACTTGTTTTGGGGGTTCCCCCCAAGAAAAACAAACAAACCCCACTCACACTTCGCAAAACTTGACCGACCAGGGTCCGAGCCTTCGTTTTCAAGCTCCTCCTGAGCGATGCTGGGGCACTTCTCTAGATTCAGGAGTCGGCTCGCCTCCTTGGCGCGGTGCAACAAGTCATGGCCTCTTCGTGGCTCTCGTGGCGAAAGGTGCCATGCTGCAAAGCCTCAGCCTGGTCCAGCAAGCTCCAGTTTGGCTTGTCCTCATTCTTGTTGAAGTCCTAATCTCCCACTGTCCGAGGGCATTGCATCCAAAAAAGGCCATGTAAAGTAAAGTTGTCAACGTGAACCATGCGATCCAAATTTGCAGCCAAGGCAGCATAGACCATCCACCATTTGTTATTCCATGGCTTCAGCCCAGCTCGGGTCATTTGACCCCGGAGGGAGAAGTAGTTAAAGTCAAAGCAGGCGAACTGCATGTTCTGGCTGCTCTCGATGATGGGCTCGGTGCCGCAAAAGAGGGCCAGCTTGCAGTCCTTGGCATGTTGCCCGCGAGGCCGCGGGGCGGGATGTTTCTCAGCCATCCAGCTAAGTTGCTTGGCACTCCCGACATCTGTACTGCTGACCTGCCAAACGTGGTACAAGCGCACAACGCCAAAGTTCATCCAACTCAGAGGCCCCCGGCACGCGATCACCAGGCCTGAGCGGAATGCATTCCGAAGAAAAAGCTGCGCAGAAGACGTGGCAATGCCGCAACCGGGCGGCTGCAGTTGCTGCAGTTCCGAATGAAGACGCTGGTCTCCACGGGGCCAATGAAGATTCTGCCTCGGTCATGGACGCCAGAAAGGTCTTGGAAGCGCTCGCTCGCTGGCCCGTCATCCAAGGCGGCGGAGAATGATTGTACAGCATTGCCGCAACTTGGGGAAGGACAGTCATGGCATTCATCCACGAAACTTGTGGCAATATTGTCCTAATCCACGCAAGGAATGGCCAACTGTGCAGTTCTGATGCTTGTGATGTCAAGCACGCAATGTCTGCAACTCACTGTATGCATGAATCTTTGCCACCAAAGCTCCAACAGAAAAATGTCGCAGTTTCTACCTCAGCCAGGTCGTTGCAAAGCTCTCAGGCGGCCGTTCCATGCAAGTTTGGCATTGACCAAACCGCAGGGACGGGGGAGCCATTGTAAAACGTCGGCTGCCGGGTGTTTCCCTCACCAGAACAAAAAAGAAGCTCAAGCAGCTTTCTAGTTGCAATTTGCCAAGCTCTGACATCTTCTTCGCAACATGCCGACTCGTCCATTGCCAACTCAGCGGCACTCTTCAACGTTGAACTGCTCCCCGGCGACGCTGCCTTCCTGGCGTCTCTGTTTTTTTTTTCCCGTTCAACGACGCATGACGGTGCGGCGGTGGCAGGTGCGAGCCTCCTTGATCAGCACGGCGTCCTTCCTCTGGGAGAAGATGTAGTCCTCAAAGACAGCGGCCCACTCAAAATGGCTCACTCAGGAAGAGTTGTGGGTTGTCCATCCCCAAAAAGAGTAGAACTGGTGTTTTGGCTGTCCACTCAAAATGGCCGGGAGAGTAGTATTGTAGTTTCTCTTGGCCTAACATGGCAATGTGTCTTGGTGTTTGGAGGTATACCACTCTGGCTACAGCAACTCGTTCAAAACCCTCTCAACCTCGTGGCCACAAGAAATCGCATCACGAGCGTTGATCCCATGGGTGAAAGAAGTTCAATGAATGACCGCAACCCGAAACGAACCAAGAGCTCGATCCCTCATTTTGCAGACACGCTGATCCGAGTGAAGATTGCCCCCATGTCAAATTAAGAGCAGCCTACCTCACAGGAGCGCAACACTAGTAAACGAGCCGTTGCCTATCGGCAGGTGTAAATGCTTGAAAACGCATCCACTCGAGCATATCAAGAATAATGTATTTGGCAGCAGGATTACGTCTGTGCAAATGATCCAAAACGCCTGTGTCGTCACTCACGCACAAATAGACACGCTCCACCTACCAGCTTGGCAACAAGATAGTTGGGAGCTGAGATTGCCGAATTGGTTGGAACAGCAAAGCTGCAGTTCAGGGCGTGTAGCGCTGACACGCAAGGAAGGCCACACACACACACACACGCGCAAGCGCCGCATAGCAACACCTGCCTCCCGGCCATAACTCATGATACCTGCTACATCCCCCAAGCAAAGGAGCCCCACATGTTAGGCGATCCTGGCCATCGCATGTAAAAGACCTGGAAAAGAACCAGTACTTTAAAGCAACTCCAGTCTTGAAAGAGCTTAGAATCTTGTTGGAATGTGCAGTTACAGAATCAAGAGCTGCTGGCATCACTGCAAACCACTGGCAATCCTGCACAGATCGGATTTACTGCCAATGCAGGGACATGCGTTCGTCGCTCGAGATTCAGACTTGATTCAAACTGCCGCCAAAGATCAGCAGGGTTCAATTTAGCTCTCGGCTTCGCAGCCTGGCGCAGTGCATTTGCCGCTCGCATGTTCGTTCTCTTGACTTTTTGAGATCCGTGTTCATTTTGTTCTTGCTTTGGGAAGCCCAAAGGAAAACAACCACCATGGTGTCTTGTTTTGAGGGTACCCTTCTTTTTTTGTTCAGGGAAGCCAAATCAACCCACATTCGAGGGGTTGTAACCACGACTGGCAATGGAAACAAATCTGTCATACACTCCTGCTGCACTTTGTTGGTTCCAATTCCCTTGAGACACACCAACATTTCCTCCAGCCTTGGGCTTTGGCTTCGTCTTCGCCGGGCTCGCGCCTGGCCATCGATTTCGCCGAGCCGATCGGTGTCACGGAAATGTGCCGCCATGCGCCGCTATGGGTCTGCCCCCCCCCCCCCCGGAACAGGAGGCCCTTTTTGGTTGATTTGAAGGCGAAACCAACAGGAACGCCTTTTTGGGGGGTTCTGGAGTCCTGGACCCTCCAAAATGTTAGCCCCCCAAAATGGGTCCCACCAGTGCGCATGCTTTGAGAAAACCTGCGAACGTGCACTAAAAGGCGAACAAAGCTTCAGTGCCGTGATGACTGCCAAAGTTGTTCTACCAAACGTCCACGGCTCGTTGAAACAGGCGCCTTTGGCTTTCGAATCGCAGCCGCCCATTATGGCAAGAAGTCTGGTGTGGATATGTGTCCTAATGAGTATCTGCACGTTCTTTCCAGGAAGAAAAGAAACCACGAAACAACCTGCGAACAGGGTAGATGAATCTGTGCGCAGAAGATTCTTGAACTCAAATAGCTGCGCTTGCTCATGGCAAACCTTCCCACCAATTCAGCCACAGCCCAAAAGTGCTGCGACTTGAACTGAGGCGCGTTGCATTTTGGCATGGCCGCTCCACACCTGTCTGTCACTGCCCTGTACTTGTGAGGCCACTTGAGTGAAACTGTAACAACCAATACGCTTCGCTTAGCTGTGGAAGCATGAGCCACTTCACATGCTGGCCCTCTGCTTCGCTTCGTGAGCGGTCGCAGACTTGTGAGCCAACTGCTCACCTTAGCGATCGTGGCCGAATTCATACCTTATCACATCCTGAGGACTGTCGGGGCCAAAACTCTTTGCCAGAAATGCCGCATTTGGGTGTATGTCAAAATAGGGCTACCCCCGGAAAATTGCGGGTGTCCTTTTATTTTCCTTTAAACCACCCCCAAAAACGGTACCCGCAAAAAGAAGCACACACCCATCTACATGAGAACCTTGGAGCTGCGCAACTTCTACACTCAGGAGCAAGCCAGTCAGCTTCTCGCTGTCGTGAACTCCAGGGACCTCAGTCTGTGTCAAACTGAACGCGCAGCGGCGCACGCCGCCCTTGGTGGACAAACATGGCACCCCTCCCACGTTGACAGAAGGCACTTGCGGGAGGGCACCTAAGACCAGTTTCCTCTTGGGACCGGGTCCCTGGGAGTTGCCATGGCAACGTGGGAGAGAGGGTAGCTTCCAGTAGTTTAGTTGCAAATCCATTAGTTGGCAAAAAGTTACACTCCTAACATCCAAGCAACATGCATCCAGCAACAGCAACATGCAACTTAAACAAAATGAGAGAAGTTGCAATCTCCAAATTCTCATCCCACTGTGGCAAAGCAACTCTCAAACAGCGTGGCACCCCAGTGTGAAGAAACGACATCCAGCAGGCTGGAATTCGGGTTTGCTCAGGGCCGCGCCAGTCGTAGGCGAGTTTGGCGCCGCACTGCAGGGGGTCAATTCCAACTGTCAAATGGGTGTGGCTCAAAATTAAACAGGAGGGGTTACGCAGGTTTTGGTCAATGTTTCCACTTACTAGGGTTCCATTTTTGGCACCGGTTTTTGAGCCACAGCCAAATGTCCGTGCAGCTTTTGTGCAATGCCCACCATTGAAACCAGCCTTCAAGTTCTCTTTGGCGGTCTCTAGAAACTTGGCGCTTGACATGTCATATTCAGTCTGTGGCAAGCGACATGGAAATCTGCAAAGGATGTTTCAGAGGATGATCCTGAGAGCAAAGCGGCTTTGCTGTTCGCTTCAGCTAGTTCCTGGAAAGGACGCGGCGGCTGGTCAGACTCTTTCCCTCTCTTGGCTTGCGCAAGCCAGTCCTGTAGCCGCTGAATGCCTAGGGTCTTCGGGTAGACTAAGTAGGCAATCACCTGAAACAGCCCCATGCCGTGCCCATGCCGTTCATGCATATCCCACTTGGAAGCCCTGCCACGAGCTGCGTCTCATAGTAGATATCCACAAAGAATGATATGACCTCAATCTCAAAAAAACCTTGGCGCCCTTTGCTTTGCTGACCTGCCAGTACCTGCAAAATACGATGGTTCTTACAAGCTACCAAGCTGGCTGGAATGAGTATTGAACAAAATGCACGCTTTGCTTCTAGCTGTTGACCGCTTTTTGTTTGGGGCCACCCGGCTGACCTTGGCTCCGGGCATAGAAGGGTATGTGCAAGAGCCACCCGAAGTAATACATCTTGATGGACCTCGTGTGGCGAGCAGCGTTTTTTTCAGGCTCCGAGAAAAAACCGGGTCCCAAGGGCCGGGCACTGCGCAGAAGAGACACCAGTAGAAGAGCCTGGCTGTCACACAAAAACGCGAAGCCATGGTCTGCAGCCAGGAGAAATCGATGCATAGTGCAGTTGCCCTTGTGGTCTTCCATTTGCTTAAGAATATGTGTTATTCTCCCTTGTTGATTTTAAAAGGGATGTATCACTGCTGGATTTGTTCTTTATTTTTTCCAGGGGTCTTAACCAAATGGAAGTGGTGACTCTTGTGTGTGTGTGTCTCGCCGATTGCTCACGATCGACGAGTGGCCAAACTTTTCTGTCGGCGGTCTCACGCTGAATCGCATGGAGTGTCTGGACCTCGGCACGACAGAAACCTTTCGCTGATTCAACGCTTCCCTTGGCAAACCCTTCATGGACCTACTCCAAGTCAGGCCGCTTAGTGTTCTGTGAACACAGCTCAAAACCAATTGGGATCCCATTTTGGTTGGCAGGAGAATTGACCCCCCATTTTAGCACCTATTTTAGTGGTTGGATTCGGATGTTCACTGGGAATACGATTTGGCTGTGGGTCAAACATGCGTACCCAAAATGGAACCCTGATAAATGGAACCAAAAACTAAAACTTGCGGTCCCCTGGTGGGTTTATTTTGACCCATAGCCCTGTAGCACCTCTATCTCCGGGGTGCCACTTAGGGGTCGGTCGGCCAGATAAAATGAGCAGCTGGCCAAGGGCAGGAGGATGGCCAAGCACACCCACCTCCGGCCGAGCCACGACAACGGACCAAACTTGCGGATTTTTTACATGTGGCTGTGGGTCAAAACCAATGGTACCCCTGATGAACATCAAAATAAGTGGTACATGGGCATCCCCAAAATGGGATCGGCATAGGTTATGACCCATGGCCATTTCTCCTACCGGCCCTGGTTGGTGGGCCGTCTAAAATCCCACGACCTCAACCCCGAGAGCTGAGAGCGTGGCAGCGGAAGTATTACCACGTAATAGGGCCTGAGCTTGGGCTGAATCCAAGCGGGCAGCAACTCAGCCGCAAGCCTGAAGCCTTTCACACCATGCCTTGCTTCTTCCTCATGCAATTTGGTGGATACCTCGAGCCTGCTCATTCCAGTGCGAAGGATGGCACAACTATATGAGGATGTACCCTCATTTGCGATGTCACACTGTGAGGAAGAGTCTACCTGAGTCACCGGCAACATGTGGAAAACGCGGCCAGCACGCCCGGTTCCGGCCTGTTGCCTTTGCTTGAGCCACTCTGGATTCGTGGACATTTTGACTTCAAACCTGTGCTAACCGCAACGGAAGCCAAGGTTGGATGAGGTTGATAATTCGAGCACTTTCACAATCGCCTTTTGAACCGGCAGAACGGCACGGAGATGCTGCGTATCAAGTTCCGACGTCCATCAGGCAGTTTTCCTGGTAGATCTTGTTGACCGGTGCTTCCGAGAGAGCTGCGTCGAACTCCAGCCCTGAACTTGCCAGCTGGCCGGTGCCGCGTTTCTTTTTAGGAATCCAGCATTCGGCATTCATCCTCCCCATCGGACAGGTCCACGACCACTGACACTTCTCGGTTTTGGGTGACTGGCTCCTTGTATCTCTCCCAGTATGTCTCCAAGTCGGCTCTCCATTGCAGCGTGGCTGCGTCCTGTGCGCTTATGGACGATTTCCGTATCGCATATTCTTCCACCTCTCTCCGCCCGGTCGTTTCCTCGGGGATCAAGCGAACCTCGCGAGAACCATCGGCCAGGTCGGTGACAGCCACGAAATCCAGAGAGAATGGCCGGCCCTCGCCCCCAAACGTCGCCGCTGTTGCCAAGATGCTACGGGCCTCCGCTTTGGAAGCACCAAATTCCCGCAAAATATCTTGCTGAGACACTCGAGCATGACAGCCTGTCCATGGTTCTTGGGTTCAGAATGCGCTGGTCCGTGGACCCTTTGCACTAGACAGCCCCATATGGCTGTGGCTCAAAAAACAGGAATTTCCAAAATCAGCCCTGGTAAGTGGAAACATGGACCAAAACCTGCGGTCCCCTGGTGATTTAATTTTAATCCATACCCATCTAAAAAAAGGTGAAAAAAACACAGTTTTGGTGGTTTTCCTAGACCAATACCGAAAAGGGCACACTCACATCTATTAAACTGGCCATGCTTACCAGTGGCTAGTCAAAAACAATGTTTGCTTCCACCCCACCTTCCAAGCAACTCACCACCGATGCCACAGCCGCATGCAAATCCGGTGCGCTGGACATCGCTTCTCACATGAAAGGAGGCTTGTGCTGAAAGGTGGCTGGTGCTGCAAGGATCTTCCAACCCCCAACATCCCCCAACTTCCCCCAACTCAGCTCTGGTCTTTCTGGCTCTGGGCACGATCTTGGCCATTCAAGCTGGGATTGCCATGCAAATGAAGGTGGCGAACGGATAACAAGCGCTCGAAGCACACAGGGACCTATGAAACAGGACGGGCCCCTTCTTGTAAGGAACCACCCACATCTGTATGCATGTCGAGTTCATTTGCTGTTGAGGGAGATGATGCTGTCCCAAGAGCAAGCAAGCGGCTTCTTAGACTTGGTGTCAGGCGATCCCTTCCCCTAAACAAATGCGCCCTACAAGGATATCACTGTTCCACCCAGGTTCTAAGAACAAAGGCCTGCCCGATCTCGCCTCCAGAAATAAAAACAAATATTCAATTCCTTCCATAGCATTACGATTTCAGCTTTGCCTGGCTTTACGGGAGAGAGATCATTTGCAGCGAAGCGGGGACTCGTTGATGGGGCGCCAATAAGAATATCAACCCCCAGAATGGTTCTGAGATTGATGATATCTTACCCAAAGGACCTGGAAACCAAGCTTAGCCTTTTGGGGCCATGACTAAAATTGGCCCAAGATACGAACCAAGGTCAAAAGGTCGATTTGTTTTGGTGAGACATTCGGTTGGGGGGAATGGAGCTAAGGGTCGTCGGCCACACTTTTCACTGCCAGGCACCGGACCTCTTGGAAACTGGCGTGAAACGAGGTGAGAAGCTGCTTACTGGACAACTGCAAACATATAGGAACAAACAACCTGCGAATCATCACCTGTGTCTTCTTGGAAGGTAGCATGTTGGATTTGGAGGGAAGCCAAAAGGACATCCACCTGTATGGGGTAGCCATGGCGATCCATGCATCATCTTATTGTCTGTCTTCCTTTGATTGCATGGTTGAATTCGACCAGTGAGACTATGCAGTGCATACTTTCGCATGCCATGCATGTGCGTGTCAGCACAAGAACATTAGCAAGCCACCACCAAGTCAGGAGCGGCTTTACGAGTACCTTGCGACCAAAATCTCTGACTTGTCTCGGTCCTCGTTTTCCCCTTGGGCAGCGACGCGATGCTGGCAATGACTTGCCGTTGCTTTTGCCACTCTTCGCCTTGAAAGCAGACCAAAACCCCCAGCATGAGCTTGTGTTAATTCGAGCGGTCATGGCAGCAAAAAAACATGTGTATATTATATATATATATATAATATACCTCAATCTTCCGATGAGCGTTATTTTCAGCTCGTGCAGATTACCGCGCGTTTATCTGAAAAGCGCTCGGTTCAAGAAAAAGCGCTCGGATCGGATATCGGAAAAGAGGGCTCAGTCTTTCTGCTACTCATGTGCAAGATTTGCAGCGGGCGCCGAACGTGGCAAAACTAGCACTTTTTGAAGTGCGCTCGTGTGGCGGGAAATTGCGCTTTTGTAGCGGGAATGTGCGCTCGTTGTGCAGCCTGGCCCGTTTCGTCCAGGAAAGCTGCTGCTCGGTTCAAAACATTGACCGCATTGCACAACCTGTTCGCGAACGGAGCCTCAATTTCTTTGCGAAGCAGCCTTCCAGTTGGCTGAGTTAACGCTCGAAGACTAAATAGCGCTCGTTTGCCCAAAAAACGCTCGCAAGCACAAAAAGCGTATCAAATAGCAGCTTGAGCAGAAAAGAACGCTCGTTGGAAGATACAGGTATATATCTTCAGTGGCCAGGAGTGTCAATCTCGGAGTTCTCCAATGAACCTTCATTATGTTTTTGGACGGCTGTGTGAGGTCCGTTCTGTTCGTTCCAAGGTTTGGACCCAGGACTGACTCAGCACGCGGCCCATGAATCTGCCCTCCAGCCACGAGGACGCGTACTCGATTTGCAGCTTCGGATCCACTTGACTGGGCCGGCAGGTGATACCCTCCGTACAAACATGCCCTAATTTCATGGTTTAGGGTTTAGGGCTTAGGGTTTAAAGAGAATGGCTGAGTGACTCACTGAGTGACCTTTTTTGGCCTACAAATTGGAACCTGAGGGAAGATAGGCCATATTCCGACCCGCAGGTTCTCAAAAACCTTTCGTGGGACAAAGCCGTTTCAAACGGCTTCCTGCGCGTGGCAAGCAGAGGATGCTGATGCCTCTCTGCTCAATTCGGTGCAGTGGAAACAAAATCTGAGATGCGGTATTTACTCCCAAACCGAAGCTACAGGGAAATCTGCCGTTTCCACTTTACATGGTGGTTTGTGACGCTAAGTGCTTGCATACCCTATGTTTCCCTTGAAGGCTTCCGTTCTTTGGGTTTCAAAGCGCCCCGATCCGTGGGCCGAGCTTGGGATCCTCTTGCAGCTTCTCGACCACGTCCTCGACATCCACCGCGCTTGACCTGAGGTTGTTTGCATGCATGGCTCGTCTTTGAGGTTGGACCCCCCAAAACAGTGGTTTTCCAGGTGGTGTCTTGTTCAAGCCACCCGAAAAGGGTACCCTCCAACAAAAAGACAGACCCACATGTAGGTGTTGTGTGATTGCACCAACCATGTTTGAGGCCCATTGAAAATCTCAGTGGCACCGTCAAGATAAACAGTTGCAGCGCCATGCGTCGGAAGGGAAGCTTCTGCACTTTGCAAATGCCTACATGGCTGTGGGTCAAAAATGGGGTACTCAACATAGAACCCTGGCAAATGGAACCAATGGACTAAAATCTGCGGCCCCCTGGTGGTTTAATTTTGACCCACACCCACATCTAAAGACTGTACCAGCCTTAGACATGACACGAAATTCCTTTCGGCCTCACCGCTGGGTCCAGCACTTATCGAGATCGATGTACCATAGCGCGCAGCAAAGGCAGGACAATGCCACAGGCCTCGCAGCTGTCTCACTCTATGGGATTCGCCAATAGGGTGGGTGTCCTTTTGGTTTCCCTGCCAAGAAAGGTTACGTGCTCGAAAGGAAAGACATCCACCTCACCCACAGCTACTCCCCTGAGACTCGGTGGCACACACAATGGCGATGCCAAGGAAGAGGATTCCAAGCCTCAGTTGAGTTCAACGGGAGTCATCCAAAAACTTACCCTCTCTCCCACTAACATGGCACCTCAGAAATGGCCCCTATAAGAGGAAATCTTTCAGGTACCCTCCCACAGGTGCTATGTTAGTGGGAGGGAGGGTACACTCCTTTTGCCTTTTTCCATCTCATTCTGTACTCCCCATACTGTTCATATCCCACTTCACCACCAGGTTGAATGTACTCAACTCATCTTAAGCCTCCTGCGCTTCCCCAGTGCTCATGATTCCGCCGGTGTACGGGCCTGGCGAGCATACCCATAGCATGCACTCAGACTCAGTCCCCTCTCGCGCTTGACTCGGCGAGAGCCCGGCAGAAGACACGGTAGACCCCGTCAGGGCACTGTCGTACAGGAAGCGGCCTCACGGCAATTCGCCCGGATCCCTGAGAATCTAAATGGCCATGGGTCAAAACCCAAATCGTACCCCCAGTGAACATCCCAATCTCCACTAAAACTAAAATGGGTGGTGCACCTGCACCTACTCCAAAATGGTACCATTGGTTTTGACCCACAGCCAAATCCTTCTGAACGGAACCACCTCTGTCCACCACATCGTGCACACATTCAGAGTGAGTCATGCTGCCAAGCGCTGAGCTTCGTCGAAGCGCTCAGCTCACCCCTCCCATAAAAATGCACACTGGCTCCAGCCATTAGGGCCTGATCTAATTGCAGGCCAGGCGGCTCCGGCATTGCGGCTCGATCAATGTACTTGAAGAAAGGACCTTTCAGCAGTGTGACGTCACAACCAAAATGATGCCCCAATCAAAACCGATGGGTATCAAAATGGTCTACCCAGGTAGAACCATGTAATTCAGGAAGCCGCCTGTGGGCGGCACCCATTTACGTTTTGGGATTGTCCCTAGCCTTCAGCCCGGATTTCGGGTTTGGGAGTCCAGAGACCTTGATGCAACTGATGTCAAGCGCTCAACGCGCGAAGAGCCCCGAGCTCCGAGCTTTGGTACAGCTGGGAGCTTGTGTCCGCTTGCAGCGCTTTCCTCAATGCATCAGTGGTCAAAACCAGTCAAAGGGCAAGGATCTTCGGTCTTGGTTTGCTGAGCACGTGTTTCAAATCAAAATGCATGGCATGCAGTCATATGTGAAAACTACGTTGATATGGGTCTGTCTTTGTTTGAGGGTACCCTTTTTGGTTGGGTTGGAAGGGACACCAAAAGGAAAACCACCGTGTTGGGTCCACGAAAAATGACACACGCATACAACAAGCAGCATTTTCACCTTGCCCCATGCTTGGGGCGTGGCAGCAGGGAAATGAGGCCCCAAGGCGACCGCTCGTCCGTGGATTTAATGTCCTCGTCGCGTTCGCCAGTCGCGCGCAGCGATGGGCTTTGTGTGGCCCAGGCATAGGCAGAATTCCCATGCCTAGACTCTAAATCCTAGTCAAACGGTTCACAGCCTTCACCTTTTATGCCCATCGTATTTGTGAGTTGGCTGTTGTGGTTGTCACTCTGCCTTTTGTTTGTCACTGGTCAAAGGGCAACTATGGCGACTCCAAAAAGTCTGGCACACTCTGGAGCAATTCAGGCGAAGGCATTCCAGGATCCAACCACCTTGAAGACTGTGTTGACCACCACCGAGCCGTTTGAAAGCGAGGCCACCTGCGCGATGAAAAGCAATGGGTTCCTTCGGTTTCCGTCAAAAAGGCACAAGGGAGTGACAAGCATTCAGCACCTGCATTGAAAGGGTGTTGCCTGAATTCGGGTAGGGTCTGCGTTCAGGATCTTGCCCATCTCATAGACATAACCTCGGCAGTTTACTCTCACAAGTGCTGCCGCAATGGCCTGGAAAGCTGAGCCTTCTTGCGAAAGCTAAGCGCAAAGCGGTAAATGAAGTAGCGCTGTTCGGCATCGTCTGATGACCGAGAGGCAATGGGCGTGCCACCTCAGCGAGAAGCCGGTGAATCACAGTTGAGGTGATGGAAAGCTAGCAGTACCCGCCTGTCACTAACGTGGAAACCAGCACAGGGTCCCTTGCAAAGGAAAACTGTTTTCCAGGACCTCTCAGTCAAGTTCCATGTTAGTGGATAGGAGGGTAGCTTGGCCGCTTCGTCTTTGCACAATCGATTCTGCCGGAAGCAAGCAATTATGCTTGCGTGACGGTAGCTCTTCCAAACTTCAGAACTCGCAAACTGGCCTTGGGCCAGCCATCTCTACATGGGCTTGTCTTGAAACAGGGAAACCCAAAATGGTGGTTTCCTTTCTGGTTTCCCTTCAAAGAACCCAAAAAGGCACCCCAAAACAGACAGACCCACGTGCTACCCCGACTTTGCGGAGTACTGTCGTTGTGACAAGCTATCGTAGTGATGATTCAGAACATTTGCCTTGCTTCTTTGGTCGCAAGTCATTGTCCTTGACCCAGCTATGGCGTTGTGTACCATGCTCAAATTTGATACACCTTTAGACAAAAAAACAACCTTTGCGCACATCATCGTCCCTTGTTTGCGGGAATGACTTTTTGCGGGAAGCCCCCCCTCATGTCCTTCCCTACCTTGGCCGCTCAGAATGGGAACTTCCTACGAAACTGCCACAGTTGCCTGGCACTGCCCATACAAGGCCGGCGGCATGCGCAGCGTCTCCCAAGTCTCACCGTCCCACACGTCCACGTCGGCCATATCTGCTTCATAGCCCCCAAAGACATAGACCTGAAGCGCCAAAAAAAGCAACAAAAAAGGCAAAGGACTGGGCAAACTCTCATAGATGTACTTGTCTAAATCGAGTGCCTCAAAGAAATGTGACAGACTTCAAGGACACATTTGGCATCGAGATTATGCGGGTGCAGTTTGCGCTTCAATCAAAAGTGCATTGAATCAGTGACCCCCCAAAAGGCGAGCTATCCTGACTCATCCCTACATGAGAGCAATCACTTCAGAGCAGAAAGCGTCTCCTGACGAAAAAAAAGAAAGAAACAACTGGGTATGACACCATTAATAGACCAAAACAAGAACAACCAAACAACCAAACAACCAAACAACCAAACAACCAAACAACCAAAAACCTGCATTTCTTGCGGGTTTTCTAGACCTCATTTCGGATTCTGTTTGGGGGGCCCTCGGAAAACTCCCCCCCTTGGACCCCCCGTTGGACCCACCGCCGTCGCTCCCGCGGCTCCCGCGCCTTGCCGGCCACCTGCGCGGCGCCGCAGCCGTGGCGCCGCAGCCGCGCGGGCGCCGGCAGCAGCTCCCAGCGGTGGCGGCGGATCTCCGGGTCCGGGGGGGACACGGCGTCCGCCAGCAGATGGCCCCTGACGTTGGGTGGGTCGGTCGGTCGGTGGGGGCCCCTGACTTGGTTGACGTTGGAAGTAGGGGAAAAAAAATATCTAAACACTTTGGCAGTTCAGTGGATTTGGATTTCAACCACTAAACCACAATGAGCAAAAATGTGAAATGTTTCCCAACAACAACCATGCCTGGAGAGTGGGTGGCTCGGTTGGTCGGTGGGCCGGTCGGTGGTGTTTTTGTTGGAGATTGGGTTGGTCGGTTGGCTTTTTTGGAGGTGGGGTCGGTCTGTCGGTGGGTCGGTCGGTGGTTGTTTTTTGGAAGTAGGATTAGTCGGCTGGCTTTTTTGGAGGGGTCGGTCGGTTGGTTTATTTTTTGGTGGGTGGAGCAGATGGTTTCTGGAGATAGGGTTGGTCGGTTGTTTTTTCGTTTTGGTGAGTGGGTGGTGTATGTTTTCTTTTGAGGGGTGGAGTGGGTTGGAAACAGGGGTTGGGCAGGTGCATGGGTGTTGCGAGGGAGTTCTTCTTTTGTTGAAGGGTGGAAAGGACAAAGGAAGAAAAGTGGGGGCCCAAAAAGAAATGCCCATGTGTGAAAGGGTATGGACTTTCCGAAAGTTGGCGTGGGCCTCAAAAGGGGTCCAGCACATAAACCCCCGGGGTTCTGGTGATGAACATGTGGGTGCTCAAAATTAAAGAGTCAAGGTTACGCAGGCGCTGGCACAGGTGTCCTTTTAGGGGAAACGGATGGCCCTGGTAGATGATTAAACCACCAGGTAAACCAGGAATCGAAACCCATCTATTTTTCGAGCAAAACAGCCAAAAACAAAACCTATGGGCGCTGGTCTTTGTTTCCATTTACCAGAGGGCAAATTTTGGGAACCATTGGAGCCATAGCCATTTGACCCGCAACACAAGCGACAAGAGGGCGGAAAAGCACCCCTAGGCCCCTAGGAATTCGGAGCTGGCTGGGGAGCTGGAGCTAAGAAGTTTGAGGCAGGAAGGGCCCTTCTGCTGATGGTTCTATACTCTTGGGAACAACCACTGTCTTCCAATCCACCGTTCGTCCGGGCGCATCTTGGACCATAGCATTCCAAGCATGGGGACAAGGGGTCAGCGAGAAAATGGAGGTACTTGTTTTTGTCAGTGGCTCCAAAAACGGAAAACACAAATCTGCAAACACAATGAACCAAACCTGCGCCACCCCAGCTATCCAGCTGCTTCATTTTGGAGCCACACCTCACCCACGTTGGCTTCGCTTCCCGTCGCTCCCGCGTTTTGGTCGCTCGAAAAACGCTTCGCTTCGCTTCGCTTCCCGTCGCCGCCTGGCCACCGCGGAGCCGCCGAAGAGCAGCAAGCCCTCGGAGAAGCTCACCGCGGCGCCCGAGTGCCGGGCGGCCAGGAGTGGGGGGCCCTGACCTGGAAACTCAGCCGAATTAAACTGTTTCGGGGGGTTCAAGTCAGATCAAAAGTGGTGGGTGAGTTTGTTTGGACCACTTCTGGGGGTTCAAGCCAGCTGCTCTTGGTGAAGTCCCTTCTTGGGGACCCATGGAGGGGTGATCACAACTGGTGGGTGAGTTTGTTTTGACCACTTCTGGGGGGGTTCAATTACTCAGACGCTGGTGGGTGGTTTCATCTCAAAAACCGTCCATTGGGGGAATGCTGGGCTTTTTGGTCAGAAACTGGTCGATGGTGTCCCTTTAACCTACTCGGGTAAGACTGTTTACTCTAGTCCTTTGGGGTGACTTCCTGGGCACAAAACCCACACGAATCTTTTTTCGCGCCGGTTGATTTGTAGATCAACCAGTTCTCACATGGGTTTCATCCATCGGCACCTATTGGTGGTTTATCCCAGTATTCACAAGGGTTTCAACTCTCGCGGAGTGGATTTTGTCCATCCGCAGGGAGCCGCGACAACCTAAGAATATTCGAAAGGAAACCGCTGATCGACCAAAACTGAGAACAGAGGTTCGGTATGCCCTAAAATGTCTAAAACGTGTAGCTTCCTTCTGGTTCCATGTTGAAAAGAAACAAATGGGTACCCTCGAAAAAGGCATCTGCGGTTGTTTCAAGAGAACCAACCCAGCTTACCTTCACATCAAATCCCTGCCCAAAGCATGCATGGCCCTCGCCTATTTGGCACAGCAGGCTTGTGCCTCCGGTAGTGTTTGAGACCTTTGGTGGACATCATTTACATGGGGATTTATGGATTTGTTAGGTTTTGGGTGGTTGAGGTGTTCTTCTTCTTGTAACCAGCCCCGGCTGTTTGCTCGCCCAGGCTCAACACAAGGCCTCAATGTGCCTCTAAACAGGTTGGCTGGAAACCCTTGCTTTGCACTTAGATTGGGGGTTTTGATCCGGGCTGGTTTCGGGCGAGGGTTGGGTGCTGAGATTTTGATAGTGCGTGCCCATCTGCCAATCAGAAACAAGTCACGCCATTGTCCGCCGCGAATATCGAAGAAGTCCACCGCGGAGCTGGCCTCCCCTGTCTTGTCAGTGCCGCCTGAATCGAAGGGGAAATCTGCCTATTTTGGGCCACGTCTTGTGAGATGTGCGTGCTGACACCCAAACCAGTCCGCTTCCCCTTCCATCTCCCCCATCCTCCCTCCGTTTCCATCCTCCCCCCAACCACCCCCACCCCGCCCCCAACCCTCTTCCCCCCCCCCCAACCCCCAACCCACCCCCATCTCCTTCCATCTCTCTCCATCTCCGTCCCAGGCGCCGATGAGGAAGACGTGGCCCTGCCGCGCCGCCGCCGCCGCGTCGCACCGCGGCCGCGGCATCGGCGGCAGCGTCTCCCAGCTGCTGTCGAAGCGCGCGCAGCTGGCGACGCAGCCCCGGCGCCCTGGCGACGAGCCCGCAACAAATGGGCGGTTTGTTTTTTTGTTCAGGTAGACCCCGTTTTTTGTTTCTTTTTTTTTCCTTCTGGCCTTTGGTTTGGAGCCGAAAGAGCCGAACAAAAAAAGCATTTTGTGGGGGAACGCCAATATTTCGTGGGTCGGATCGGATGCTTTTGGTTTCCCTAAAAACCAAAAAAGACGAGGCTCGCCGGTTCGAGAAACCCTCGAGACCACTCCTCCTCTGCTCGCCTTAGGTTTTGTTTTACCCCAAATCGCACCAAGTTTAACATGGGACCAACATATGGAAAGCTTAGCACCCTGTCTTGGCTGGGAGAGAGGTTTCGTGCGGAATGGGCTTGGTTGTCAAACGAGGTAAGTCTTTGCCACATGGTCAATGTGCTTCGCCCAGCCGTTGCAGAAGTACAAAGCGAAGCAAGCTACCAGGCCCTGGCAGCTGGGTCTTGCCTTGCCCAATATGATCATTCATCCCCTGATTCAAGGAAGCTGCAAACAAAGCACATACCTCAGATCCCCCGCTAAAAGTTTAATTTTTAGCGGGCTAAATGGAAACTACAACTAAACACTAAAAGGCCAAAAAGCTAAGGAACCGGATGGCTGGGAGCCACCAAACAACAATCCAAGAAACTGAGACAGGACGTCTCAGAGATAGAGCAATCGTGTCCTGCAGGTCGGCTAGTTGCCACCAAGCAGCCACTGCCTCCCAAGGCATAGATGGCGGAGCCTGACGTGGCTCGCGCCACATCTTGCTCAATGACAAGGCTCCCATAGTGATTGGGGCAAGCAGCACCAGCAATCATGTCTGAGATACGGGATATCCATGCATGTAAACAGAGAGAGAGAGAGAGAGAGAGAGAACGAGCAAACGAAAGCAAGGAGCAAGATGTAAAAAAGACGGGAAGAACGAAAGAAACAACAAAATTAGCAAAAGAAAGACAGAAAAGGCCGGAGAAGAAAGAAAGACAGAAAGAAGGAACAACCAAATGAGGAGAAGAACAAAAGAACGGCAGGAAAGGAAGGAACGGAAGGAAGAAAGCAGAAATGAAAAGAAGGAATGGAAGGCAAAAGAAAGGAATAATAAGCAAAGAAAAAGAGAAACAATCCGGGAAACTAAGAAGGGAACTACGAAAGCAAGATGAAGAATTACGTGTTCGTGGGTGCAAGGCTCCTGGCAGCATGTGACAAGTCTCCCAGAAATCCCCACCTGAGTCATAATCAAACCTGGTATAAAAATGGTCGACCCAGAACCATGTAAAGAATCAAGAAGGCGGCCGCAGCTATTTCTGGCCGGGATTGTCCCTTACTACCCTCCAATTGCCCGGGTTTTGATTGTGGCTCACCTGCTGTGGCGAGGGCGAAGCGGGTGCAATCGTCCCCTGGTCGCCGTGGCAGCTGCCACCACTGCTGCTGCAAAGCTCGCCAGCAGTGGAAGGACCTCAGACCCGTCGAAAATCCGGAGATCGAGGCCAGCGAAAGCGTGTGGGGGCTGGGGGGGGTAGGGAGGGGAGGGGGAGGGAGCCCACATAAGCCCCAAATAAGGCCTTAATAAGGGCTTAATAAGGGTTGTTTTGGCTCCCTCTCCCTCCCCAGCCCCCGTGAAAAGAGTGTTTTTGTTCGTTCTGTTGGCCGCGAGGCCTATCTGGACCGGCTTGCCGTCCCTGGCCGTCCCTGATCCCCTCATGCCTGTGCCCTTTCTGCTTGCAGCACTTTTCGATCATTGGCTTGTATTTTGTGTCTGTTTACATCAGTGTTGTTTGTTCTGTTCAATCTGTGGTTGTATTGTTGTGCTTGTTTATACAAGCCCGTGCCCAGTGTGGTATCGGAAGAGATGTCTCCACAAACCAAGAGAGACGCTGACGAGATGGTCAGCTAAAGGGAATCTGAAAGTCGATTGCGGCCTAGGCTCGACCGCCATGCGGTACCAGCGGAGGCTGCATCCTGACCGGCTGTGAGAATGTAGAGGTCGCTCCGCCGCGATGCAACGGCATAGTAGGAGCCCAGAGGGCACAAAGGCACTGGCTCGAAACTGCAGGATCGTGGGCAGAAGACGGACAAAGATGGCGGTCTGCTGTTCCTCGGCAATATCAAATGGCTAATCTAAGCTGTCTATCCTGCCATGGGAATCGCAGCGCTTTCAGCATATACTGGGCTTGTCTTCTGTAGTATCTTGTGATTTGCTCATGCAAAGCAACACCTAGGAACCAACAACAATGTGTCCATGGGTGAAAACCCTGTACCCCCAGTGAATATCCCAATCCCCACTAAAATAGGTCCTAAAATGGGTGGTGCACCTATCCCAAAATGGTACCATTGGTTTTGAACCATGGCCACCATCGCCACTCATCCCCCACAATACCCCAACAAATCCCCCCCCAAAAAAAGTCCCAAAAAAGCGTCCCCCCGGGTCGCCGCACGTCCCCGCCGCCTGTTCCACGCCACCCCCGGCCGTTCCCCAACCGCCGAACCCAACCATCCGGGCGTGCTTGTACATACCCCTTTTACATACCCCTTGGACAAATGAACCCAAAAGGCCTGATGTTCATACCCCTCTCCCCAAACGATATATATATATATATATATAATATACCCCTGAAGTGTGTTGGAAACAACCGAAGCCAAGGAACCGCTATGAACCAGGGCTATGTACTTCCACCCTTAGCTGATGTGATTAAACACGCAACATGCGATGGTTGCCTTGAAGTTGAGGATCAAACACTAAGTTGATGCGCTCCTAGCTTGTACTTCCACCCTCAGAACCCGGCGAAGGCGCCAGGCGCTGAGGACGTAGACCTTTGCTGTCGCGCGGAGCTGCGGCATGGCCTGGCGCGCCGCAGTGCGCAGCTGCCGGGAGCCAGCGGAGAGCGCCAGGCAGCACGTGCAGCCCGCGGCCAACAACAGCGGCACCGCCACCTCCTGGTGGCAGAAACGAAGGAAACAAACGGAGTCGTTTTTTTTGGGTTGGTGGGTTTGGATGGGTGGGTTTGGATGGGTGGGTTTGGATTTGGATGTGAAGCCTTGGTTCTTGCCAAATGGGACAGATCTCCTCACCAGTCCAAAACACAAATCCAAACCACGGTTCGGAGTTCGGGGAAAGCTGCAGAGGCAAGGGGTAGACGGTATAGATGATGGAACCCGCCCTCTTGGAATCGGGGAGAGGAATGATCTTCTCGGGAAAGGTACTGTTGATTCGGCCGATCAATCTGAATTATTGCAAGCGCTGTCCTGCAGCTCGATCACCGAGAGCGGCGCATCCTCAGTAATCAAAGCCTAAATGAAGCAAAAACAACCAGCCAACACTGACTCACTGACTCACTGACTCACTGACTCTCTGACTCACTGACTTACTGACTCGCTGACTCTCTGACTCACTGACTGGCTGACTGACTCACTCGCTCATTGACTCACCGACTCACTAACTCACTCCAGGTTCACCTTGCCCTTTCCTGATCTAACATGCGGTGGTTTGATTTCGTAACGTCGCCGAGTTCATCGAACAATGTTTTTGTGGTAGAAAGACTGGCCGTGCCAATATACTGGTTTGCACATAAGATTTACTCTATCCTGGGATACTCCCATACAAATCAACCATAGAACCCGAAAGGGGGTCCTCCAAGAGGAGATTCCTCTACAGTCGTGTTGCTTCTTCAGGTTCCATGTCATCCGCAGGTAGATCTTTGCCCATATCGACTTCGAATCCCATGGATGTGTCTTTAGTTCCCGTTTGAACCCAGCCCGAAAAGGGCATAGGAAGAAAGAAAAGGGGCGCCTTTGGCCTTGGGCGCTTGCCGAATGCAGCCCAAGAATCTACAAGGTGCGCCTTCTCTGCCGGCAGAGTTTGGTCTAGGAGGGTCCGCAACAGCCGCAAATCCACCTCCATGCGGCAAGCAAAGCTAATCCACTAGCTGCATGGGAAACTTAGGGCAAAAGCACAATGCCAGGGTTTCGGTGTTCAACAAGCAACAACTGCCAGGAGACTCTGAAAGAGCCTCATGCCTGTGCTGGTTCATCTTCGTGGCTCGCGCCTTGGGCGTCTTCCAGCTGGTCTCTGGCGCGCCAGGCACCTTTCAAGACCCATCCACCCACCCACCCCGGCCCCCCCCCAAACGAGTTGCTCAGAGCTGTTTCATTGCCAAGGAAAGAAACTCGTGGCCAGGTGTCTGTGGTTGAGACATCCGTGTTCATGGCGAGTGAGAGGCCCCCATCTGTCTCCACTTCCCCACCACTATCTGCATGAGATGTGGTCACAGCTTAACGTGCTTGTGAGAATTAAGAGGCTTAAGAGCCTTCTCGGCCAAAGGACCATCCTTCACACCCGGAACACAACATGCACAGCCACTGCTTCGACGACAGCAATGACCACATGAAACCCATGCAATGTTGTAAAACAAACCGCTTGCACCTCCCCGAAACACAAGAGCTCGCGAGTTTGCTTTCTTGCGCAAAAACGCAACACTTGGCTGTGGCTCAAAAAAGTGGTACCAAAATGGCACCTTGGTAAATGGAGCCAAAGACTAAAATCTGCGTAACCGTAGCTCTTGAATTTTGAGCCACACCCACTTACCCAGAGGTTTGGGGGGGGGGTTTCCCCGTAACCTCGCCAGGTGTCCCTCCCACGACTTCGCGCGACTTCGTGCGATCGCGCGCGGCCTCCAGGCTGAGCTCGGCCGGCAGCGCAGTGAGGCCCAGGAAGAGGCGCAAAGCCCCGTGGGAGAGGGAGGGGTCCAAGCGCAGCACCGCCTCCAGGTACTTCTGCAGCTCCTACAGAGTCCAATAGGACCTGGTTGAAGGAACATGGGCTGGAGCCTGGGGCCCTGGTTGAGAAGAGACTCAGATCTTGACAAGGTTTCAGGATGAAAGGATTCGGTTTCGAACGAAGTGTTGAACTGTTCAGGGTGGAGAGACTGTGTATCTGAGGGAAGCTGCAGCGGCATCCCAAAGAGCAATCTCAGATACAGGGACCAAGCATGGGTCGGGGTGCCTTCCGCATTTCCGCAAAGTCGGAATGTACTGTGCCAAAGTGGTCGGTGCTTTTCTGGGCCAGCTGGGGGCTGGCTCAAGCGCAAGTGTCTAAGGGAGCCACAAGACAGCCCTTCCTGAGGGCGAAACCGGCCAACGCAATCTCGGAGCCAGATTCATATCTGTAAAGCGGGTGTGTGTTTGTTTCCAACGCAAGAAAGGGTGCTTGCAAGGGGGCACATGTATTGGAGAATGCCGGGGGCTGCTTTCGGCAACTGTGTTTTATTCCATTCCGCTGGCAAAGCTCAGACTCAGATCCAATGGTGGCCGTGGAGTGTGTTTGGGGGGTCTACTCAAAAGAGCAGAAGTAACCAAGCAAATAATTAGGCAAACACCAGACCCAATCTGTGCCATATCAAAGTGCCAGATTGTGCCAGTCGGGTACGCCAGCGTCCCGTAGGTGGGTTGGTGGTCATATAAGATGTCACGCTGCTCCCGTTCATCTTGAGAGCAGGGAACAATAATCGCTGGTTCAGTTGGCCGTGGGTCAAAACCAATGGTACCATCTTGGGGTAGGTGCACCACCCATTTTAGTCTATTTTAGTGGGGATTGGGATGTTCACTGAGGGACGGGATTTTGACCCATGGCCAGTTCACAGATGTTCACAGTAGTTCCTCAAAGCTCGACTTGCAATGAGTCGGGCCTTCACAGCTTCATTCTTCCGAACTAACACACAGCGATCTAATCAGCCTGTCTAAGCTTCAAAGCACGCGTTCCGAAGATTGTTGCCAAGGAGGCCAATGCTTTTGCTTGGTTTCTTCCAACAGCATGGCTGCACGTGGTCATTTTTCACCGGCAGCTGATCCTCAAGTTGAGCTCCAAATGGAAAAGAAAAACCAGCAGCCCCCAAAGCCCATTGACTTTTGGTCGTACTATTTTTTTTGTCAAGGTTTCTGACCCGCACCGTTTTCATGTGTTTGGGCTTTTTGCTGAAACTACTGGGGCGCGCGATCAACAGCACTTGCTCAGCTCTGCACGCACGCCTGCCTAATGATAAGCACACCCGCTCACGGGTACTCTCTCAGCACTGCACACGCGCCTGCCAAACGCTACGCGCACTCGCTCAAGAGCACACGCTCAGCATAGCATGCATGCCTGCCAAATGAGAAGCGCGCCCGCTAAAGAGCACATGCACTGCACAGTTGCCTGCCAAGTGATAAGCACCCGCTCAAGAGTACACGCTCAGCACTGCAATAAGCATGACTGCCAAATGATAAGCGCAATCGCTCCAGATCACATGCTAGTAGAACCCACAAGCTACAAGGAATAAACATTGACTGTCGTATATCGTCTCACAAAATCCAAAGCAACGCGCCAGTGCCCGTTCGGCGCGCGCGTTTCGGGGGTTTCGGGCGCTCCCCTGCCTTCTGCCGCTCCGCGATGAACTGCTCCTCCTGGTCCCCGAAGAACAACTTGCCGAGGCCATAGGCGCGGCGCGTGGGGAGGGCCGGAAGCTCCGCCCCAAACTTGGAGCGCAGCAAGTTGTGGAGCTGGAAAAGATCCCGAAAGCGGCGGTTCACCTGCCAAGTTGTTTAAGGAACTTTGGGCTAGCATCTACCATGGCATGGCTATGAAGGTTTATATAGGGAGCACAATCCCAAAACAGGAAGAAGCACGCGAAAGCTGGATGCGAACCTTCCAGTGCTCGCCATCTCTCCGGATCTCGATGCAGTACTTCACATGGGAACTCTCCCTCCGTATGCCAGAAATCTGCACCGCGAAGCCCGCGCCATAACCGCCATGCATGCCGCAAGACTTCAAGTGCCCGCTCGCCGCATTTGCGGTTACCGCGAAAAACGGGGGGCACAATGAAGCTGAAAGCTGAAGCATCCTGAAGTCTTAACCATGTTTCCCATGGTCCTGTGATTGTGTCAATCGCACGAAACTAGCAGCTGCACATGAGATGAAAGAGGCCCGTGTGCCCGTTGAGTGATGAATCTCGGACAGCGCAAGTCTCTGATACATGGCAGTCACATCAGAGCTTGCATGCCGTACTCACCCCGGACATGCTATGTATATATATAATTTTGTATCAGGTTCTAGGTCCGCCCCTTCCACCAATGGTCATGGCAACCCGCCCGCCCCCCCAGCAGCCCGGTGGAGTGGCTGTGGCTGTCGGGAGGGATCCATTTGGGGCGGGGGGATCCATTTGGGGAGGGGGGGGGAGGGCTGGACCGGGGACCGGGAAGTCAGAAATTTTGCAGAATGTATCGCCTCACATCGCTGGTTCCTTGAGCGCCTCAGCGTGTTCGGTGGAATTAAGGCCCGGGCTGCTCTCGTAGGGGTCAGTCATACGAATGGCCAGCATGAAGTCCTTCGCTCAGTTCAACTTCTCCATGTCCAAAAGCTGAAGATATGGATATGGGTCAAAATGAAAACACCAGACCGCAGGGTCAAAAGTCCATGTGTCCACTTTCCAGGGCAATCCATTTTGGGTACCCATGATTGACCCACAGCCATGTGGGATCAAGTACGGGCCCATCATGGCGAGCTCAGCTTACCGAAGTGAGCTTGCCATCAAATAGGCGGACAAATGCGTGCAGAACCCAAGCTACTAGCTGATGCTCGCGGAAGCAGCGCCTGTGTGTCTATGGCGTGGAATGCCATGTTGTCGCGCACACCTGAGTGAGGGCGAGGGAAGTCACAACCCTTCTAGAAATCTGTTTGGATGTGGCAAATCTGTGGGTCCACCCCTGTAGAATATCTAAAGAGTACCAAAAGATGACCAGAAAAGGACCAACAGGGGAAAAACACCGCGAAATCCACAAGCACCGCAAATCCAAGCCATTTTCTAGATTCCCTGGGCGAATCGAGTAAGCGATGCAGCACTTGCTGGGGCGAATTTCAACAGATCAGCCTCAGTCGCCTCAGCGCCTTGCACTTGCCAGCGATGGGAACCTTCGTGCGCGGGCAGTGCTCCACACATGCGCCATCGACCTCAGCGAGCCGCATTCCAACCCCAAAAACGGGTACCCAAAAAAAGGCACAGCCACATGCTGCAATGACCAAATGACATGCCATCAGGGTTTGTGACAAGCAGGGAATTTGTGCGAAATCGGCTGCACAAAGGGCCCTTGCAAGCACCAACGGCACTGGGCATGATGGGCGCACGATCACCATTCCCACCTTGGCACAGGCGCATTCAAAGCTGGCAAGAAAGCTGCAACATTCTCATTACAGCGTTCGTGTAAGCGCTCAGCATCGTATAACCGGCCCACGTGGTTTGCGCAGACCTTAGATGTCAAAAACTTGAACACAAAAGACTTGTCGGCCAGACTTCTTACACCAAAATCTTTGTGTGTGTGTGTGTGTGTTCCGGAACAAACTGTCGGCCAAAGGGGCTCGGTAGATGCCCGTGGAAATAGACGTCATGCCTGGGCACAAACACAATGCGTTCGCCAGCTCAACACTTTACCCGGCCTTCATAAGTGACCTGATCCCGACCCTCGGACACGGCCTGGGGCAAACCGAATGCACAGGCTGCGTTTGTCAAGGTCTCCAAGGCTGTGCTTGTTGTCTTGCTTCTCAATTAGCCTCTACAAGCGCGTGGCCTGGCTAAGTGGCTCCGAGAAGGCATTCAGGATGGTCGGGCCTGAGCCGTACTGATCGCAGTTCGATGCTCGCGAGCCGCAAGCCCGCGGCCTATGAGGTTAAAGCTGCAGAGCTGATTCTCGGGCAAGAAGTGCACCGAATCCTGCGCTCCAAACACTCGCGCGCGGCTGGCGCGAGGCTCAGTACAAAACTGCTTGTCCTCCTGCTGCAGATTGAATCCAAGCACGCTCATGGGAAAGACTTCGTCCACCCGGGCATCACAGCCACACCTGCCATATCTCATGCACCAATCTTGCTTCTCTGCGGTTTGCACGCGAGAAACCCTCCTGGCTGTCAATGGCTCAGCATTGGGAGCCCCCCCAAAAATTAAAAGGCTGCCCTGTCATGGTCATGATTTCTGGATTCCGTGCATACCACATATAACCCTACACCAGGCGTACTACACCAAGCGTTTCTTGACCTAAGCCAACAACAACCAAAAACGTTTGACAATGGCATGCGCTGCTGCAAGCCACCAGGCTGCGGCCAGCCTCAGCAGCTCCGTGGGATTGCAGGGGTCCGTGAGCGGCGGGTTGCAGTCGATGGCCGTAGAGCATATCTCAGATGCAAAAGAGAGGCAGCCACTGACTCTTCACGGAAAAACTGGAAATCAAGTGAAGGCTTTCCATTTTCTTGCCATGCGGAACTCTCTTCTGAGTCCGTGCATCTGCTTAGCTGTAATTATGAAGGCTCTGCTCCTGCGAGCTGGAAAACAAAAGGGGGGCTGAAAAATCCCAGCCTGCCAGGAACGGCAAAAGATGGCAGCTACAATTCTCAAACAAACTATGGTTGTCTGGATCTAGCATTCATGACTCGCCTTGCGATTCGAACCGAAGCGCAGCTGCTGATCTTTTTGCTGGCCAGGTACCGGGGACGGGCTGCGTGTGCCAATCTCGTACTGGTACATGCAGAAGAGGTGTCCTGCGCGCTGGCTGCTATCAAAGATCGTTGGTACTGTGGATGGACGAAATCCTGCACCACCTAAGAAGCCCTGGAATGATGATTCCCCTGTAAATACCAACAAACAATGGTTTCCCATCGTTTATCAGTGGTGCAGGATTTCGTCCACCCACAGTATTTCCTCCAGTTCCCTTTTAGAACCTCCAAACGTGGCGATCGTTTCAAGCCACCAGTATATAAATCGAAGATCAACTTTTGATGTGGTGAAATGGCTGTGGGTCAAACATATGGTAACCCAACATGGGTTGCCCTGGTAAATGGAAACATGGACCAAAACCTGTTGTCCCCTGTTTTTTTTTTTGTTTTTTTTGCAGTTTGACCCATACCTCACCAAGGTTAGTCTAGGGTCACAAATAAACCCAAAATGCGAAAGATGCGGAAGGCAACTCAAGTAACTCTGCTCTTGCAAAGGTAGGGTGACAATGGTCTCAATGGAAAAAGCGCATGCCTTGAAAAGCAGACACGCAATGATGGCTCGCAGCAAAGGCCTACACCTAGATACGATTATTCAAGAGACATGAGCCAAGCTTCCGGAATTCTTGTAGGTTCAGAGTTTTTTTTATCACATCCTGTGCATACCTGCCACAGATTGGGCTTGCAGCGAGTTCTGCTCAGCATTTTTGCTTGCCGGACTTGTTTTTTCGCCCTGCGTAAAAACCCCCTCCTGCGAATGGGCCGTTCCCCACCATGGGCGAAGTCTTGATGGGCTCCTCCCTGCAGTCAGATCGAGTCCCGGCACCCTCATCCGGATCGAGGGAAGTTGGGCTTAAGACGGATGGTCATCGCCCATGTGGCTGTGGCTCAAAAACCCGGAAGTCCAAAATGGCGGAAGCCCTGGCAAGTGGAACCAAAGACTAAAACCTGAGGAAAGCCCAACCGGTACCAAAATCCTGGCTCTTTAATTTTGAGCCATACCCATTTAGAGCTAAGCACAAGGTCCTGATCCACCGTTGCTCAAAAGGTACAAAGCAAAACCCAGCAACGGCTCATCGCAATGTTGTCACAGTGCACTGACCCCCCGGCCAGGCGACGCTAAGGCTGGCACTGGATGTTGTTGACCGAGGAAATTCGGATCGATGCATCCTGAAGGGCATTCCATCTAATTCACCGGCCGAAACTATGACGCACGACTGCCATGCGAAGCTGGGCTTGTGACGTTGGCGTTGAGAGCAGCCGGCAGGATGAAGCCCTGTGCAGGGCTACTCTGTGCATCCGCGTGGTCCTTTGAGGTTGGACCCCTCCAACATGGTGCTCCTTCTGGCTCCCCCTTTAGAACTCCCGGAGAAAAAAAAGAATGAAAAAGGGAGAAAACAAAAGCAAAAGCAAAAAACGGGTACCCTCAAAAGAGACAGACCCAATCGGAGTTCTTTTCTCCAAAACTGTCATCCAAAGGCCTGACTCTCCTCAATGACAAGGTTCAGCATGCTGAAGGCCGGAATCACTTCCCTTCTGGGAACTGTCAGCCTATCAGGCGACAGTTCAAGGTGGCTGTGGTGGTCAAAAATCGGGTGACCCCAAAATGGCGCAAGCCCTGGTAAATGCAACCAAGGACTAAAACCTGCGGTCCATATCCTGGTGCTTCATTTTGACCCATAGATGGCAAATCAATCGAATCTGCGCCTCAGCTGAGCAGTCGTCTCGTTCCAATAGCCCATGGAATTTTCGATGCGATAGCGGTCCTGACTGGAGACTGATGGCAATGTTTGTTGTGTCGAAAGAAAGCGTTGCTTGCAGGGTGCGTCTCCCATGATGTGGATGTTCACCTTGGACAGGGAGTTCCGGAAACCAGGCCTCGGCAAAATGGAGGCACTGGACTCTACAAGACACGCGTCCAATCCAAGCGCTCCGCGCCGCTTTTCCGACACATGTTCTCCCACAAACACAATATATCAATATATACATACATATTGTATATATCTATATATGATATATATATATATTAATTAATTTAGTAGATTATCCCAGTCTGCCGGATCAGCACGTCAGAGTCGAGGCCATGTCAGTGAGCTGCCCGGCCAGCTGCAAGTCCGTAGGCACCTCGACGACTTCAGAGACATCGCCGCGGGCGCCGCGGCGCTTTCTCTTTCGGTTGCTCGCTTCAGCGCATGGCGTCCAGCTGCTTCCCAAAGGCGATGCAGCCCCGGTGGTCGCAGCGCAGAGCCACCCGCGCCTCCGTCTGCGTGGCGTAGGGGATGCTCCGATGGCTCAAGAGCCGCCAGATGTCGCCGTCGCGCGTCCACGTCTGAGTGGCCAACAGCGTGGGGCCCAGGACTGGAAATTCGATACAGGTGGTAATGGCTGTCTTGTCCGAAATCACGCAGTCACTGCTGGCAGTGCGCAACTGGGGTCGGTTTTGTAGTGACAGGACCACATCCCAGGTGCTCAAATTGCTGCGCTGCCCATCCACCTGCAGGACGCTGCTGAGCTCGGCATCGTCAATCTTCGCCTTGGACGTACAGGAAATGTCCATAGTGAAAGAGTCTGCAGCTAAGCCGAGCCAAGCATCAAACATGGCTCTCACTGCAGCCTCATCGCCCTCGCATAGACTCTGGTAGAAGCGCTCCTGCAAACCAATCACAGGGTGATAGCTGCAAGTCTGATGCGACAGTCACCCCCTTCACGAGCGCAAACGTTGGTTGCTTAAAACGAAATACGGAAGCCTTCAGGGTTCACAAAGTACAGTAGCAACTACAGTTTTAGCTGTAAGACACACGGTTCATACATTGACCCCGTGTGGAAGTTGCAAAAAGGCGCCAAACAGTGCCAGAAATGTGGCTCAAGGCTTGGTTCTCTTGTGACTCAAAAGCATCAAGACTGCAATGTGGCAACCAAGCAAAAACTGTTCCAAGTCAAGACGATAGTTCGATGCCTACCTGCAGTCAGTCAGCTTTCAGCTGGGCACGCGTTGTCCTTGACCCTTTCAGCTTGCAGAAAACGCTCAACCAAATACCCTTGCCAAGGTTTGCGGAGCTCTTGCAAGCCGAATGGTTGCCCTCATATCTCAAGGCAAGGACCGGTAACTTAAGTCCAACTAAACAATGTGCGTGTTGCAAGCACACTGGAAGAACAATTTGGACAAGATCTGCACATCTTTTGTAAGAAACAAAGGCAGGAAGAAAGAACCTGACTGGAAGAACACCACGGGGGGTTCCTGGAGCTAACCGCACAGATCTTGACTTCCAACAGTTGGGGTTGTCTCAAAGGGGACCCCCAAAATGATTGGCGTCCTGCTTATTTCCCGAGTCTCCCCCCCTCCCCCCCCGACGTTGAATGTTTCCCAACGGGTGGATTCCCTCCTTTCAATGGGGAATCCTCTCACTTGATTGGATTGACAAAACGCCCAAGCTTGCTGTTTGGCTTTCTTTGGGTGTGCCTTTTTGTTGAGGACCCTGTTGGGAAGCCAACAGCCAAGACGAAATCCATGTTGGGGTGCTCCAACCTCCAAAAAAGTGTGGCTTGCAAGGGCTTTCCCAAAAGGAACGCCCTTGCACCACAGTTTCTGGGGCCCATCTCCAACCCCTAAAAAAAGAAACGAAGACGCGCCACGCTAAGGGTCGATTTTTTTTTTAGGTGTTTCTTTTTTGCCAAAAAGGCAACAACAAAACAAAAACATGACTTCCGACTTCCCTTCTTCGCCTCCCCTCGACGCGGTTTTATGCGCGGCTCGCGGCTCGGTGGCTCGTGCCTGCTCCGCCTCCAGACCCTCGGCCCAGCTGCAGCGCGGCTCCGTGGAGCTCAGCGGCGCGGCGGGCGGCGTCGCCGCCAGCAGCTCGTCCCAGACCGGGGCCCCGAAGTCGCTGCCGAAGACCCGGCCCCGGAGATTCAGACCTCGGCCAGGCGGGGAGACGAGCCGAGAAACGGGCGAAGGGGGGAGGGCGAAGCGAAAATGGGCGAGCAAGGTGGGGGGGGGGCAGACCCAAAAGAAAGGGGACCGGCCTTTGGGTGAGGGAGGAAGGGAGGGAGGAAGGGGAGGGAGGCGAGAGGGGAGGGAGGGAGAAGAAAATAAGGAAATGGCCCCCTTTGAATAGGGAACCACCTGAAAAGTGGATGGTCCCACATTCAAGTTTGGGTATGGGTCAGAATTAAACCACCACAAAAAACCGCAGGTAATAAATTATGCTTCTCCATTTATCAGGGCAAGCCATTTTGGGGTCACCCTACTTTTGACCACCACAGCCATATCGCTCCTTGGGAACTCAAAAGGTGCCAGGGCTGGCATGGCACCCACCCAAAGGCCGCTCTCCGAGCGCTGGTCCTTGCTCTCGAGCAGGCTCTCAAAGTAGCTCCTGCAGTCCATTCGGCTCCCTCAAAGTGAACACGTTCAGGTCTCAAAATTACTTTGGGTGGTGTTCCCTTTACATTGCCGCGAGAAAAACAATATCCGAGGATGTCAGTTTAATGGACGGAATGCTCGAATCACTCAAAACAAACAAGTCCCGTACATGGAACTCGCCAGGCCAATTTTAGAGGCAAGTCCAAACCAACGGGCCCGCAATCCCCCCCCGTTTTCCATCTCTTCCAACATGCGTGTGTGTCTTCTGTTGCAGGCTACTTTTCCTCTGGCTTGGTTTTCCAGGGAACCCAAACGGAAGAAACCGGTTCTCGCGCCCTTTTGGCGGCTCCGGGGGCCCCCGGAGCCGCGCTGCTCCCCTCCCGGCGCCTCCAGCGTCTGAGCTTCCGCGCCTTCGCCAGCCAGGGCCGCGCCTGGCGCAGCAAAGTCTCGGTGCCGAAGGCGCCGAAGGCCGCCTCCGAGCGGAAAGCGGAAGGCGGAAGCCGCTTTCCGCCGGCGTTTCCGTGAGATGAGGCGACGGGGGTCACTGGAAGTCGGTCCTTTTAAAAGGGAACCACCTGAAAAGTGGATGGTCCCACATTCAAATTCATCCCATATGGGTATGGGTCAAAATGAAACCAGGAATTGGAGAAAACATGTGCTGTCATGGTCAGCACCAATAATGTGCTGACAACTTCCTCCAGCTTGGATTGGTCTTCTGTTGGGTAGCGCTTTAACCAAACACACCCCTTCATACGCACACCCGGCCGCAAGCTGCAAAAAGATCCGTTGGTTGCCTGCCTGTGGTTTGACTCAGCTGTTCCATTGGCAGCGCATGGGCGGCGCCTCTTGACAAGTACTTGAAGCTGAGGAACGCCCGACGGAAAGGGGGACCAGTTGGTGGACATCATTTACGTGGGCATCTATATATGTCCACCAACCTTGCTGGAGAAAGGCAGAGCGAGAGAGGGAAGAAAAGAAAGAAAGAAAGAAAGAAAGAAAGAAAGAAGGAAGGCAAGAAAGAAAGAAAGAACGAAACAGAGAAAGAAAGAAAGAAAGAAAGAAAGAAAGAAAGAAAGAAGGAAGGCAAGAAAGAAAGAAAGAAAGAACGAAACAGAGAAAGAAAGAAAGAAAGAAAGAAAGAAAGAAAGAAAGAAAGAAGGAAGGCAAGAAAGAAAGAAAGAACGAAACAGAGAAAGAAAGAAAGAAAGAAAGAAAGAAAGAAAGAAAGAAAGAAAGAAAGAAGGAAGGAAGGCAAGAAAGAAAGAAAGAACGAAACAGAGAAAGAAAGAAAGAACAAAAAAAAAAGAAAGAAGGAAGGCAAGAAAGAAAGAAAGAACGAAACAGAGAAAGAAAGAAAGAAAGAAAGAAAGAAAGAAAGAAGAAAGAAAGAAAGCAAGAAAGAAAGAAAGAACAAGAAAGAAAGAAAGAAAGAGAAAGAAAGAAAGAAAGAAAGAAAGAAAGAAAGAAAGAAAGAAAGAAGCAAGAAAGAAAGAAGAAAGAAAGAAAGAAAGAAAGAAAGAAGGAAGGCAAGAAAGAAAGAAAGAACGAAACAGAGAAAGAAAGAAAGAAAGAAAGAAAGAAAGAAAGAAAGAAGGAAGGCAAGAAAGAAAGAAAGAACGAAACAGAGAAAGAAAGAAAGAAAGAAAGAAAGAAATAAAGAAAGAAAGAAGGAAGGCAAGAAAGAAAGAAAGAACGAAACAGAGAAAGAAAGAAAGAAAGAAAGAAAGAAAGAAAGAAGGAAGGCAAGAAAGAAAGAAAGAACGAAACAGAGAAAGAAAGAAAGAAAGAAAGAAAGAAAGAAAGAAAGAAGGAAGGCAAGAAAGAAAGAAAGAACGAAACAGAGAAAGAAAGAAAGAAAGAAAGAAAGAAAGAAAGAAAGAAAGAAAGAAAGAAGGCAAGAAAGAAAGAAAGAACGAAACAGAGAAATAAAGAAAGAAAGAAAGAAAGAAAGAAAGAAAGAAAGAAGGAAGGCAAGAAAGAAAGAAAGAACGAAACAGAGAAAGAAAGAAAGAAAGAAAGAAAGAAAGAAAGAAGGAAGAAGAAAGAAAGAAAGAACGAAACAGAGAAAGAAAGAAAGAAAGAAAGAAAGAAAGAAAGAAAGAAGGAAGGCAAGAAAGAAAGAAAGAACGAAACAGAGAAAGAAAGAAAGAAAGAAAGAAAGAAAGAAAGAAAGAAAGAAAGAAAGAAAGAAGGAAGGCAAGAAAGAAAGAAAGAACGAAACAGAGAAAGAAAGAAAGAAAGAAAGAAAGAAAGAAAGAAAGAAATAAAGAAAGAAAGAAAGAAGGAAGGCAAGAAAGAAAGAAAGAACGAAACAGAGAAAGAAAGAAAGAAAGAAAGAAAGAAAGAAAGAAAGAAAGAAAGAAGGAAGGAAGGCAAGAAAGAAAGAAAGAACGAAACAGAGAAAGAAAGAAAGAAAGAAAGAAAGAAGGAAAGAACGACAGACACGCAGGCAAACAAACAGAGGGGCAAAGGCACGGCATCTGTCGCATCCGTCCTGGCCTCTTCAGATCCTTCCAGGGAGGAGCACACTGGGAGAATCAGCACGTCGCTCTGCTCAAATCGCCTGTGCATACGGTCAAAGTGCAGGTTCCTCGTAATGGACGTGGGAAAACGAGTGGTTTCCCCTCGCGTGCCAAATGTGCGCCACCCTCATGAACCTCATAAATCTCACGTCATATCACTTGCCAAACGGTAATTCAACCATTGGGAGGAGAAAATCCACCAGATCTGCTGCACAGATTGTTCTCCAAACAAGGGCCACCCTCGGGAATTCACCCCCTCATATCCACCAGCTTCAAGTTGCCATCTTCAAGCACCGCGTGCGCATGCGTGGTTGGCTCTACATGGCTGTGGCTCAAAATTAAGGAGCCAGGGTTACGCAGGTTAACTCTTTGGTTCCATTTACCAAGGGGGCCATTTTGGTACATGTATTTGAGCCACAGCCTAATATGATGAATACAATCTGAAGGAATCAGCTGTCACACTTGCATAAGCAACCACAGTATAATGGCAATCACCTTGCGTGTGGCTCAAAATTGAACAGCTGGGGCTGCGCAGGTCTTTGTCTTTCGTTCCCATCCAGGGTGCCATGTTGGGAAATGTCCCATGTTTTCCGCTGCCATCTCCACACGAGCCCAGCCCCGCCTCCGGTAGGGCAGAGCGCTGTGCAAGGCCCGCGTTACCTGCTGAAAGCTGCCGTACAGCGCCACCAGGCGCTTCTCGGAGCGCAGGGCCTACCGGAGGATCCGGCGAGCTCGGTGGACCCCGCGCCCGTGGGAAGTTGGGTTTTTTTTGGGCTTTCCGAACGCCCGCAGAATCCGTTCGCACAGCAAGTTGGGTGTCTTCAAATTGAAGCACCCCCCAAAAACATGGCGGGTGTTCCTCTTAGAACCCAGCAAAGAGTCCAAAGTGGTTGCCTACTAGGGGCATTTCAATTCTTGAGTCCTGCAGTCCTGCAGTTGGCAGGTCTTGGGCGCAGTGACATTCCAAAACTCCAGCGTCAGGTCCCCGATGGCATACTCCCGCTCCAACCGCACCAGCTGCGCCGTGCGCTTCTCCCGCTCCCGCAGGAAGAGGAGGCCGAAACCCAGTGTCAGGCCTATGGCCAGTGCGAAGTACCACCAAGGCACGTTGCTGGGAGCGAAGGCCGGAGAAATCAGGCCGCAAATGGTGAGGAAGAAATAGATGAGGATGCGCAAGGGTTCGGACTGGTTGGTGTTGGAGTATTGGATCAGCGCTTCACGCCTGAAGTCCTGTAGGGAAAGGGGATCAAATTCGGAGCGGCGGAGGAACTTCTGCTTGAAGTCCTTGTCGGCCCTGCGGCTCACCTCCAGTTGTCTGCCCGGGCCTCTGACATTTACGAAGCAAAGGCAGCTGAAGGCCAGTGCCAGGGCGAGGCAGCGACGTCTCATGCGAACATGCGAGGCCGTGGGTTTCACAGGATTCGAGGCTTTCTTCACTTGGGCACGGGCCAAAATTCAACTATTCGGGGACCGCTGGTTGAGTTGGTTCCATTTACCAGCAGACCCTATTTTTGACAACCACAGCCACTTGTTCATATATCAGTGACCTTGAGCCACACGGTGCATGTACACTCGAACATGGCCACATGGCGCTCAGCGCCGTGCAGCTGAGTGCAACCTCAGCCCTTTGAATGGCAGCCCAAGGCCCTCGCAGGAAGATGATGATGTCGTTGTCCTCCGTGCAAATGCATAGCATCTCCAATCAACACGTCAGCCGGTCTGTGATTGAGTCAAAGAACATCTGGGTTTGGTTTGGTGGGTACCCCGTTTTGGTTGGTTTTGAAGGGAACCAGAACGAAACCACTCATTTTTGTTTCGGGGGTCCCCTAAAAAAGGACACACCAGCCAGGTTGCAGGTGTGCGTTTTATTCCTGCATGAACTCGACAGACTCATAGAGGCAAGAAAAGCCAATTCCCAATGAGCGGTCACCCATCAAGGGCATGGACAAACTAGTGAGTCCCCTTGGTGGGAAGCTTAGTGAGTCTCCCATGTCCCTGACAAATTGACCCATCAACTGACATTTGGCCATGGGTCAAAATCCAAATCGTACCCCCAGTGAAAAAACCAATCCCCACTAAAATGGGTGGTGCACCTACCCCAAAATGGTACCGTTGGTTTTGACCCACGGCCATGTGTGACGGAACCTGATCTGAAACCCATGAAAAATCCACCGGTTTCTTCGTCGCCTCGGTGATGTTGACCGTTGGTTGCAGGATCATCCGCAGCTGAAAGATGCTGTCCTTCTGAGGTGGCCTCGACTCCACTCCCATTGACCCAAAAACGAAACACGGCAAAACCTGTATGAGTCGCATGTCTTCTTCTTCGTGGTTTGGCAGGGGAGACCAAAACAAAGAAGTTTGTTGTGTTGGATAATTTGTGTTTTGGGTCCAGCCCTTTTGAGACACGGCTATAGCTGGACGCCCATGTGTTCACACTCCACACTCAGCTTGCGGCGAATACACGAACTCAGAGACCTGGAAGGATCCTCGGACATTCATGGGATGAACCGCATTCCACGGCGTAAACCCAGTCAGATATCCGGGTTGCAACAACCACAAAACACTCCGGCAACCTGTTGACGCAGGTCCTCTGTTCACGTCAGCTGTGGAGTACACGCTTGCCAACTATATATAAGCATTGAGAGCGCAGCAATTCCAAATGTCCTTCCCGACTACGGGCACTTGTGTGTACTTTGACCATGCCTCGCTAGGTGCTTCTCTCTCTCTCTCTCTCAGAAAGAAGTGTTTCTCGGGCCGCATCTGGCTGTGGGCACACGGCGATCCGGTCGCAACTTGCAAGCAAGTCTCATAGCTTCTTGCTGGACCAGCTACAGGCTGCAACAACAAGACTGGTCAAGAAAGAGGATTGCATGAAAGCGGCTTCGCACGCAACAGTGCCTCAAGATGCGCCGAGCACACAGTTCCGTCACCCCGTTTGATGGGACTCGGCGGAAGCAGACTCAGTTGACAATCCCCTTAGTTTCGTTTGCATCCACCCTTGCGGACAGGAGTCGATCAACCACTCTCGGGGACGTCTTGATGGGCTCCTGTGGCAGGAGTTGCGCATCTTGCCAGCAAGCCGTTCTTAGTCCTTTCCAAACATCGCGCGTCGCAAAGATACTGTCAGTTGGAATGAGCAAGTGCGCCAAATGTATCCCGCCTCAAAGATCACAACATTCCTCAGGACGCGCAAGCAAGTGCTGAGCATGGCATAGTTCAATCATTGCCCTCATGTGTTTTGCCTCGTCCCTGCACGCTTTCCGAGCCCTGAGACCTTGCCTGAACCCTGCAACCGATGTCATCATTCCAGGCTTGGTACGATCGATCAGCGTGACAGATTTGCAGCACATACAAGAAGAATCGAGGGGAGATTGATATGTGACCCCAATAGACAATAGTCTATCCCGCGCAACGCAAGCGATATCCCCGAATCAAGAAGCAAACACTCATGACTATTCTGCGGGGTTCGCCTAGTGTGAAACTCACACACATACACACAAACACACCTATGTCCCGTATGTATGTATGTACGTACGTACGTACGTATGTATGTACGTATGTACGTATATACGCATGTCCGTATGTACATATGTACGTATGTACGTATATCTGTCTGTCTGTCTGTCTGTCTGTCTGTCTGTCTGTCTGTCTGTCTGTCTGTCTGTCTGTCTGTATGTCTGTCTGTCTGTCTGTCTGTCTGTACATTTTTCTATGTGCTTTCAACTTTCAAGCTCAGCAGTTTGTTCCTTGGGTGCCCGGCCCAATTGCTTGGATGGTGAGGCGCATGTCGTCCGGCAGCAGCGGGGTGCTGGGCAACCGGAAGCCCCCCGACTCCATGATGCGCAGCACCTGACGGTGTCTGGGTAGTGGCGACCTGTGACCTATGCATCAGTCAAAGAGGTGAGGGGAACTCCTAACAGGCTGTGGCTCAATAAAATGTACCCAAATGGCACCTGGGTAAATGGAACCAAAGATCAAAACCTGCGTAACCCTAGTTCAACCTAGTTCTTACATTTTGAGCCACACCCAAGTGAACAGTAAGACAAATACGGAATTGTCCAGTCCAAAGGCAACAGATCTGTTCACAAGATCCACGGAACCGTTTTGCTACTTGGCCGGCAATGGGACTTTCAGGGAAGGCATTTGCAATGGAACCGGACGCGCTGGGCTTCTCAAGTGCATTTGCCCATTGGTTCCCAAGCTTTGCTTTGGGAGGAATGAAAGCGGCACCGGGGTCGCAGCCGTGATGAGTTGCCGATAGATGGATTGCCCCACCGGCACCTGCAAGGTTGAGCATCAACAGTTGCAAGCTCCATGAGAGCTTTTGTTTTAGGTGCCCGGCTTAAAGGGGTTCCAAAAGGAAAATGCACCATTTTGGCCCCCCATATTTTGACACCCTGCCATGACTTTGACAGGGCTAAAGGAGCCGAATCTTGCGAGCCTGCCAAAACATGCCGGCAGCACCACCAGATCGAACGTGTTTGACAGTTGATCCCACTGACCGAAGCGGATAAAATCACCTGGGGATCGCAACATGCTGAGGGTCAGCTCGTTCATTCGCATTCATCGCACTCCCAAAGCTTGAAAACGATCATTGAGCGCATGGCTCAAGTCCTTTTCATTCAGCACTGGCACTTCCTGCGTCCCAATGGGAACCTCGATGTTCGGGTGCAGCTTAAATTCAAACTGGCGGACACGCATTTCAACAGGCTCAACCCCAATCCGCAAGCCGCCGATTGCTTCAGTGAGTCTTGTGCTGGCCTGTGCAAGCTCATGTCCAAGATAGGGCTTCATGTTTCAATTCCCCCAAGGTACACTTCAGCCCCGCTGATTTGAGGGTTTGTTCTAGGGTAACTCCCCAAAATAGTGGGCTTCCTCCTGATTTCCTTTTAAATCCACTGAAGGGGTACCATCAAAAGCAAACACACCGCCAGGTCTCGGAGCCGCACGCTGGTGAATGGGCAGGTGAAGCCGGGCAGCCTGGACGCCAAATCGGTCGAACCGAAACACTTCGCGCGACGAAACGGGCTGCAGTAAGGAGCGCGCGACAGCCTGACAGTGGTGCCAGCTGGCAAGTTCACCTAAGGCGCCGGGGTCTGGGGCTTTGAAGCTACCCTTTTTGGGTTTTTGTTTAAGGGAAACCAAAAGGAAGACCAACATTTTGGGGGTTCATGTACCAATAGCTTCAAGGCCAGGGCCAGAATGTTGAGAGAAAGGGCGTTCTGAGCTCATGACGTTTGGCTGAAACCTTCGACAGAGCTCCAGCGGTGCGGCTGCTGACACAACTCCGATGAAACAAATGTTTGGCCTGAAGTTGAACTCGACCACAGTGTTGGGATATGCCACTGCACCTAGGCAGATGCATGTGTCAGTGATTCCTTGGACAATGCCGTCTCGTTCGGAAGTTGGCAATAGCCTTGCACGATTCGCCTCATAACAAGCCGGCAAACAATTTGATACATGGCATGACTCGATGGCTCTGACTCAGCGCCATACCTCGAGATCCATAAAAGATCTCGGACACGGCCTCGGGCAAGGCTGAGACGCCTTTCGCTCATCGGCCAGTGGCTACATCGAGCGCCAATTGAGTCATAAACTCTTTTAATAGCCTTCCCAGGAACATGTAAAGAATGAAAAGGCGGCTGCACCCATTTTTCGTCGGGTTTGCCCCTTCCTAAGCTTCATCTACCCGGGTTTGGTTTTTTTTTCTCAATTGAAACCTGGCTTGCCAACAGGCCGACCCTGACTTTGCTTCCCAGCAAGGTCATGAGCGACCGTTTCAACTTCCCAACAGGCAAGCTCCATCTTTGTGCGCTGGGGCCCGTCACAAATTGCTTCCCCTGCTGGCTGACTCGTGTGGAGAACTTGAAGGGCCGCTCGGGGATGCCAGCCTTCCAAGCGGAAGCGTCCCGGCAATTGGCGGCGGATTTTTCCTCTACAGGAAGCAAGGGTTCAAAAATCCCAAACCACAGCTTCCCTCCAATTGGTGGTTTGGAGCCCGGTGGTTGGGTGGTTCCGGATTTGGCGGTTTCCCATCTACACTCTACGGGAAGCAGAAGTTCAAATCCCAAAGCAGCAACCCAAACCACCAACTAAGGGTTGCCTGAACACGGCGGTTCCACAAGGCGCCTCTGGCACAGCCAATCTGAAGGATGGATCATTGGGGTATGCGGAGAAGGGCCTGAGCTGGCTTGCATGAATTTCCAAGGAGACAACATCGCAGCTCACGTGCGAAATATCACAAAAGAACACACACACACACACAGACACACAAGCTGGCTGACTTTTGAGGGGACCACCAGATTTCCGTTTGGTTTCCCTTTTGTATAGCACCAAGCAATAGGTACCAACTCCAAAAAAGGACATCTGAGTCACAATCAACACCCGGTATTAAAATGGTATACATGTAAAGAATTAAGGAGGCAAAACTGTTTCCTGGGACTGCCCCTGACTAACCTTCGTCTACCCGGGCGTTGATTGTGGCGCATCGGTTGCATGCCCTGAGGTCCGCACAGCTTGAAGTCCTGATCCCTCTCGATGAAGAAGCGCACCCGCTCCTTAGGCAAAGCTTTCCTTAACGCTCGAATTGGCCATGGGTCAACACCCAAATCGTACCCAGTAAACATCCCAGTCCCCACCAAAACGCTAAAATAGGTTCCACAATGGGTGGTGAATTCACCTACCCCAAAATGGGATCCCATTGGTGTTGACCCTTGGCCAATTGGACCTGCGCAACCCGAAATGAGAACCCAAACTCTTGCTGTAGATGGACGACATCTGTGTCGCACCGTCGTTCGGAAACCCTGGAAGGATGATTCCCATGCAAATACCAACAAACAATGGCGTCCCATACTGTGGATGGACGAAATCCTGCACCACTTTGAAACCAGGTAAACCATTGCTTGTTGGTATTTACAGGGGAGTCATATCATTCCAGGGCTTCTTAAGAGGCGCGAAATGGATTTCGTCCATCCATAGTAGGGAATGATAGGGACTGATAGGGAATGATAGGGACTGATAGGGAATGATGGAATGAACCCGCCGTTCGGAAATCCTTCCACTGCAAATCCGAGCCACGCCGGCGTAGATCTGCACGGTGGAGATCATCTGCACCGTGAGCAGCACCAAATCCTGGTCCCAATATCCCACCTGCCGTCAGCTGGGCTTGCCGGAAAAGAAACTCCAATGTAAATTTGTAGCTGCCAGAAAAAAAAGAAAGAGAAACATAACACATCATGTATCCTATGCGCCGAAAGAAAGGGCAATCCTAAATACCTGAGTCTGGGCATCACAAAGCACATGACCTGCACAGTTGCAAGTAGCAACATGGTGAGTTGTTTCAGCCATCAATGCTTGCAGTCGTGGCATAATTCCAGAGACCAAGGCAATCAGTTTGAGTCTTTTCCAAATCAATGGGGGGCGACTATCACCTTGCGCATTTCAGGACTTATGGGCCGTTGTCAAATATGTCTGGCGAATGTCTTTCCGGCCTCTCCACGAAAGAGAGGCCCATTGGCGCCCGAGATCTTGATGGTGCCGGAACGAGCGGCTCCCTGCACACCTGGGAAAACCAGCTGCTTGAAACGAGATTCATAGGACAAGCTTCTGAGGAGCCTTTTGGGTTTGGGCTGCACTCGAGAGAAGGCTGGGAGGAGAGATCCCGGCGACACTTTTTGAACTGAGCACTCCGCCGACCAAGTTTTGCCGGCCAGGGTCTCGAATAAGACCGCCAAGCTTGATGTAAATCGTCCTCAGTTGATGGTGCACACTGCCCCTATCCTAGATCTCTCTCTTTTAGATCGTCATCTTGTGTCAAGGGGTGTGTTGTGTGCCTCTGTACAGCTGCGACTAAGCTCTTGACGAATTGGGGAGCACATCTGTGTTCAGCACCATCGAAAAGCTGATCCGAGTGAAAGCATTCACGGACCTTGCCAACAGGTCGCGGCACACATTGCTCAACATACCGTGGATGGACGAAATCCTGCACTACTTTGAACCCATGAGAGACCAGTCTTTGTTGGCATTTACAGGGTAATTATCATTTCAGGATTTGTTCGCAGATGTTGCAGATGTTTTTCCATCCACAGTGAGTAAAACAACGGAGAGAAAAGAGCCCCAAAGTGAATTCCAAAGTCAGGCCGGACTTGTTGCAGCCAGCGAAGAGGTTGCAGCCACCCGCTGACGTCTTGAGGCCAAGAACTAAGGAACTAAGAGGAAGGCACATCTTCCGGGTCGAACTCCACCCGCGACTCGATGACGTACTTGTCCTCTCCGATCTTCGGGATCTTCTTCACTGGCCTCGGGCGAGCTCACAAAAGAAAAAATCGGCCCTCCGGATTGATTCATCTTCTGCTGTCCAAGAAACATGGGTGAATCAAGGTGATTCTCCATAGTCAGACACACACACACACACACAACACAAAAAGAGGGAAGCGCACACGCACTGCGCTGGCACACTTTGGTGCCCCAGGGAACCACGTGCTATGGCTCAGCCTTGGGTCGTGGCTCCAAGTCAATGAGGGCACCCCTGCCTCACAAGTCGCTGGACGAGACATTGTGGTTCAAAATATGGGACGCCTTTTCGGATGGTTTCCACCATGGTTTCATTTCGTGATGAGGATGAACCCTGAAATGATGTTTAAAGGGATATCCCCAAAGCTTTCAAGGGAACCCCCAAAAAACTACACTTGAGGAGCCATTTCAAAGGGAAACCAAAAAACAACGCCTGCCTGGAGATAGTGGTCCCCAATTTTGAGAAACACCCATACAGTACACGTGCCATATCTTTCGATCGACCAAAGTTGCCTTCAATGCGCAGGATGCCATCGTTCTCACTCAACCTGAGCAAGCAATTTGTTCGACGACTCAGCCTCTCATGTCACACGTGCTGGCAACGGTATGAATGCAAAGGTTGCGACCGGCTTGCGCAATGAACAAATGGAAATATGCTGAGCATGCAGCTTGTCAGGTAGCCGGAAGTTGGTTTCCCTGCCAATGCTCACCCGGAAGGGAGCAGCCTCACAATGCAAAGAAGACCGGCATTCGAATAATGATAAATTCGGATTAATCTAAAGGACTGTACTAATCAGGGGTGGTCCCCCTTTGAGTGAGGAAACGATCTAGTGTTGGAGGTTCCGGCTTACTCCTCCGGATTAATCCGAAGCAAAAAGTGCCTGACTGCGGAAAAGCCTCTGGGCTGCCGGCATTGCTAATGATCTCATTCGCAGCCGTGGTAAAGACCAGCATGCTGTCCTGCAGCTTCTGGATTCTGAACCAATGCATACAAATAGCTTTGCGAATCCCAAGTTCAGCCTTTCTAGTGCAGAACAGTTGCATCATTCAGCGGTCCTGTTTTGAAGGTACCCCTTGTTTTGTGGTTTTAAAGGGAAGATCAAAGGAACACCACCATGATGATTTCATTGATTGTTCTTTCCTTTTGGGGGGAGTCCACTCAAAAAACACATGTATATATATATATATATATATTGTATATAGATTCAACGAATGCACCGCTCGCCTCTGGGGCAAAAATCGGCTGCATTTCAGGTCTCCTGCTGCGTCCAGGATGCCGCTTGGTCTTGCACCCGGTATGCATCTGGGCCTCGCTATACTTGCCATGTCCATGACATGGTTTGTTAGCGAGCGTCAATGACATAGCTGTCGGGAAAAAAAACAAGGATTTGATATGATGTGTTTTGCATGTTTGCGACCCTTAGTATGGTTGCAAGAAGCTTTGTTTGTTGCACATAAAAACTCGCTAACAGCAGTGAAGCCACAGAGTGCTGATGGATGAGCTCGCCAATAGAGACAAAGCCCCCAGGCGAGCTGAACCTCGCTACCTGGGGCCCGTGCCGAGCAGCGGGATGACGCTAGAGGTACACCTCAGGCCGAAAAAAATTCTGCTGGAGTCAGGTTCAAGCAAGGTTCCGAAGGTTCCATGGAAGGCCTGGTGCAAGGTTCAAGCCGGAGGTTCCTGGGTGCTCTGGTGCAGGCCAGGTGTAAGGTTGAAGAAAGTTTCAGGAGGTTGCCGCCTGCTGTTGGCGTTACTGCCTGAGCTTATCTTTTTTGAGAAATGGTTGACTTGTTTTGCGCTTCTGGTCAGTTCTTGTCAGGTGTTCAGACCCCGCAAAGACGAAGCCCCGCCCTTCAAGTTTGCTCCATCTGAGCGCCGCACGCAAATCCGTACATATGGATCACGATGCTGTCCTTGCATTTGCGGTCGGTCACCGGTTTCACTTTGGCGACTTGAAGAACTTAGCTGCTGGCGCCCTGATAGAATGAGATAGACGGCTCCAGCGTAAAGCTGATGTTTGCAGGCAGCCTGCCCAGGCATGCCGTTCAGCCCTCGCTCTTGGCCGGCCGTGTGGAACAAGCTACAGCCTCTGTCCTTCTCAGGTATCCAAAGTGGGCAGCTTCCAAGCCGTTGCTCCCTGGAGATCCAATCCTTACCCCACATTTGCAGGGCAACACTTTTTCAGGGACTATGGGATTTGACGCCCAACCCTGGCCATGGGATCCGCCCCGCGAGGAGAAAAGTTCGGCCAGCCGAGTGGAGGGAAAAATCAAAACATCCGCTGATCTCAGCTCCCACAGCCAAAGGAGGATTCGGTGGCCTGGGCTCCAGTGGTAAGAAGACCAACTGGGACCTCTTGAAGGTCTTGTAGCCAGCACCCACCTCACCAACTCGAACCCCAGGCAACTGGCAGGCTCCAAGAACAAGAAAAAACTACAACTCACGCGGCGTGTGTCTTGCTCTCGGAAATTCCAACCCCTTTGCTGCGGTTTAGAAGGGACGCCGCGAAGGGAAATCAACCAGGTGGGATCCAAAAGTTGAGACATGGAAGATGCCGAGGGCGTCTCCATAGGCGAGTCATCCACTGGCTGCGGTGGAGCCCTCAGCCCACGTCCGTCCCAGGGAAGCGGATGCTTCTCAAAATTCGCGTCCCCTTGGATGGAAACCAAAAGGAAACCAAGAGGACACCAGGACCAAAAGGACACCAAGCGGAAACCAACAAAAAAACCAAAAGGAAAGCAAGAGGAAACCAGGAGGAAACCAAGAGGAAACCAAAAGCACAGCAATCACCGGAAGGGGTTCCTAAGTTCGAGAGACGCCGTATCATAATGCAGGTCTTGGCGTCTCCAAAAAGACTTCATAAGGCGCGAGCCTCAGGCTGAGGCTCAGGCCCTGGATCTGAATTCCATGCCAGCAATGAGCTGTCGTTGGCCTCACAGCACGACTCCCCAGTCAAACCGAGTTTTTCTCACGCCAGATGTCGGCTACCTGCCAAAACCACATCTTCTGAGCATCTTGCGTAAAGAGCAGGTGGAAGAATCAGCTCCTAGCGAGCTAAGACTCCACTCATTTTGCTTCAACCGACGCATTTCTCCGACGCAAAAACGGGTAGCAAGTTCTTGGGCCAAGGCCACGAATTCCATCTCAAACAAGTACCTCAGTTTCGTCTCTGGCATCCAGGTGTCGTTTGGCGGTTGGATCCCCGCAAGACACACCCGTTTCATCTCTGAACTTCACGGGCAACGGCTCAAATTAATTCCGCGTTGCTCTCCAAGCGGGCGCGCTTGCCCCCCGGCAACCAGTCAAAAGCTGGAGGTATGGTCTGACACCTTTTGCGGGATGCCGCATTTGTCCGTACCGATATAGGAAAACTGCTTGATCTGGTGCGAAGTTGCGCGGCTCTGCCGGAACTCTTTCGATTTATGGCCATTCCATTCCCTTCGAGAGCCAAAAATGGTCCAAGCCCAAAAAGTATAATAAAAACTCCATAAACTCGAGCGAGGATCCCCCCAGAAGTGGTTCTTAGTGTGCTAGATTTAATGACTTCAGCGCCAGGCTCGTCTGAGTAGATGGTTCTGGCGATGTGAAGCTCGAGGATATTCTCCTGGCACCGTCCCCCGAGCCAGCACGTCTGCTGAGGCAGCCCCTCAATTCGCTGCACTTAAGACATGCGAAGGCAGCCGGCAGCTTGAAGTACGCGCTCTCGTCACGGAAATGAGCCTGCGATACATGGACACAACTCCTCGCCGCAATCATCAGTTCGCAGAAGCCAGCCCAACATCTACATTTCTACACAGCTGTCCCAACCCCGCAATTTCAGCCGGTGGAGGGTATAAGAAATGGCGCAAACAATTGTCCCTTGCATGGGCTTGGCTGGTGCGCACGCCCCTCCGAGCCCAATCTGAACAAGCCAACGTTCGAACCTTCAATTGTCTGTGTCAGATTTAATTAGGAACCCCTCGCGAAATCCGAGGTTTGTTTTGACACGTGTTTAACATCTCAAGGATCCCGAATCGGACCCCACCTTCGAGGTCCCCTTCAGAGGCACTTCGACACGTTGGGCTGTGAAGCCGGACAAGCCTAGGCCCGGGAACTTGAGGCCTTGTCGATTTGAGCCGCCTTGACTCGACTCGGCTTCAGTCCCAGCGCAATTGGCCTCTCTCTGGGCCCGTGGCGAAGAAAAATCACCGACCCAGCCTGAACAACAATCCAAAGAGTCGCCAGCAACTCCGCAAACTAAGCTCATGCGATATCCCAACAGCATGAGGCACATTTGCGCGCCCATGCATCCCCAGAACTCGGAACTGCCCCACGCATTCGGAACCCTTTCGGAACCGCCCCATGCATCCCCACTATGCATCCCAACCCCTACACATCCCCGGAACCCTCCTCGGAACAGCCCAGTGCATCTCGGAACCGCCCCATATCCGCCCCTCAGAACTGCCAGAACCCAGCTTGGACGACCCGCCTGTGCATCCCCAGAACACTCCTCAAAACCGCCCCCGTAATCACCAAACCGTTCTTGGAACTGCCCCATGCGTCCCCGGAACCCTCCTCGGACCCCTACCTCAGATCTGCCCCGGCCAACAACCAAAAACCAACAACCAACAACCAACAACCAACATCCAACATCCAACAACCAACAACCAACAACCAACAACCAACATCCAACAACCAACAACCAACAACCAACTACCAACAGCCAACAGCCACAGCCACAACGCGCGGGAAGCAGCGAAGAAAAAGCAAGCTAGGCTCAGCACGAACAGAGGTCTGTTGGTCATGAAGTGGAACATGACATTGCTTTGCTGATTGGGAACGTTGTTGGTGTAGGCCAGCCTGGCACATGGGTACGGGTCAAAATTAAACCACCAGGGGACCGCAGGTTTTAGTCCTTGGCTCCTTTTACCAGGATTCCATTTTGGGGTTGCCCTATTTTTGAGCCACAGCCACATGAGAACACCAACACAATGATCCAATGCACGTTTTATGTGCCAGGCCGTGTGAAGGTGAAGTTGCGCACGTGGGGAACTGCGCTGGACTGTGTCACCTCAGACGACATTTCTAGGCGAGGCTCGATCAATCCAACTACAACTTGGGTTGACATGTGTCTCAACATGGGCTACCGACAATGCTTCGCTTCCTTTTGGATTCCCATGATTCCCTTTCAACCAAAAAAGGGCACCAACTCAAAAAAAACGACACCCCCCACAACGAGTTTTCTGGCTTCAACACACGCTGCTGGGAGTGCATCTTGGGTGCCGTGCAGGTGTCTCCCGCACAACCTCGTCGATGTCGTCGAAGGAGCGTGCTGACACCTACATCTGACTGAGGCATTCGGTGGCCATCGTTCTGTGTCATGCAGGCAAGCGGCCGTGAGCGTGTCGCTATCTGCAGGAAGCTCAATGGGAAGCTGAAACCTGACCCGGAACGAAAAGCCGAACCTCCCAGCTTTTGCAGGTCACGTCTTGCCTAGCGCGAAAAGCAACTCGACACGCCACAGACCCGCTGCATTCTAGGGTCCCTATACATGCACAATCAGGTGAAAAGCACCAAGGGATAAAGCTGTGCCACAGCCAAAACATACTTTAACACGATGCGATGGCTCTTTTGACCCTCCGATTTCAATCGCCACACACCACCCCCACCCCCACACCCACCCCGCACCACCCAGCCCAAAAAAAAGAAGTCACGCTATGGCCTGGTACAGTACCAACAAACACCCGCCCGTGCGGCCAAAGAGCTCCCCAGGCTCCGTGGAAAGCGTCACCTGGCGGCCTGCGGCCAAGACCTGTGGCGAAGGTTGCACAGGGAAGTGATGTTTCTGAGTCATTTACTCATGAGGTCATGAATACCACAATAATAAAAGCAACCATAAAAAAGAAATGTATCACAATCAACCATTGTCATTTGGCTGTGGCTCAAAATGAACGACTTGGGGTTATGCAGGTGTTAGTCTTGGGTTCCATTTACCAAGGCGCCATTTTGGTACATGTTGTTGACCCACAGCCATTTACTCATAAGGTCATGACCATAGTGCTTCTTGAGCCATGAGTGCTTCTTAGTCCTGGTGAGTCTGGGCTTTTGTGACTCATGTAGTCATGGTGAGTTGTGGTCGTGATGAGTCGTGCTTGCTAGTCATGGTTGTTAGTCCTGGTGAGCAGTGGTGGTTAGTCGTGGGTCTTTATCGTTGTTGGTCATGGTTGTGAGTCACGCGTGTTGGTCATCATGCTTAGTCATCATGATTGCTAGTCGTGTTGCTAGTGGTTGTTGGTGACTAGTGAGTTGCTCCCGATGCTCGAGGACGGGGTTCACATGCCGCAAAAAGGGCATTGGCTTGAGCGCCAAGAGAAGACTAAGTCTGCCTTCAGCAGCGCTTTTGCCCGAGTTATTTGGGCGTGAATTTTAAAAGGCCCAGGGGGCCCGGACCCTTTGGTGGACACCATACAGGCGGGACTTATGTCCACAAACCACCTTTTGAAGCGGTTCCCTATGAAGAAAATGTGTAGCCATTTCGGCCGGCAGATGTTTTTCCGCGGCCTGCCTAGCCTGCACCACAACTCCGGCCTTGCCGGCGCGCAAGAAGAAGGTGAGCCTCCCCTGCAGGTGGTCCCACAGGGCAGCGGATTCAAAAAACATCCAGTCCTCGGTGCCGCAAACCCTGCGACCTTTTTTGGACGCCACCAACGGTGGCTTTTTGCCTCAAACCGTGTGGACTGGGAAAAATATCCAAGTCGCCACACACATCGCAGGTTCCCCTATTTGCTGACGTTGCTGGTGCTCAGCAGGGAATATGCGGAATGACTCTTATAAGTCATCCAACTGCTGGTTTCCTTCAAGACCTCTGGGTTCATTCCCATCCCTGTGCACCGGCAAGTGACCTGGACTTGCTGAAGTGAGTTGCCCTTGGAGCCTCCCGAGCTGCACTCGCGACTCGCGGAGCCTGGGCTCCCGGCCGCCCCATCGACGCTGCTGGCCGTGTTGAACGACACCGAGCCGCTCCTGAAGCAGGCGAAATGGACGACAGTCAACGCTGACAAAGGAAGACTGAACGTTGCATTGGGGGTTTACTTTTAACAATAATTCAAAGTGTGCATAAAACCTGATGCCTGAGCACATGGTTTGCTCAATCTCTTGGATGCTTAGCCATGTGTGGGACCCTATTGCCGGCATGAAACCCGACTCACCCCCAAGGCGCAGACACATTGTTCACCCGCTCAACCGTTGGCATGCTCAGAATGATCCGCGCACCTGCAGCAAATCTTCGGTTTTCAGCCCAATCGCCAGGGGCATCTGGGCCGCCAGCGGTCCGTCAGCGAGTTTGCTGGCCGCAGTGTGAGGTGAATAACTGTCACGTGCCGCGAGATCTGAGGCGCTTGGTTTTGTGAAACGAATCGGGTGATGCTAAACAGAATAGCACATCCAAGGCAGCCACGGGAGGGTCAAACGACACCTGACCGGCAGTGCGCAGGCAAGTCAGCGACAAAGATTGGCAAAGGTGTACCACCATTCCTGCCCACAAAAGACTCTCCATGCGATTGACTGGCAAAACAAATGGCAAAACAACTCTTCTCAGTTGCAATTGGCTTCTCCGCCTGTTGAACTTTGACTCACCGCGACTCGTGTCTCTTCAACCTCTCGGGCCCCGAGCACGCAGGAACTCCCACTGCAGCCCTGGGTCAATCTCTGGGGTGTTCAGGATCGGCTCCTTCCGAGCGAGCCAAAGTGGCATGGACTCCGTTCCGCAAGCGCCAAGCGCTGAAGGCTCGGAGGTCGGGCCGTGAGGTCGGGCATGCGGCGAACGCGCGCGCCAAGGATTTAGGCAAAAGAATGTCGCGGCATCTGAATCCGCAATATAATTCTGCTGGTTCACATGGCATCACACGCAAGCCGTGCCGAAGCTATGTTTAGCGTGTCCCGCCTCTACGATAGTGGTCACTTGGTCCAGGGACGTAGGACCCGAAATGGTGTAGCCCTGAAAGCAAATATCAACGCAATCGCACATTCATCTTTGGATCAGCTCGAGTTGCGAGGTTCAGTTGCGGTTTTCGCTGACTTTCCACCGGGCGACAAAGATTCGCGACATTCAGTGAACCTCTAAACATTCTTTGATCTAGCTCACTCTGATTCTGAGAATCCAGCGGGGAAGTCCTTTGGAGATGCGCTTGGCAGTCTCATACCTAGGCACCGCAATAACTCAAGTGATGCAGCTTGTCAATCAGCTTAAATGTCCCTTGCACTTCAAAGAACCACCCGGGCTCGTAGTCAGAGATAGTCGAGGGCAGCACAACAAATCGTGATCTCCGTGTCTCTGTTTGCCAGCATCGACTGTCCGCTCCTCACCTGAAGCATCATAAGCGAGTGCAGCTCTTGCAACCAAAAAAAAACACTTCTCATCTGACACGATAGGATGCGAGCCGTAAGTCTCAAAAGGCGAGTTCTGAGATTGTACCTGGCACACTTCGAAGCGCCTCGCCTCACGCCAAAGAGTGCCGCGCCCGTTCCGGCGTGCCAAGCGAAATCCCATGAGACTCCGGACTCCTTGCTTTAGTAATTTAAGGGAGGTTGCTGCTGGAGTTTGGAGCGAAGACTTGATACGTGCAAGGAAAAGCACGGCCCGGCACAAGGCAGGCTCGGTGAACAGCGGGTTGGTTTGGGTATTGTAGCCTTGGAAGCCAGCAAGCGAGCTTGTGACGTCAGGCGTCTGAAAGAAGTATAAAAGGAACTGTGATGGTTGATCACACATTTGAAGAAGTATGTTTAGACAAATTTGTGTGTGGTTGCTTTTGTTTGTGGCTTTCCTCTTGGTTTCCCTCCAAAATCACAAAAATAGGTGTACCAAACCCCCCAAAAAATACAGACCCAAATATAAAGCTTGCATCACGATGGTCGACCTGAGTTCCCCGCCAAAAAGCGGGTCAAAACCCAAAGGTACCTTGGCAAAGCGATGCGCGTGAGATTCTCAATAAGGGTGTGTTTTCTTGGAGTTGGTACTTTGGAGTTGGTACCCCGCTTTTGTGGCTTGAAAGGGGAACCGAAAGGAAACCCATCATTGCGGGGGTCCCCTAACAACAGAGCACATCCGCAAGTGTTAAGTGGTAAGCAAGGCCTGGCCGTGACACTCAAAACGCTGGATCGTAAACAGTTCGAGAGTCTCTAGAGTTCGCATAAACAGAACTAAAATAAACCATGTACACAGATTTGTTTAACAAGCATCTGTTGAAGTTAAATAATCCCAAATCTGGTTTTAAACATTCAATAACAAGACGATGATAAAGCTTGAGGAGGGGTCAACGAAAGCTAGCAGCTGGCGGAAGGGGGTCTAAATCATTGACTCTTGCAATCATTTTAGGAACTTCATCCCCTTACGTTGCCCACGCGGGGACGCGGGGAGAAACTTCAGCTAGCTTAAGCTAGCTTGTGAGAATCAACTTCCTAAAGCCCACGTAATTCAAAATCTGCCTCGGCCCCACCCCCCCCTCACTAAAAACCTGTCCAATTCCAGAAGCCGGACAAATTCCCTAGCAGTCGAAATTCCCACTAGAAGCCACAACTCGCGCACTCAAACAAACACAACACTTCAAGCAAACCAAAACACAGCACCTCAAAGCCAACCAAAAGAACACTGGCCGAAGCGGGCAGCGCGCAGCGTTCGCAATAAACTAATTCAAACAACCCTGCTTAAGATAGCTTGGCGTTGAACAGATGTCTCTGTCGCCTAAAAGGCAATCTTGCTGGCTGAAGGTTATGTGTATGTGTGCGTGTACGTGTGTGTGTGTGTAGGTACGTATGTTTTTAAGTATGCCTGTATGCATGTGTGCGTATACGTGTGTATGCGTGTA